CACAATACCTATAGCCACCCAAACTCTGCAGATACAGTAAATCCTTCTTCAGTAGCCGCTTAGTTAACACTTGATCAAACAGTACGAGGACCTGTTAGAGTATAACCCAGCTGCAGGTCGTCTGAAGGCCTGTGCCAAGCCTTGATATGCATAATATTCAGGCCTGTGGTATTAATAACAACTCTGATGGGTTTTTTAATATGCAGCTTAACAGTCGAGTAACATCTGGTCCTTTGCATGTTAATAAAATACACTCAATGAATGGAACGAAAGCACTTTTCAATGTGATTCTGTGTTACAAGAAAGAATGACAAGGTGTGAAAGCATTTTTTTTTTTGTCCTTGCAGTAGCTACTTATCACCACAAGAGAGAGACAGGGAGCTGAACCAGGAGCTGCTGCTTAAAACATTAATAATGTTTGATCATTGAGTAAGGAAAAAAAAGCCTGAAAAAACAGCAGAAACTGAGACAAAATTAAGCTAAAAAAATCTTAATCAGAGAAAATCTGGAGCAAAAATTGACCATGTGAAAAGAAAGCGTCCACCCCCTGTCCTCCTTTATTTAGTGTTTCACTCTATGCAATAAATATACAATAAATCTCTGATTATACAGATTGGAGTGTAGAGTACGACCTGTTTGATGTCAACAGACCGATTCACCTGCCAGCGTAGGTGAGCATGAGCTGACTGAGGAGTCTGCAGAGGCTGGGTCAGAGGACAGAATCACTTTGGGACTTTGTGTCGTCACGTAACAGCAAAAGACGAATCAAGGTCAATTTTCCATTCAAGCCTAATGTGCTGTTTTATTGTAACATTAACTAAGTTAATCAATACAGTGAAAACCAACACTAAATAATAATCCAGGCTCTTATAAGCTGTTTAATTTCTTTTTTTGAAATACACTTTTTGTTTGAAAGGCACTTAGATTCCTTACATGCACAGTGCACAAAACATCTCATGCGCCTGTTAAAACATTGAAAGATTCCTTACAAGTATTCACATCACATTTCGATGATTCCTACCACACTGATCCTGGATGTTTAACTGCAGAAAGTCTCAGTGTCTTTATTCATGGTGCCTCTCAAGTTTTTACGCTGTTTAATTTCATCTATCATAATTCTCTTCTTTTAAAGTATGTGAGTGCCTGTCCCACTTTCATGTGTTTTTTTTTTTGTAGGTCTCTATGCCTGAGTGAAATCAGTGACTGCCAAAGCGTAGATAAGACCTGTTTTGGTGAAAGTTAAACAACCCTGAGCTTCCTTGACCTGTTTGATTTAGACCACAAAATCTAAAAAGGGCAGTAGCCCCAAACAAATCCTGCTAGGTTCATGAATGCTGTCCCTCATTGATTAAAATTACAATTATTCTGATATAAAAACACCAGCCAAGTCCACACCTGTGGAGTTGAGTACATCAGTCTTTATCAGCTTCATTGCTTAGGCCATGTAACAGCCTCAGGCACCTGCTCAGGTAGATAAAGGACAAGTATAATCATTTAAATAACTACCTTGAAATTTGTCTTTTATTCTCAGCATCAAAATAAACCTTCCTTTGTTAATTGATTATCCTCTTACTGTCAAACATGAAGACAGATAACCAGTTTAGGTCCATTTACAGGTTAGATTGTGCAACATCTTGGAACTAAGAGAAGGAAATGAGTTGCTTTTAAAATATTTTCCACTCGGTCATGAAACTGGTAGCAGATTCATATCTGACCTGTTCAGAAATCACCTGTGATGACTAAGACCACACAGAATGAGGAAGATGTAGAGACTAAAAGAAAGTATGCAGAGCAAAGAACAGTATTTCTATTGTCTGTCTGCTCTGGAACTGATAATGTCCAAACTTGGCATCTAAAACTATTAACATGCATTTTTGTGTCTTGATGTGTCCCTGAAAAACATGTTTTGCAGGGACACATTTTTTCATGGAGCATGCAGAAACAAACTTTCAGACTTTATCTGGGTTAACTTCTTCTAACACTTAAACATATCTGATTGATCAGTCGATACTTTAAAAATGAAGTTCTCACAAGTGTCTGAAGCCACACGTATCGGCTCCTTATCCAGTACCAGATGATATCAATGAACAGGCTATTGTTAAGCTGCTGTGTTGTTCATACCAAGACTAGGATGTTAACACGAAAACGTCCCTTTACACACCAAACAAACTCGATTGGTTAAAGAGCTGTTGAGACTTTGGCCTTCGTGTTCAAACATCGATCTCGTTTAGCTGTATATGTCAAATTTATCGATCAAATAGTTGTTTCAATTTTGACGAAACTGTGAACTAATCGCTGACATTTTTCCCTATCCATTTTCCATGATAGTCTGAAATGCACATCGAATCTCGGTCAAGCTAATGCTAACATTAACATTAACATTAACACACAAAATATCACATTCATCCGGCTCTGCAGACACATACTATTGCATTCAGGGGGTCTAAATCATCGTCAGGGAACGAATAGTATAAAAGCCAGGCCTATCCCTATGATAGCGGGATAATATAAGTCGATATTTTTGGTAGAAAAAATGAATGAAAATCTAGATTAATATCTAAATATGTGACTGTGGGCACTTATTTATTTTTAAAATATATTTGAAATACTTGAAAGGAAGTGGGCTGAGTCCATTTTGAAGACTTTTTATTTTGATTGAATAATAATATGTGACGGTGCCACTTATTTATTTATTAACTTGTTCATTAAATTAAATAAAATTTATGGGCACAAAAACAAATGTGGAACAGCGGTTAAAAAGAGGGTTGTGCATCTGTCATGCAGTGACCTACTCTGTCCAGCGGGGGCGCAAAGAGGGTTGTGGATCCGCTTGGCTCTTCGGCACAGAGACATGCTAACTAACGGCTGTGTGGATGTCCGTTAGCATCGGTTTATTTTAGTAGCACTCTGAGCCTACTGCTCTGTATCATAGACTGTATATAGAATGGACGCCGTCTGCCTCCTCGCTGGGTGAAGCCACTCCAAGAACAACGACCTCTGTTGAGGGGCTGCGGTATAGGTCATAAATCCCGCCTCCGCCAGCAAAGCTTATGGGCCTGTGGACAAACTTTAGAAATTTATTACACATAACATGAATTTTTTTCCCCCTGCTTGTGATGTTGACGTGTAGTTACTGTAAGACTGATTTGTGCTCAAGTCCTTTTTTTTCTGTACAGCTCCATTTTTAAAAGATATTAGGGGGTTCATGTTTTCTATGATTGACACCTGATACAGCCTTTGACTCTCCCGCCAAATGCGTACAATTACTGCGCAATGCTGGTTTCAGGAAATGAAGAAAAATCCTGTGAATACCGAGAGCTTTTCGGCTTCAAATCCGAATACAGGTGGGAGGCGGAACCAAGTTGTCCATAGTATATACAGTCTATGCTCTGTATGCTAGTATAACGAAACAACCAACATACGAGGAAACAATGTTACCTATAATTTTCACCAACAGTTCAGCGTTTGAGTTAATTAACAGTTAACAAAAAATTGAAAAAACAGTTAAAACAGTCAGAAATTTTTATTATTGTCTAATTTGAAGCCTACACCTTACTTGCATGACTCTAGCACAACATAAAATAGCTTCTAGTCAGAAAACTACAAGCCTTTTTACTCATTTGTTGTGGGAAAAACTGTTGCTGGCTGTGATGTTTGGTTTCTCTTTATCTGTCTTTAATCTATCTCTCGTATCTGTACAAACACACTGCAGTGGTCACAGCTGACTAAAGATGTGTATCCTGGTCAAATAGTCCAAACCTAGAAGACAAACAAGGTTATTAGAGAGGCGATTCACTGGAAATATGAATTCATTCATCATTATTATTAATTTTAGCATCAGGCTGTTGATCAAAACAGATCAAGACTCTTTTAATTGGACAATATATCATCTTATGTATTAATTCAGTATATTTCCTCATGAGGGAAAGACCAGAATGAATTTCCTCTTTTCAAGTCTTCAGACAACTAAGGGGAAAATATACGACACTGCCGTCACAGTGACATCAACATCATGTTTCGAAATGGTCGAGTGTCATCCGCCTATGTGTCACTTATAGGAGCCAGGAAGTCCACATGTTAGTGACAGAGCAGAGCACACACTCCTCTTCACAGCAGAGGTGTATACACATCATTAGAGCTGTCTGCAGTCTATTTGTTCATCCAACAGGTGAAACTGCAGTAAATCAGGTACTGTCAGCTTCAAGTACCTGAAATTAGGGTAAATCAATTTGAAGTCAGACAAATTTGCTTCAACTTTTTCCAAGTAACATCAAAATTCTTGTGAGTTACCTTCAGTCAAACTACAGCTAACGCTATAACAGGTAGCTTCTAGTTTATCAAATGTGTTGTTTTGCGATAAAATACAGCACATTGTCTCTTTGGATTTAACTTTTTACTGTCCTCTCAGTTCATGTTGAGTCTGGAAACAGTTAAGTGAAAATCATTGATGACAAAATAACAAATCAGAGGAAAACAGTCACATATGAACACCACTTCTTGACTAATAATACTGCTACCTGGGAAGATAGAATATTTATTCAGATGGAGCTGTTGCAATGTTTTGATTGTACACTGAAGGCTGCTTTTATTAGACTTCACACCTAAAACTACACCGTTTATTGTTGTAAAAGAATAAAAGAGCTGCTGGTGTCTCACTCCTGAGTACTCCATAGACAAGTTAAGTTTCCTTTTGAGATTTAGTTTCCTTGCTGACTTGTTGCGTCCTTAGAGGAATGTCTTTTTTTGTGCCGATAAATCAGGTTCTGACCTTTTGTACAATAACAGAGATAAGGGGGGATTCTTTCTTTACAAAAAGTGTCCCCTTTGTTGGTCCAGTCTTTTAGTAGTTAATCTTGGTTTTCCAGAGTGTCCTCCTGTTGTTGTCGCAGGTACGCCCTGCAGACAAAAGGGGGAACAACAAAAGACATTTGATCCGTCCCGGGAGAGGGTTTAGAATCTTATAAGAGGCTAAATTGAGTTTCAGACATCTCTCAGCTTCGACAGGAGGATGGTTCCGGAGACGAAACCAATTCCTGGCCCAACCGTGAAGTTTGTAAGTCTTTAAAATTGACCTCTCATGCACTGTTTCCCATTTTTGCTGCACTTTTGTTGTTTTATCTCACAATCAAAGGAAAAACAGCCTCCTCGTTTCACTGGGAAATGTAAATCTCATTTCATAGGAATGTTTCAATGATCACTGTTCCTCGGCTCTCACTGGAAAACCACATGATGCAGTGACACTAAACAATCCAGTATTTGTCATTGTCATGATCCTAAACAAAGTGACGTCAGCAGGTGGCACATGTTAATTTTTCACACCATGACTCAAAACTTTTCCAGTCTGTGTCAGAATGAAAACTAATGTCAGATACGCAGGGACACAGTTTCATGATGATAAATGTAAAGTTGTCATCCTAGTAGAGCGATAGTGAAATAATAATAATTGAAACAACAAAAACTTTGTCATCTGTACTTTTTATTCCTTGGTCCCATATTTTTATATTCAACTTGCACATTTGATCTTATTTCAGTGGACTCAAAGCACTTCACGGCTGCAGAAAATTTATGTTTTTACAAGAAAATGTGTTTGAAACAGCAAATTAACTCAGTGTCAACAATGATGACTTTTAAAAACCCCATGTCATTACAACTCTTTTTATAATTCTGCAAAATGTAAAAGTTTTATTGGATTTTATGACTTTATTTAAAGCGATCATGTAGTTGGTTGTATTTACTGTAATTGCAGTTACTTTAAATTCCCTTATCAGGACTCGGAAACAGAATTTCCTGCAGCAAGACTGTTACAGAGTTTTCATAGAAACTTCTTCCTGCACCTTCCAGGCAGGTACTCACTCAGTCAGGTGTTTTCTTACAAGGACACACCCACTTCAGGACACCGTAATCCATCCACCCTCCCACACCTTTCCTGCATCACCACCCCTGAGCATCAGCGCAAACGTTTGCTGATTTAAATCTTTCCCGCAGGTATCGAACGCTCACAGAGGAGCAGAAACACCTGAACGAAGAGCATCTCCGCATCTCAACATCTGAACCTTCACTGCACAGGTGAGTCACACTGCAGGGAAAAACAGACATTTAAAAAAACATTATTTTGGGCACATATGGATGTTAAAATTTCATGTTTTTACTTCTTGTTCAATTTTTTATAGTTTTCTTAAATTTATCAAGACAAATGTCAATGTTTTACTTGGCATTATGTACAATAGTACATATCCTCATTTTAAAAAATTAATGATTTAAGAGTGTTATCTTTTCTTTTTGTTTAATTTCTCATGATTTGTGTTGAGGTGATCTGTGTTTAGCTGTTTGCACCACATGTTCATTTATTAATTAAGTCACTCTTGAGATTATAAAAACAGAATACACATTTAGAAATGACGTTAAAATTGTAGCTTGAAAATATGATGGATGTCATGAGGGTATGAATGTGCTGAGAGCATCTGTATAATCTCTAGGAAGTGATCAGACTTGAAACGTCCTTTAAATGTGTTTTAATTCACCTGACTCTTTATATTTCCTCCACAGATATGGAGCGAGGATTGATCCTGTTGGTTGCTGCCACTTTGATGGTTTATATGGCACCTGGTGTCCGAGGAACAGCCCATCTATCGTTTTCCAACGACACAGAGGTTGGCTTTCTATCAGTTTTATTGTCCCTGTGTAAATAACATCTCGATCTTTCTGTTCCTCGTTTTACCTGTGATATTTGTTTAATGACTTCTTTCAACACTGAGACCCAATCTGTCCTCTAAACTGTTAAAAGTCACTTACAGTAATGGTCCTATGAGCTTTGTATCATCTGTTAAGCTTGATTCTGTGCTTTTATTCTTTATGTTTTTGGATTGTAAAACGATTGTTCATTTTTCCAAACACACTCGTTAAAATATAAAATCAAACAAGTGTTTTTCAATTTAGATTGGGGTCTTCAAACCTGTTACAATAAATCATTTTTAGTTCAAGTTTTTGCTTATATTGTGACATTTTTTAAAACTTTCCTTGTTGCACATTTGCCTTTTTAAAAGATTCAGTATTTAAGAGAAAATAGTCTTTTTACATTTGTTCATGTTCAACCGATAAAGACTTCGTTTTAAAAAGAAAAGTTGATGCAAAACAGCAGGGGTGCATTCAGAAGTGCGTTATTTGCTTCGCCACCCCTAGTGCAGCCCAAACCCCCAAACTTTGATTGACTGTTTGTCTTGTCAGTGGCAGTTTCAATGTTAAATATTTGGGTTATGTTGCAAAGTAACTTACTTTGCATCTCCTTTTGTTTGCGCTTTCAAATGCGACTTTAAACATGAGATCACTTTTAAAGTTTTTTAAGAATGAAGTGTAGAAGAATAACATGTAACCACTCTGTTTACTCTCACTTGAACAGTTCATATAGAGGAGATAAAAGAAGTAGAATACATGCTGTTCATTCATTCATTCATACATTTGCAGAAAACTTCATGCCACCCCAGAATAAGTCAGTCAGGCCACCCTGGTCAACAAAGGCTGGACGACACACCCCTGCCAACAGGCAGAGTTAGTGACTCAGGTCCTGCTCGGGTTTCCAAAAATCGCACCAGGATTTTTATTTGTTGTGTAAGGATTTGAGTTGAGAAGTCGCCTGCATCTCAGATTAACACGAGGTTGACAGTAAAGTCTGTTAAGCAGAGTGTCAGCAGTTTAACACGTCATAACAAACAACATGCAGAATCAGCTGAAAGAATATCAGTGATCCTCTCACAGCTCAAAATGTCAAAAAAGGATCAGGGTTTTTATTTTTTTAATGCCAATCATTGCCAGGCTTGGTCTACTGCGAGGAGGTTCATATTATTTTAACATCGACAGGCGTAAAGATGATGGTTTTAATGTGTGATTACCAGGTGAACATCACTCGGGATGGCTGCGGAGTCACAAAACTATGCGAGGAGACACCTGCTGACTGTGATCCTTCTTCCACCGGCACCTGCCTGTTTGCATCAGTAGTTACCAGCCCCCCAGTGGCTCCAGACGGCTCGAACCTGGCCATGGAGCTGAGGGGCGACTCCATGGGTTATGTCGCACTTGGACTCACTTTGAATGCATCAGAGGTAAAACAAGTTTACATGTCCAGTTAAGCAGGATGTAAACAGACAATAAAGCTGATGTTGCTTTGGGTATGCAAAAATTTCAGTGAGAAAGTTATAAATAAATAAAGAACAGAATGCAAATTTTGGTGTTATGTTATGATCAAAGTTTACTGCTTAGTTATAGTCACCTAGCAGGATCTATCTCAGCATCACTGTTACATCACCCCTAATAACCCCGCTCCATTACAGATTTAGTGTCTCTTTATACTGTCATTAATGATATTCACTATTGACTTACCTGAATGTGACACCCTGTTATATATGACGTGGCAATGGGACTTTTATGACCTTGAAAAATATTTGTTTAAAGGATAAGAACACCCAGAACACTTTGTCTGGTGAGTCAAACAGCTGCAGTGTTTGTATTATATAAAGGGAGACATCTTTGTGTTCAGTTATAAGACTTCATCAATCTGCATTTACGTACATTAAAAAAACAAAACTTTAAAAACCTTACGTTTAGTCAAGGAAATAGCTTGAATACACACAGAAAATTAGCTAATTTTTATGAAGATTTTTTAAATGAAACTTACCGGTGTTATGATTCAAGGACCGACCATTAACTGGCGAGTCTCTGTGGTTGTCATAGTTACAACAGCAGTTGAGGACAGTGGATACTTAATCATGATGACATGTTTGAACATATAAGACTTTAAAAACACATCTAGTTGTTATTATTTTGAGTTATACCGCAAAGCCAAACAAACAAACAAACAAACAAAATTCGTGAAGACAACTGCGTGATCTCTGTCTGTTTTTAACGACTGGAGCTTGAGAAAAATGAGGCATTCGGCAGAAAGGAATCATTTAACATGGTCACTCATTTAACCGTAACACTGGCAGGTCTCTTAAAGCCTAACTGAGTTGCTGTTGCACAACAGTTGCGAATGAATTAAACAAAGCAGGGCTCTGGTGTTCAGCCAATGTGAACAGATAAGCGTAGGGTTGAACAATGCTTGACACAAGTAGAGAGAAAATACCAAACATGCCAGCCAGCAACCCCAGACAACATTACAAGAAGCTTGCTTGCTCACAGTAGCACATCGAAAAGCTGGTGTTTTTAAATACAATCATAAGTTTAAACATTATTTAAAGAAAACCTACTTGAGTTTAACCAGGTAACACTCACTATTGTTACCTTTACAAACTGACTATGCTAGTAGCTACTTTAATTGATGAAAACAAGTCTAGAAGGATATTAGCTTAAAGCGTATTAACTTATTTGAACCCTTATAAAACTTGTTTAAACTCTATTACAGCACATAATGTTCAGTATCGTTTTGAACAGGCAGTTTTTAACCATTGTACATAATGCCAAATCCAGAGGGCTAATCATTAAGCTTTAGCCCAACCAATGCCCAAAACTGGGATTCAAGTAGGATCTTGACCTGAAAGCAAGATGGTTAGAGTCAAAGCCTTACATAAGAGCTTGAAGGTTAAGTGTCCTTCTCAAGTGCAAACTATTTAATCATAGGTGAAGTACTTCAGCTGACTGTTTTTTTTGTAATGAAACTAAAAGCTTAAACTGGCGGTTCAACTACTTGGACAGTTGCTTGTCTTGAAAAATAACACCAGAAACCAAGATAACGATAAATGCATTGTCCCGTGAAGTATGTTGCTTAATGAGAAGACTTCCTGGAACAATGAAAGAACTTGACATGAACAAACAAAGACATGAGATACAGGCAAACAAGGAAGCAGACATAAAAAGTAACGCACAAAGGGTGAACAAACAAGAATGACTGGAAACTTAACTCTCGTCTGGACATTTTCGTCACTTTTTTTCTTACCCTTAACAAAGACTATTTGACGTTGGAATTTGTCATTGAAACCATTTTTAAGAAAGGTAATTTAATCCTTTCATCACTGTTTCTTTCCTCAGGGTACAACCATGCTTTTCATCTGTGCTCAAAACAGCTCAGACAATGGGACGTTCTTCTTCAGGACGATGCAAAGGAACAACACAGATGGCATGCTCACCCCAATAGAGAGGGTGAGACCTTAGATTTACTATTGCGTTGACTTCTCAGCCAAATTACTTGGATTTCTTCAATCAGATCAATTAACATGGTTAAAAATTCACAAATGCTCTCCAAATTAAAGGACAAATAAACAGTGTTTTTATTGGCTATAATTTCTTTTATCATTTACTTATCATTCACTTCTTGTCCCCTAATGTGTTAGAGAGTGAGGGATATTCGAGGCATGGTGAACGGCAGCATCATCAAGTGTGAGTTTGTGGTTCCAAATGCCAACGCTACCAGCATGAGGAACGCTGCGACCACGTTCTCCATCCTTCTTGGGACTGGAACTTTCACAGGAAGTAAGTCAAGACAGTTAAACACCAGAAGCACAAGAACAAAACTTGAGTAAAAGTACAAGAACTAATATTCTATGTAATTATTTCCATTTTCATGATCAAGAATAAAATCAATATCTTTTATTTTTGGTTAGATATGATTGGTGATTTCAACGTCCGCCTGGACAGCGGTCTTCTAAACCTCGCCGACCCGACCAGCAACATCGCCACCACAGCAGCTCCCAGCAACATGACGACAGCGCCCAGCAACATGACAACAGCTTCAGGATCCAACGGAGGAGTCCAGCCTCATGGTAAATCATTCACAACAATGTGTGTCAAAGATTTGCTTTTTGGTGTTTGAGTTGAGGGCCGTACCTCAAACACTCTTTATTACTGCTGTCTCATAATCCACCTTCATGAACAGACATTGTCTAATGAACGTCTCTTTCCCTCCAGCTGTCCTGCTCGTGCTGAGTGTCCTCTCACTTCCTGTCATGCTCAGAGGCTGAAACGTCTCATCGGAGGACGTCATTACCAGTTGAACACAATGAAGACACTGATGCGCTGGATTTACGCACAGAGAAAAACTGAGTGTCAGCCTGATGTTTGAAATACTTTTACTGACATGCTTTATATACATTATTTTTGCACTTCATTCGTACCTGAGATACACGCTAATTAAACAGCATCTGCAGATACTTCTCAAAATTTTATTCTTTATAATATCTTCTGCATGATGCTGCAGAAGAGGAAATGTGTATTTGGTTTTGCACTGTGTAAACAACCTTAAATGACCGACCTGGAACCACAGACAGAAGCTGTTATGGTCCAGCGAGTCTTACTGGAACATCTTGGCAGGAAATCTGAAACCTCAAACCGCTACGGTTCTTTGTGGTTACCCAACCCAAGTCAAGTCAGGATTCTGTGTATGTTTTCATATTTATAAGTGAATGTAACTGTGAATATTAAAGTCTGAAATAAAGCTTCACCTTGTCTAAGATAATGATTAAACTGAAGCCGCTCACATGTTTATCTCAGGTGCTGAAATACTTTAAAAATCATGACTCACATTGAGAAGCTCATTAACTATCACACTTGTATCAGCTTCTTCCTGCTGAGAAAATGACCGAGTAATAAAGTTGGCAAGTCAGAGGATGTTTGGGTTTAATGATTCTTAAAATGTGAGGCAGGCAGGAATCTGTTAACCCTCCTATTATCCTTGAATTTTACTAACACATTTTACCCTTGGGGTCAATCTGAGTCCAGGTATATTTGCCTCCAAAAAATGATTTACATGCAATTGCTGGCCAAGATTTTTTGTCAGGTGCTTCGTTTATTTGTTGAGTACATAAATAACTCCTTAATAATGAAACCTAACAGTGAGTTGACCTGTTCTCTGGCGCCACCAATAGGCCAAACTTTTAAAAGTAGAATAAGTGTATCTTGAAAATCTTTTATCCAACATTTTTCTAATCTTGGTTGCCAAATGTTGCCAAATCCGGAACAAAATGTCCATACAGTTTATGGGCACGCCCGGAGGTCTCTGTACAAACAAGCGGCTGCCGGAAGAGAGTGGGTGAGTTGTGTTTACTCTCTTTTCTAAAGACATCAGGCAAAGCTAAAAAAATGTTTGGTGGCTTGTGCTATGGCCCTATATGTCCTGTTGATGAAGTTAGGTGCTGTTCTGAGCATTATTTCTGGCTATAGAGTGGCGTTTTGGTTGAGCGCATGGCTCTGTGTATTGCTATCCTGTGGTTGTTACTAAAGTTGATATCACTAGAGAAGCAAGCGGTCTCACTCGTGTGTTATGGTGTGTTTGACCCTAACTTAATTTTACACCGGAATATCCCTTGAAAAAATGATTAAAGCGGCCCTGAAGATCATGTGGTCTCTCTGACTTTGAAAACTCTTGTGCATGGACAGATTTTTGACTGAGGAGGTCAAAGTCCAGCACTTTTGTAGAAGCCGCCAAGTTATCACACCTACTTGTACTTCCAAAAAGGTGTGATTAAAAGAAGAGTCTTGATGCTGGTGGTCTTGCTTTTGTTAGTCATGTGGGTTGGCGGTAGCTCAGGAGGTAGAGTGGTTGTCCAATAACTGGAAGGTTGGCAGTTCGATTCTACCCTATCCTGAGTCTGTCCGTTGTGTCCTTAGGCAAGACACTTAATCCACCTTGCTCCCAGTGTGTGTCCTCCACTTGTGTTTGGTGGTGGTTGGAGAAGCTGTAGGCGCAAACTGGCAGCCACTACTGAGGTAGTTTACCACTATATAATAAAAACCACTATAGTGCTAATGCATTATTATGTAGACGCAACAGTTTGAACTTTAATCTGTTTCATTATCAGCTAAACCCCTCCAAACATGTGCTTTAAATACCTGATTTAGGAAGATACGTGTTTGTGATAAGAAAGAGAGCAAATCAACGTCCATTTTAATATTTTATTGCAATTTATTCCTTTACAGTTAAACTGAAACCAAACAGTATAAAAAACTGACATTGACATACAGACGCACAAAGTCAAACAAACTCACTGCAATGAGGAAAAAAAACACACTGAGTCTAAAAACGGTCCTTTGTACTTGAATGTTCGTCCTCCTCGCGTTAAGACATGTCCGTCGAGCTGTCGTCTCTGAGGACATTCACGGTCCATGTTTTCTTCTTCATCCTGAAGACCAGTCACCACGCATAAAAACACAAACCTACAGCTAGTTCTTCCTCTTACAGCGATACTGGACAACTGGCCAAAGTAACAAAGAAAAAGTGATAATGATCTGCCTCAGGGACGATGGGACAACAGAGTGTGTGTGCACCATGCTTCTGTGTGTGTGTTTTCTCTTCTTTATCTACAACATGAGTGTTAAAACAGGAGTCCAAGTTCCTACTGGAAGCTGTGTGAACGCTGCATGCGTCGCTGTGGGCTTTCCTTCCTATGAGTCTTCCTCACCGTTGACGCTGTCGCCGTCGTCGTCACCTTCCACGTGTTCTCCTTCTTCCTCCTCATCCTCCTCTTCGTCGTCTCTCTCCTGACTCTTCACCTGCAGTAAGAAAACGCACGTTTTGTATGAACAAAACTGATCAGGAGTGAGAGTCGGGTACTCCAGCTGTTTTAGTCCTAAACTTTCGTCGTACCTCTTCCTCGTCCAGCAGGTCTCCTTCATCTTCCTCCTCCTCGTCATCATCATCGGAGTCGTTCATCTCCTGGCTCTCCCGCTCTCTTTTGAGCTCATCCTTCTTGTTGCTCGGGTGTGGAGGAGAAGTCACCTCTCCTGGTTCGGTTTTTGTGCTCTTAACTTCTGCCAAACAGGGAGGTGCATGATTATCTGCTCTTTTACGAGACGTTTAAAAGACATTTACAAATGTCAGATAAACTAAACAATCAGTTGTGCGGTAAAAAATGAAAACATACCGTGTCTCCAGCTCCTACCTGACTTCTTGCTGTGGTCCTTCTCCATGCGCTCCAGGCTCTCCAGGAGGTCGTCCACTTTGCTTTTGATTTGGGTCAACTCTCGCTTGATGGTCTGCAGCTCGTCCACTTTCACTGCAGAGAAAGGGAAGAGGAGGTAGTTAGGAAGACTTCTTCATAGGCCACTATGGAAGGACTGATTCCTGCTGAAACCTCCAGGATAAATTCAGAATAGATTATATTTCAAGATTTTATAAGAACCCAAATTCATCAAGACACGAGGAAAGGAAAATCAGGAAAACTCAGGTGATGATAAAAGCTGTAGAGATGCTTACTTGCTCTGGATGAGGAAGTCCTCTGGCTGCTCTTGGAGGAAGAAGAGAAGCTGCTTTTGGTTCTTCGGCTGCTTCCTCCACTCAAACTCACCCTCGGGCGTTTGGACGGAATCACGGCCCGGGACAAGGGTGGAGGGGGAGCAGGAACACGGGACGGGTATGAGTACATTCTGGTATCAAACACGGAGAAGTAGAAAACATTTACAGTTTAAAGTTTTAATGAAATAAAGGTCATCCTGACTGATCAGGCACAGAAAAGACTTTCACGTCACTCACCTGTCGTAATAATCTCTCTGAAAGTCGTAGTCCAGCTCAAATGAGGAACTGCTGTTTGGGAGGAAAAATAAGAACAGTCAGTGGAAGGAAACCTGAAGGTGACGGCGTTTATCATTTCTAAAAGGACTTCTCTACTGACCTGTACATGTCTCCAGCTGAGCGTTTGGTGGTTTTTGATCGGTGGGGTTTGGGTTCTCCTGCCAGGTTAATGTCTGAGGGGAAGAAAAAAAACCAAAACACTCAATTAAGTTTTTGTTTTTGGATACATTTTCCACACTTCAGGTCAAATTTACCCTTTTTAAAGGACTAGAGATAACTGGAGAGCAATCAGCCTGTGGCACCATCTTGTGAAGCGTGTTTTATTCCATGTCTTAGTTCTCTGCGCATCCAGTCAATGAAGTGCCTTCTCATATGGAGGATCACACAGACTCTTCCAGGAAGTTATGGTCTGTGTATTATGCAAAGTTCACAAAGTTCCAGTTCGTCACAGCTCTTAAAGCAGCGACTAGTTCTTTCAAAAGTCCCTACATTGATATTCAAAGTACATCTTTGTGTAAAGTAGAAAATTATACCCTACGTCACAGGGTACTATTCCTGCCTATTCCAGATTAAACTGGTTTAAAGATTATAGAAGATACAGTTTTAAGATATACGATGGTTAAGAATGAGCAACACCGACTGAAGTGAAAATCCTTACCAAGCACTTGTCCAACAATCATCCTCCCGTCCTCCCCGGTCACCGCAGCTCGGGCGTTCCTCTCATTGGCGTACTGAACGAAGGCGTAGCCCTTGTGCACCGAGCAGCCGACGATCTTGCCATATTTGGAGAAGATGGCCTCCACGTCAGCTTTGGTGACCAGCAGGGTGTTCAGGTTGCCGATGAAGACCCGGGAGTTGAGGGAGCGTGGGTCGGTTTTGTTGGTGACGTTGCTGGCGGCCATGAGGCTGGAGGTGGTGGGTGAACGGCTGAGACAGGGGAGACACACAAAGACACACAAACAAGAGCGAGATTTAGGGCCTGGATGAATGACAGACATTTCTCTGGACTGCTCCTGCTATCGCTGGGTGAAATATTACTGCACCCCCAGATGTGGGGGCTGTAAATCAGGACAACTGGAGACACTAGCAGCTGGTTTTTCCTGGGAAATTTAAAGGAAACATCAAACAGACAAATGCTGACAACATTAGAGAAATCTGCAGGAGGTCATGAGTAGATATGAGGGCGTCTATCCATGTTGTATCATCAGCAGACCTCGCTCCAAACGTATCCTCAAGCCCTTTCCTTGCAACACGATTACTGCGCTTAATTAATGACCCCCGAGTCCCTCACTGTCTAAAATAGGGCTGCACAATTCATCAAATTTTAATCCTGTTCAAGGTTTTGGCCTTTCCAGGGTCACAGAAATGTGACTGATGGTAGTTATCAGCCCTGAGAGCAGAAGACCATCTGTAGCAAAGCAGACTAAGTGAGAGAATTTGACGTGCGGGACAGTGAAGCAGAGGAACCTTGTGAGCAAAACTGCAGCAAAAACAAGCGTTTACTCATGCTGACCAGCGTTAACAATTGCATAACTTAATGAGTGGCCTCTAAGACTATTATTTGATTGGGATAAGATTAAAAGCTTAAGTCTAAGCACTCCTGTCTTTTTAATAGCACTCAGTAACAATACTCCACACCTGAAAATGTAAAGCTTTAAGGTCATATTTGACAAAATCCATGTGGAACAAAAATGCTAAGGCGCAGTTTTTGCCCAAATCCAGCCCCGGTAAGAGACAAGTGGCAGGATATAAACATTTTTAAAACAAAAACAGGGAAAAAATGTCCCCAAAATTAATAAGCATGATCTCAATACAGATCAAAATGACCGTCATGAACTTTTTAGCAGAATTGTGCAGCCCTGATCTAGAATAATCCAGAATGAGGAAAAAAATGAAATAGTTTAATCTCATTAGGCACCACATGCTTCCACAAACCCAGCGAATGAAGACCAGATTCTGCAGCAAGTGTCTGTGATCAATAACAATCAATAATGCTTTGTGTAGATAAGAAACTTGGGGAGAATGACAGGATTTTTGCAACATGTTTCAGCACATTTTTCAACCCCTCTCAGATACTCAATTCACTTCAGCATCCTTTATTTCTGCCAGGATGACAGAGACGGACAAGAATCCACATAGAGGGCCTTGAGACTTCATCAAAAGGAGCTTTTAGCAGATTGTAGGTGGAGTAAAATTACATTTCAATGTGAATTTGTGGGAAGTTTTACTTTCTGGAGCTGTGAGGGAGGCCTGCCACTTAAAATTAAGTTTGGGATTAGACGTCAATGTGCCGCAGTATGAAGCAGATGAAGGTTTTGAGGGTGTCTGTTGGTTTGGTTGCTCTCATTAGTATTAAGTTAAGGAAGAGTGAGGTGAACATGATCGTGCAGGGAGATCTAATCCACTGATTCATAAGAGTGTGTCATTTTGCTGCAGTACACCGTTAAGCACCAGTAGAGGACAGCATTGGAGGAACAACACCAAGCAGTGCAGTACAGTTTGATAGTTAGTCTACTATCAGAACATTTTATCATAAAGCAGAGCATCTAAAGTCACTCTCAACACTAGACTTGTGGTTATACTAGGTCCTCCTCCAGGGAAAACAGTAACTGTCTTCTGTGAAGGATGAGGATATTCGGTGAAGCCCAGAGCTTTGTGGGGATCTGGAGATTGGGATTTGAGCCCTGATACAGCAAACATGAAAACAGCAGAGGCATCAACAGTAACCCCCTCTCCTCTGGCTGACAAGAGGGGGGTCAAACATTCATCACTCACTCCATAGCGTCTGTGTGCAGGGCTGTCGTCTTTCTGATGTTTGACACTGTGCGCTGGGGTCAGTTTGGGCTGGTGTCTCGACCTTCACCTTCGCCCCTCACGATTTATACTGAGGTGACAGAAAACACACCTCAGTCAAGCCGAGCAGGGTTATGTTGTACCAAGTCTTACCTGGTTGGGGGGTGTGTACAGGGGTTAGTGACGAGGCAAACACAGAAACACAAGGTAAACCTATTACAGCTAGCCACTGCGGGACTGAAACCTGACCCCTGGTGGATGTGTAAGTCTAGAGGTAGAGAGCATGGTGCTTATTTTCAGTTTGACACTATTTCAGAGGAGTTTGCACTAAAGAAGCTCATTAACAGACAACTCAGACCAGAGGGATTTATGGTTCAGTAACATGAAGGGAAGTTACACTAAGCCAGGTGACTAATATGTGAGTTTTATACTAATACTAAAAGGACTAAGTTAAATCAAATAAGCTGAAGGCGTCGATTAGTTTATTAGTTTACTCTGAGAACCTTTTTAAAACAAAAATACACTACACTCAAAAGGGTGTGTGTCTCTATTATCTATGCAAATATAAGTATGGGGTTGGGTCTCATCATCAGCAGATTCTTAATATCAAAAGGGATATTCCGGTGTAAAATTAATTTAGGGTCAAACACACTGTAACACAGAGTTAGACATGCCCCTCGAGAGATGAATGTTGCCGACCAGAAGCTTCTCTAGTTATACCAACATTATATACACAGCAGTCTGAGGAGCCATAAACAAACCTCAACCAAAACGCCACTCTACAGCCACAAATAATGCTCAGTACAGCACCTAACTTCATCAACAGGACATATAGGGTCCTAGCCACAAAACATCTTTTTAACTTTGCCTGATTTCTTTAGCAAAGAGACTAAACACAACTCACCTCAGGTCAGTCCGTTACGGACTACAGCGGGGTGACGCAGCTCAAGGAAGAACATTTATGATAATTACTTTATTATTTCCTAGAAGTAATGATCACCATATTAATCATTTTGCACTGCAGACGCGGCAGTTCTTCTGCCTTAGCGCCTTGGTCTGATTGCATTTACATGAAGAAATGAGCAGGCAAGCAGTCAGCAACATTCATCCTTTGAGGGGGTGTCTGACTCGGTGTTATGATGTGTTTGTCCCTAAATTAATTTCACGCCGGAATATCCCTTTAATAAATAAAAACTAATCAGGATCAGGGGCCAAAGAGCAAATTTATAATAATATTCATCAGTCAGCAGTCTTTCACTTGTAGTTTAACTCTCATGTCTACTGTTAGGGTGTGCATTTCATTTTAAGGACTTTTATAAATTAACATAACTAATTATGGAGGGCACAGTTTATTAAACAGGAACCATTAATATTACTGTTATCCTTGTCGAGATAAATAAGTTTATTCCCACCACATACAAGCAAATGGACAGTGAAGATTGATTTAAGCAGATGACAAGAACCAATGATGCAATGAAAGCTGGACTAAGACCTGCTTACAGAGGGATCTATAGGGCCATTTGTGACATTGATAAGGTGATATATTTCCCTTTTTTCTCATCAATTAAACACATTTATTGGCTTCTGTTTCAAATGAATGATTAATGAGTGCAACCTGTCAGCTAATGTCAGCATACAAACAGCCATAAATCTCATTCAGGAGGACCAATGTTTAATTCATTTGATGTTTATGTGTAAAACTGAGGTTTTTTGGACAGTCCAGCACCTCCAAAATCAGCAAAAATCACTCTTCATCATGGAGGGGGTAAAAAAAAACACGGGAAAAATCTACTCCTCAAAAATTAAAAATTAAAAACAAAGTGAGCCGGAAAATCAAAAATTACCTAAACCATCCACAACACACCGCCTGGACTCCGACAGCGCCACCAAGAGGCTTTAGTGTGAAACACAGGCCTGCGCTAGCATCGGCGGCACAAAGCCGGCTGGCTTGGATAAGATGGGCCAACAACCAGTTAAAAATGAAAAATACACAGCACTAGACCAGTTCTTCTGCTTGCAAAAACCAAAACCTGCAAAACCCCTTCTAGATTTGTCGTCGATATTCATCAATCAATGAGGATCAGGATGAAGCCGAGACTACAAAACCATAAAGCTAGTTAGTTAGCATGGTGGGCTGACTGAGCAGCGTGCCAAAAACACTTCAGTCCCGTCAAGGAAAAGAGTTCACTATAAACGCTACAAAAACCAAGGCTACACATACTTGCAAAAATGATAAAACCGTCGCTAAAGTGCATCCAAAGCGTCGCGTAAACCCAAAAATCACAACCAGCGTTCGTGTTTCTGTGGGGGATGAGCGAGCGTCTCCGAGGTTAGCTCAGCTAGCACATAACGATCTGTCCACGGGCAAAACAGGAAAAAGCATCGTGGAAAAAAATCCAAAAAGAAAAGAAAAAGGAAGGAAAAATGAAAAATGTCTGGGAACAAAATACTCACCACGACCTTTACGAGTAAAATGTCTTGCTTTGGGTAAAATCTGTCAAATAGATACTTAGGTCGTCCTTTAGATCACAAACGATTCGCCCCCCTGAGCAGCGAGCTAGCTTTCACGGCTAACAGAGCTGGTGATGGCGCAGTACTCCACAAAGGTGCTTGTTTTGTGTCAAAGCATGGTCCGGGGAAGCGGGGTGGTTAAACGGAGGGTCACTGTAAGACAAGAAGAGACGGCGGTGTACGCTGGTGACTAAAATATGCACATCTGTTGTCTCCGAACGTTAGCCCGTCCTACCTCGTTTACTTTGATTTGTCTCTTTTAGCCTTTTTAATTATTAACGTTTGTAAAACTGCGAGAGGCAAAATGAAAAATAACAGCAAATATAGACAATCTTTAACCCCCAATCCTTTATTTTCAATGGATGTAGTTGTCGTTAAATCCCTCTCAGGAACAAGAGACCCGAATTTTTAAGAAAAACTTGTAATAGAATATCTTCCCGTTACACTACTGAGAGAATTTTACATCTGGCATATTTTATTTTTTGTTTGTGACTAGATTGCTTGTGAAATAGACACCTTTTGTGATACTTAATGCACTTTAGGTATCTTGCAAATAATGGGGAAAATGCCAAGGAGGTATGATTAACACCGATTTAATTTCAATTTATTTATATATATATATTTCTAATTTGTTTTACATCATTTAAATTTTTTGCATCAGACTTTTTTTTACTTTGGTGTCTTAAAATGTAACGATTAACTGTGTAAATACTGAAAACACATAATTTTAGATAAACTAGTGACAAAAACTGACTCTAAGACTATACTTTTCCCTTTTGTTGGATATATATTTTTTCTGTTTTTACACATATCAAGAGCTTACTCAATATAAATCTTTTTAACATCATTTAATTTTTAATATCAGACTGTTTTACTTCGGTGTCTTAAAATGTAACGATCAACCGTGTAAATACTGAAAATGTATTTTAGATAAACTAATAATATTAATAATAATGATAATAATAATAATAATAATAATAATAATAACTTGATTTGTGTAGCACTCTTAAAAACAGAATTTTACAAAATGTTTTGACATATAGTCATAGAGTACATGGAAAAAGACAGATAAAAACAAAAAGCTCAGTTAAAACAGAATTGAAGGCCACTTTTATGTCATGAGAAACCCAGACAACACAAGAACCATGCAACATAAAATGAGGTCATGATAACATTTAAAACTAGGGACAAAAACTGCCTTTAAGACAATATTATTCATATTGTCATATAAATGTTTCTGTTTTCACACATATCAAGAGCTTACTCAATATTAATCTATATAACATCATTTAATTTTTTTGTAACAGACTTTTTTTACTTTGGTGTCTTAAAATGTAACCGTGTAAATACTGAAAACATATAATTTTGGATAAACCACGAAAAGTGCCTTTAAGACTTCATTATTCCTAGTGTCTTCTTTTTTTGTTATGTTTTTACACATATAAAGAGCTTACTCAGTACTTCATATCTCACTCTATACAATAGTGCTGCTTTGGAGGACACTACACTAAAACCCACATTGCTTTACTTAATCCTACCAAGAGATGGCGCTGCTGTTATAAAAATAAATAAATGATGGCATAAACTGCTGGAGGCCCAAGCCTGAGGGTATGTTAATGGTCGTGATTTGAATGAAAATGTCAGGATAAACTTTTTTTAGCCATTTTTTGTGTATCTACAAGCTTCAAATATGGGTCAGCGTTTTGAAAAGAGCTGTCATCTTATGTTGTGGCTACAAACCCTGCACTGTTAGCAACTTGTCAAACACTAAAGTAACACATTTGTAAACTTTGCAACCCAAACCTAGCAAATACAGCGACAGAGTCCTCCTTTTAGTATAAGAAAATATGGAGAAAATCAGCTACAGGCGTGCTCGTGAGAGATACTTACTGGGGACACCTAGTGTACAGGTAATGAACAACAGATATAAGACTAAAAATACCAAAATAGGCCACAAAAAGGGATAGTCGTTGAAAAAAATCAAACACGTCATTGTAATCCAGTTTGATTTTTGATGTTCCTGTCTTGCCTCCAGTGGATTTTTTTATTACGCTTTGACGTTTGATAAAATTTGAAAAACATGGAAATCATTTCCATCTGATCGGCATGTTATTTCCAGCGAGAAGCTACTTTTACGTCATGATATTGATATTAGCAGCATCTGTGGAACTCCTACTATGACAGCCAGGGGGGCAAAACAATGACTGAGGAAAAGACTTGGATATAATCCTGAATGACTTTATTGCACCTGAGGTAGAAAAGAAAGAGAAAGAGCATAGATGGCGAGCAAAAGAGACCAAAACCAGCTGTTCTCTGCATCCAGTTATCGTAGAAGAAACCCCAACAATGTCCCAATTTTACATGGAGAATATGTTCTTTTGTGAATTGTTTTCACCCATCTGGTTTGGTTTTTCGCACCATCCCAGAGGACTTGTTTACAGCTCTGTGCAGCATCTCGGGAATCAGAAATACAACTTGACTTGCAGTTTCATTGTGTAACCAGATACATGGATAAAAGGTTTCTGTGCTTGTTTGTGTCTTTTGTGTATTTATGTCAATCTGAAGAGACCAGAGGGCCAGATGTTTGACAGGCTGTGGTACGGCATGTCAACGTTTTGGATGTGATCGGTACAAATGAGGACAGGAGTGTGATGAGGGGGGTACTTAAAGACACTGTCAGCTGTCATGTTGGTAGAACACAGAGATAGAGAGAAACAGGGACTTTAAACCAGTCTATACTGTTTTGGCTGGTGTATGCGCTGTTTTTAGAGCATGGGTCTCCTTTAGCTTTACATAACTGGTATTAAGACATATTTAGATATGTCTTAGTGTTGCTGGAAATGCCAGCATCCACTTACAGACTCCGACCGAGGGGTTATCGTCTTATCATTCCTCAATATCTGCATGTAAAAGTAAAACTGTGAGAATTGATTAGGTTGAAGCAGGAATCCGTTAAAGAAGGATCTTTTTCTGTGGTGTATACACAAAAAAGCTTTTAATATCAGTCAATAGCTATTAGTCATTAATGACATTTGGCAATATGACGATATCGCAGGCGCTTAAAAGGGAGGTAGACCACCCGGAAAAGAGGTAAACAGCTGGGTCAACAATGATTGGGGACGCTTCAGGATCTTCGTGACCCTGTAACCTTTCTGCTGGACAGGTAAACCGCTTTAACAAAGTAAGACAAGTGTCTGTAACAGAAGTGTTTCTTGTCAAACGGACCTGCTGTAGCGTGTTGTAGCGCCGCTAAACTGTTGACCTTGGGTCCTGGACTATGTCACTTTATCCTAGTTGTAGAAGTCCTGCAAACATTGTGTTTGCTGGTAGTCTGTTGGCATCTACAGTAGCACCAATGCTGTTTACTTTCACGTTGACTGGACCCCATTTGTAATCATCTGAAGTATTTATCTGCATTATATCTGAATTTAATTGCAATGATACGAGCAAGCAGGAGCGTCTGTTTGTGGGCGGGGCTTGCTGGAGCAGAGAGGGAGGGGAGAGGAGGAGCTGAGGGTAAAACTGGTTGGGAGGGGTAGAGTTTACATTCAAGATTTCTCCCCAAAACTGGCTCTTCCTCAGATCCTGACTACCCCACCTTTAAATGGTTCAAAGCATAAACACGAGAGAACTGAACGAACTACCAAACTGTTGCCAAGCAATGCAAACAATTTCTGGCTATTGCTCCTATATGAATGTTTACATATTACCACTTACTCCCATCTATTTGTTTCATGTAATTTATGATCACAGAAAATTGGGTGTAAAAGAATTTCTTGGCGGCATGTTCAACAAATTAATCTTAAAGCAGATGCATAAAAAAGATGAAGAAAAAGCAGTGATATGAATTTCACTTTCTGTCATAAACATAGAAACTCCTCACAGGAGCTTTAAGAGAGTGCTTTTGTTGGCAGAAGGTGTGCAACGTCAGTCCAAGAACTCCACCTGCTGGGCTGCTCCTGCACAAGCTTTGGCCGCTCTATTGTAATCTATCAGTGACAGGCGAGGTTATCTTTTGGCTTCTCTCAAATCTCATGCAAAGATGGCTTAATGTCATCCGACATGCAGTCAATTTTCTTGATGAAATGTCTACTTTTGCATCAATTAAAGATACTCAAAACTCCAGAGGCAGAATAACACACACAGTTTAAAGCATATGGGGTGATACACTTCACATTTATCACACTTTGGTCTTCTTACAGTGATTTTTAAAGTTTCTACCATCAATGTGCCTCCTCTGACCTCTGTCATGAGTCTTTTTCTTGCATGGAGCAGTTTCAGTGGCCTTGTGCCTCTGTTTTTTGGACTGCCTGGTAAATAAATCAGAGTTTTACAACACTAATATCACTTTACACCAAACATTAGAAACATTATACAACTGTATTGAAAGTTATTTATTCATAGCTGATTTATCATCTTCTTCTAATGAATCTATTTACGGTTAAAAGGCCTTTCCCCCCCACACACACACATAATGCTTTGTGCTCATTGTTTCTTCACTTGCGGTTTGCTCTTTGTTACTGTCTGATATGATGGATGTGAAGAGTTTTACGCTGGAGGGCCTTTTTTTCATTCTTCTGTTGCAGTTTTTTTTTAGAGTTCGCCTCAATCTCCTTGCATTAAATATGTGAATACATTAGAGGGATTTTGCAACTTTTGAATCTGGTATCAATCCAAAATTTGATCTACACAAGAGTGATGTAGGAACCTTCAACACAGCTAACGGGATTTTCAGTGAAGCGGGAGACATCTTGTGTCCAGCTGTTAAACTCTTGAAATAAACAGTATTTGCATACTCAGGGATTCTGGGGTTTCAATAAGGCAGAAGGAGAAGATTTGGTTTCTAAAATTCATCATTATTGACGTTTTCATACAAAAAAGAAAAGACAGATCAAACGAGGCAGAATAATTTCCGTCTCCAAACAATTTTAGTCAATCACGAACTGATGCACAACAGTTAAAGCCTTGATTTACAAAACCTTTTTGGTTTCCATGGCTTCGTAATCCTCCCTGTTTCATGGTTCAGGGTCAAGGGATTTTAATGTTTCTCTCTTTTTAACAAGCCATAAAATTTGTAGTTATTACATTAGAGAGTTATTCATACAAGGAGAGAAATTGTTGTGTTCGGGACAAGAATGGTGCAAAAGGTCAGGAATGCAAACTGCAGAAGTTAACAGTCATACATAATTTTATATCTAATGTATATGATAATGATAAATGGTCAATCAGCATATAGTTCTGAATGTCTACGAGCTTTAAATAAACAGGTTTAGATCCAAATTATTCACAGCTAATCAGCAAAAAATGCACTTATCAAACCATGAAAGGGTGGGACACCACCATAAGTTTTGAATCATTTGAGGAAGATAAGAAACCAGATGGTAAGAAGACCCCAAAATCGACTCTGAGAGCTGCTAAAAAACAGAAACAACTGTTCTTATTGAACTGTAGACTTAGCCCACTGCTTCCTTAATGCAGCATTGGCAAAAAGAGTAACCATTATGCCTGTTTGAATTGACAAAACATTACCTTTTGTCTCTGATTTTGATTTTGTTTGATGTGTCTGCTCAAAGCTTCAATGAGTAACTTTATGTTTGTTTTGATTTTGGCACCCCCTGTGGACAAAGTGGTTATCTCTTTATCGTCGCTGAATTTATCTCGTCCTTAAAAAAAGAGTCTCGTCCTTAAAAAAAGAGTCTCAGTGATAGAGACAATCTAAGTATTCATAAAAAGGAAAGAAACATGATCATAACAAATAATGATGTGTTTAAGACATGATCAGATGAGATTTTAATGATATGTTAAAGGAGTTGAGGGATGGTATTGATTTTAAAGATGCATCTAGATTATTTCATAGTTAGACTGATGACTAAAAGTTCGACAGGAAGGTATCTGAAGATGGCCGTTTTGTCTTGTTGAGTACGGTTGAAGGTCGAATGAAAAGGTAAAAAAAGTTTCGGAAAGTTTCAGGAAGGTTTTGTTTGTTATTGATGAACTTGTGGACAAACAAACAAGAGTAAAGGAGATTGAGTTTGTCAATCGGTAAGATGGAGTATTTAAAAAAGAGAAAATGTAAAATATATGAAGTCCTTGTTTTATACAAAGAAGACATAAGACTGAGCTTTTATAAGAAAACACCATTAACAACTGAAAGTAAAACTGAGAAATAGGTTAAAGGTCACTGTGAACTCATTGAATCAACAATATGTCAGATACTACAAATGAAGCATTAAGTATCTTTGTTTACATTCATGAGAACAAACAGTGAGGAGCATAAATACCACAAATAATTCGATTAAATTAGAGAAATTACGTCTTGAGTTCATTAAGACTTAAAAAAAAAAAGGTCCAGCCTGAGTTTATGTGCGTGTGCGCGCGCAGCGGAGCAGCTGCAGAGAGTGAGCTCGCGCTGCAGAGAGGGCTGCTGTGACAGTGGGAAGCACAATCCGCGTGCAGCCAGCGCGAGGCACAGACCTACTAACAAGCCGTGGGAGCATGACTGGGCACAAAAAGGTAAGAACAACGCCGTCAACGTTACTTTCACGCACTTTTAATGAGTTTTGAACGTAAAAATGTGACTTTATGAAGAGTTTCGAGCGTTATCGTGAAGTTTGTTTGGAGTTGTAGTTTGTTGGAGGCTATTTATTGCAGAGTCAGTGTTTTTAGGGGTCACTGAGATTCTCCCCAACTGTGCTAATTCAGCTAAAACCGCTTCGACAGAGACACTGATGGAAAAATTAAGAAATATCTATCATTATAACTGTTAACAGCAGTGTGTGTAAGCCTAAAAGTGAATCCAGCTGAGTAAGTGATGAAGCTTTGTTGGTGGATTCAGGGTGTGCAGAAATGCTTTACAACCACTAACCTGTCAGTACAGCATGACAGATGGGGGAAATTCTCCTTAGCCAGAGGAAAATAGTTGGAGATGTTCCACACAGTTGTTAAAAAATGTTGCATTCAAGGCTAATTTTATGTCTATATCATGGATTTCACAAGACCTTGTTTTGATTGTGCAACAAGGATTTGAGGAAGGCAATTAATAGCCTAGATATCCTGCTCCATACTGTAGTAAACTTTTGCCCAAATGGTTCCTTGTGATATTTTTTCCCCTCGTATTACTTAGGGGATTCTTCCCGTCCACTCCTCTGCAGAGCGCTGATTTATGTAATGTAGCTGGAATGAAAAGTGCTGCGCAGGGGGTGGAAATCTGGCTTTCTGGAAGTCAAACAGATGAGGAGGCTTGTTTTAATCATTAGTCTCATGGTATCACTGGCACAGAGCCTGAGCTGGGGATTCATGGTTTATATTCGCAGGACTCGGCCTGTGCTCCCTTTGCACAGAGGTGTGTGCAGAAAGTGCTGAATCACATCTTACTCTGTCATTTACCTCATTGAATCTTATATATGTGGCCATAAAAGAGGCAATAAAAAGATCTGCTCTGTTTCATAAAGCACCAAATTGCATTAATATGTCTTTGGATGGTTGATCAGGTTGTTGATCAATACCACTGAGTCAGCAATTATTTCCCCAGATGCTCCGATTGTTTGCTCAAGTGCTTAGATGGACAAAAGTGAGCCAAGATTTGTTTTGCATCAGAAACATTTGTTTGGCCTGGCAGTGTATGTTCGCCTTGAATTTGCACCAGAGGAGGAAAATAACAAAAGCATGTCAGTTTTGGTGGGTTGTATAAAAATGTAAACAATGGTTTCAAAATATTTAACTACAAGTGAAAGTTTAAACCCCAAAACACGGTTTACAGATCGCTTGTCTTTCATTCAAGGATTAAATAAGTTTACAAGCGCATGTTTACTTGGTTTAAAAAAAAAAAACAAGGGTGAGATGAGGGTATATTTCCACAAAGACTCATTGTTACAACTTTTACTCTGTCCAGCTTGACAGTTTACTCTCAGCCTTCATCAACTTCAGCTCAGGACTGTGTGCTGAGGTCAAAATCCCGCAAACAAGCGAACAAGTTGACCCTGAAAAGCGTCTTTACCGACACAAGTGTTTCCGTGGATTTCAGCCATGACAGCTCAATAAAAAGCTGTTTCCAAGCTATCATTAGGAACCGATTTTACAGCCCCTTCATGTCTTTGTTTCAGACCATTTGATTTCATGTTTATAGGATTGTTTTGAACTTCAATGATATCTTGCAGTAATACAAGAAATGAGAAAAACATCTAAAATATTAGGAGAAACCAAGTGTTCTCATGGCACGCAAAAGTGAAAAAAACAACTCACAGCATTGGAAATCTTTCTTTTTGGCACTATTTCTGGAGGGAACAGTAGCTCGAGTTATTTATATTTGGAAATAGTTTTATACTTTAAGAGCCTAAAGTGGTCAAACAGTTTCAAGCAGAGGACTGACTGTTAAAATATCTTTTTTTAATCACATCTTATCTTGAATATTTCATTTGTGCCCCAAAGGAGATCTAAGAGAGACAGTTTGTGGTGTTTTTAGCTTGTTTCTAAGAGGGTCTTGTTTGTAGTGTTTTACCCACAGGGACATAGAGGCAGCTTGACCTCTTTATTGGGAAGCTGAGTTGAGAAGCAGCACAGAGGCCAGGCTGTACACAGGCCATGCTGACCAGGCTGATGTTACCACGTGAAAGCTGCAGAGGATGTATGTAGGAATAGTGCTGAAACAAAGTGACTTTCTGATGACAAAGTAAAGTGCTTAAAAATGTCTAAGTAGAGCGCACACTTACACACTAATGTTTGAGTAGAGTAGGGCTGGGCGATACAGGAAAAAGTTGATCACGACATTTTTTTTTCATATCAGTCGATATCGATATCACGATATAAAAAAGGAAATTCAACAGTGCTTATTGGTAGCATGTCCTTTGCGATACAATCAGCTCCTGCATCTGTGAGATCTTTGTGTCTCTGACATTTTGCCATAAGGCGTTGCGCTAGAGAAAGCAGACTGACTGGTCAGCTGTTTTGGCTGCACAGGCCCCACAGACTCTTGGCTCCGCTCGGGGATTTTAACCTTTTGCATTGCGCGTGTTCTGCTGCGTGGCGCTGCTTCAGGTGGTTAAAAAGATTTGAGTTATTCCCCGACTTTGTGAGAACATTTACTCGACATAATTTGCAGTGCACATTACTCTGCTTCATGTTCAACCTTAAAAAAAAACAAAATACGTCCACACCACCGGCGTTTTCATGCCAGTGTTGTCGATGATGTCGTCATCTGTTGAACCTTTATCTGCATTTCTGCCGGGGGTACTACTCATTTTCTTTTTTGCTCACTGGCAGAGCTGTCAGCTTCACGTGTTGAAGTGCTATGGTTGGGTGTAGCTGCAGACTGCTACAACACAGATTTTTGCTACTTGGTTCTAATTCAGCACATGATTGGTTCAGCGCAAAGTGGACCCATAGCAACTCCCCTTTTCATTGGCTGTTTGTATAGTCTATTAAAACATGTCAGAATGCCAACTATCGAAAAGGATATTGACCGTGTTTTATATTGATATTGAAGGAAATTAATTTTCGATATATATCGTTATCGTTTTATTGCCCAGCCCTAGAGTAGAGTTTCTGAAGATTGAACAAATATGCACTGGTTGGCATGTGCACTGTGTGGCTGGTATCAGTGAATCCTTCATTAAACAATCTCAATTTTTATAAGAGGACAAGAGACTTGTTAAAGACTTATATAGTTGTTTTTTTGATAACCTGCGAGTTTGTCTTTCTTTGGCGTTCCTCTTTGGTGAAAACAGGCAAGTGAACATCATGTAATGCCACCTAAAAGACTTGAATGCCATGGAGTGCACTATGGGTAATGTAGTTTTGGTGCTTTAATGAGTTGTCAAGAGAAACTGCAACATGTAGGAGATTTGAAAGGGTCGTGGTAGCTGACAGGAAGTCCCAGATGTGGCAGTACTTCCATAGCCGAGTATGTGGGTGAGGTGACCTCGTCTGCAGAGTTGATGATAGCCCAGCTTATGCAATGGTTGCCTGGTTGGTTTCTGAACAAATAGGCCGGACTAACTGTGACGCCCTGTTGGTAATACAACCACAATTGATAAGCATCTCAAACAACCCTTTTTGAAACGATAAATGATCTTTTTTACAAGCAATGTCTTAATTGGACTGCTCTTCCTGCAATAAAGGGTGATTTGAATCCCCTGTGGAGTCGAATCCAAGCAAGAAAAAGTCATTTTCAACGCCAGTTAGGGCAAAGTTGGCTCACTACTTGCCTCCTGTTAAGAAAATTGACTTTTTGTAAATGCGCAATGCCTTTTTAGCGAAGCGAGATTGGCTTAAAGCTTACCTCTGTTTCCAGTCGTCACGTTGGACAGCTGTGTCTCTGCGGTGCATTCAGTCAGCTCTCAAACAGAAGGTTGAGGGTTCAGTCCCAGGTCCCAGGCGGCTTTGGACAAGACAGCAATGTGTAAATGTGATTACTGATGAGCACTTCACAAAGCAGCCTCTGCATCAGTGTATGAATGTGGTGCGAATGAGTGAACTATGACATGTAATGCAAAAACCTGGACCGGTGCATAAAGATATAATCTGTTCACCATTCACATGACACTAGGTAGTTTAAAGCTAAACAATTATGAACAAAAACCTCTACTTGAAGAAAGAAATCTGTTTCTTTGTGGAAAAATTGAGGAGCTTAATTGTCCCGGGATTTCCTTTAATCATGTGCAGTCATACTACACCCTTTCATTTGTATAAAACCAGCTGACAGAAACACCTGTTAAGACTAAACTTCCCTTTATTTGGGGAAATTCGGTCAAACATTCGTGTAATAGTTAAATAAAAACATCTTATTACCGCTGTCCCCTCTAGTAGCTAACAGGGGTCATTTGAAGTCGTAGCTCACTGACTAAACCCCCTTTAATACTGGTGTTTACATTACGCAGAACAAGATGACCTAATGTTTCATTAACGGTTCAAAGTCACCGAGAAACTCTGATCATGTGGGATATATTAGTGCGAGGCAAAAACACAAATTTGCTTTCCCTTACATAAATATTTGTAACCATGCCTCTAAAAAAACAGCCTGCAGTCTGAATTTGTCACATCCGATCTCATGCGAGTTTGAAGTGCACTTTTATGACAGCGTGGCCTGTGCTCATAGCATGCTGATGAAATAGTTCGTCACTTGTTTTTCTCCGCTGCCCGGTCCCTACATACCTTTCACGGACATTAACTGTGATTGCCCTACAAGCAGAGCTCATTTCGGTTCGGTTCAGAAATATTATTTCTGGCCAGAGGTGCGTGCTCTTTTGCAACACCCAAGGGTGACACAGCTGGATAATAAGACCCGCTGCGAGTATCAGAGGTAACTGTTTCAACATTGTTTCTGGTGTGGATTAACTGTAAGCCAGAGTCTTTTTAAAATTATTTCAACTCGCAGAGCTTTTCTTCTTTGTCCAGTGGGTAAGTGGAATTATGAAAGCCCCAATTATTAAATGGAGAGTAGTTTATCTCTACATGATGCTTATAAACTCCAGACTCTTCTTGAGGTGATTCTCACAATACTTCAATAAAAAACAAATGTGCTGAAGAAATGCATATGTGTACGCGGCTGTTTTGGTTTTGATTTTAGTCGCAGGCGAACCGTTCATCTTCTTTTGTTTATGCTTTATTGGAAAAGGTATTTAATTTAGGGAGCCCTGCAATATAATAAAGACACATTAAAGTTTAATTGGAGCATCAAAACGGGATGTATAACAGCAAAACATCCCTCAAAACCAAGACAGCCTGTCTCATATTTTTGAACATTATCTGTAACATATTAACATAATTCAAACCCACAGAAACTCGTATTTTCCCTTAAAGCTCTCGTGAGGAGTTTCATGCTGGTTATAAAACAGATTGGAGTTAATTGGGAGGCTTCTTTACGAGCAAATCAGCCATCAGCAGCAACACTGAGTGTTTTTGTGTGTAATTTTAAATGCATTTTAATAACAACCTTTTATTACACTCTCGACAGCCAGGTTTCACAGTGAGAGAAGGATGTTTGACGATAGAGATATGTTGCATGTTAGGAAAAACTTCCAAGTTGTGTTCAGGACAAGATAAGCAAAGAAATAGAAAATATACTGCTTTGTCCACAGGGGGCGCCAAAATGGTAGAAACTGAAAGTTCAGCAGGGGGACTTAAAGTTTGTGTTTTATGCAAGCAAAGTGTAAAGTACTGTGCCTTTTTTAATGTAATTACCTGGCTTTCTTACTTTTCACCTGTCTGTGTTCGATACTTGGTTCTTATTGGTCAAAGCTCCATCATAACATCCAACAATCAGGCCAAGCTGCAGTGAGTTGCCCCCTCCTCTTACATTTACCTCTGCCTGTTGACACTGTGGTAAAAATGTAAGTTTACATTAGCATTTTAATGAAGATTACTTTCTGACTGAAGCTGGTCACCATTTGCTAGTCATACAGAAGACCTCTTTGCTGTACATCTCGGTCCCGCTCACCCTGTAGAGATTCTAGTTTGCATAACTTCCTGTTTGGTTTAGATTCTCCCTTACTAAATAGTCTGAGGTGGCTGCAACCCTAGCTGTCCTGATCCAAAGAAACATCAAAATATCAACAACTTTTGTTTGATTTAATAAGAGAGACCACTACGAGCAGAAATTTACCAAAATTATGGGAAGGAAAACTTAACACTATGTAAAATAAATTGCCTTGTTGTGTAAGTCTGACTAAAACTGAACTTTTAAAATATATGCAGAATCTTAGATTGATATTTCTTAAGGTTGAACACCTGTATGATGTGGTTGGGGACTGATTTTCTCTTTAAACAGCCCCAGACGAACCAAGGCGTTCGGTACATGCAAGCATGCAGGGCTTTAAATTGGAAGGAAGTGGGATAGTGAACAAAACTTGAACCTTGTACCTGAAATAAAGCGCAGTGTACATAAAAAAGCCACCTAGCTGAGAAGTTGTCCATGTTTTCACTGTTAAGAATACAATATGTTTACTTCTGGCCTTCTTGTTTGTCGATTGTTTTGGTATGTGAAGTGAGGGCAGACTTAACTTTGTGTCCTAAAGCTTGTGCACTGGTCCAAGGATAGTCTTTTTACTGCCTTTTAATAAATGCCTTATCGAGCTTTAACCGTTGCTTTACTCAGGTGAGCTTGTAAACATCCTAACTAAACACTATGCGACCAAAAAAGGAACAGCTAACATGGTGATAATAATAACCAGCCTTTTATTAAACTTTATAATAACAGAAGATCGATTAGTAGAGCTTGAAGAAAAAGATGCTTCCCTTCAGGCAAGGACACTGTGAAAACCTTTTAATCCGGATTTATGAGGTCCTGATGTGTTTTTGTTCTTCACAAATCAACATTTTGGAGACGAAGACACATATGAGTTTATGAAGAACAACACAATGAGGCTAATTTCTTTATTTCCCTTGAGGTCTTCAGTGGGAGGCTGGAGTTGCAGAAGCACAGGAGGAAAAGAAAGGAGAGTATGACTGGATCAGTATGATAGTAATAAACAATATCACAGCGCACGTACTGATGAATAAACACAGAAATAAAAAGAGACAGCCCTGAAAGAATAGGACTATTTTAAGCCCGTGTTGCACAGAGCATTATTCGGCGAATCTGTGTTGCGCACTAAACCGAATATAGCAGAAGCTTTTCCAATAAAGTTAAAATATTATTACTGGGAGCCACTTTAAACTCACTCACAAGCATAACAAATATATCAGAGAAGTTAAAGAGATCTGTCAAGATTTATGACGCCACAGCAGAGGTACACATGACTTTGCTCCTTTCACGGGCTCCTGGAGAAAAAAACGCATTTACTTTTCAAAGTTTGAGAACAAAAAATATACAAGAGCGGGCGTCCAGAGGGGGAGAGTGTTGTTTTGGCAGAGGACGCATGTTGCAGAGTCACAATTTTAACCTGGCGCACTTAAACCGAGCTATTTTTGAGTAACTTGATCACTTTTTTTACAGTACCCACCGGGCTTCATTCCCGTCTTTATAATCCTAAATATATATTGGCAGTGAGACCCCCCAAATCTGACATGTCTTTTTAAGAGAGCTATTTTTATCTGCTGACAATGGCTTGGCACAAAAGTGAAGGCCGTGCATACGTGCAGACTTGAGCGAGGCCTTTTTCTCCTTAAATATAGCAATCGTCTTGCCTGTACCAAGATCAACATGCAACATCCTTTCGTTATTGCTTCATCGTTACTCGGTCAGATTTCAAACTTGGAGGAAAATTCGACGAAACGTGTAAATCTAACAACGTCTTTGCCTCCCAAACTTGCTTGTAAATGCACAAGGAATTTTTACTAGAATGAGGGTCAATTAATTCCACATTCACCAACCCACAAACGTCCACTCTTTTGCATTGTGGGCGCTCTACAAAGGGTACATTTGTTGTCACTTTTTATGGAAATATGATCTAGGATGTCTAAACGTGGGATATGCACACTACGTGTCTGTGCGCTCTGAGTCCATGTTTTTCAGATTTGTTTTTTTTGGATATGGAAACAGATAGAAAATGTCACATACAAAAAAACCTGCCCGCTGAGTCTGATGTGTTTAGTTTTCCATTCATTAGAAAAATTAGCAGTAAAAATCCGGATTCATGGAGGAGTGGAGGCAATCTTGTAGTTCTTTTTTTCACTCATTAAAAAGAGGAAAAGAAAACTCTGGGTCCAACTTCTCCTGAAAGAAAGACGTAAGCAAGGAGAGTTTCATCCAGTCTTCAATCAGTCGTCCCTTCTGGCCAAACTGGGATTACAGACTTAAAAGGAAGGAGGACCACCAATTATCAACAAAGCAGCTGATCCTGAACAGCAGAAATAGAGACACAAACACAGACAATGGAAGTGTGCAAAGACAAGATCCTGGTTGTCCATATTTTCCCATTAAGATACCTTCAGATTAGTGTGCCGGTCGAGGTTAAATTCCAGTCTGAATACTGCGAACCCATTTTAAGACCATGCAATGAAAAATAAACACATTTGACTTCTGATAAGACCCTGAAATCTGTCCATTAAACTCTCTCTGATGAAGCTTAATGAGACTGTGAGACGATCACTGTGGCCCCGATTAATGACACCTCGCAGGAGCTTTACAACCTAACAGCTAACCTCATGTTTGTGCAAACTGCCGTAGAGGACGGCTTGAAATGTTTAGTTTTTTTACGAGTTTACCTTGCCTGACATCCTCATAGATATGAGCAGATGGTAATAATAGACCTGCAGCTGCTGCACTCGCTGTGGTTATCTCTTAAACTGAGGGCAGATCTGCTTTATTGATAAGGAAGTGAATTATAACAGCTGGATTCAATACGTGCCAGGTCCCCTGTTGATTGGCCGCAGAGTAGGTCATAAAGCCCGCCTCCTCCATGTTGACAGATGGGATATGAGCCAAACTGCAAATTACAATACCGATCCAATGTTTTTTTCTCAAATATGGTTTCTGTCATATTTATTAGTTCTTGATCAGATGATAATTTTTTAGGAGAATTTTGCACGAGAAGCTTTGACATCATTTACGAACATTAAGAGGAAGCAGCGATGTGTCGTCCATCTTTATGTTCAGTTAAAGCTGTTAGTAAACTACCTCACATACTTGTTTTAAGCTGCTCTGAACAGTTTGTTTACATCTCTTTGTTTGCTGTCTCAGATGTAACACTAGTGCAGACACATTTTGGCTTTAATTAAACAGTAGGCGTCCTGAATACAGTAGCTGCAGAGTTTGCAGAGGTGCGAGGAAGAAGCCCTAGTGGGGAGTCTCAGGTTAGGCGTCACCTTTTTCTTCACTCAGACTCACTCAGATCACACCATCCTTTTCCAGATTCATCCATAAAAGGCAAGCAACCATTCGCTGTGGTTAAAATTCAAACTTTCGGTGATCTGATTTAGGGCTGGGAGATATGACCTCAAATCAATATCACAATATATTGAGCAGTTCACCTCAATAACAATAAACGGACGATAACTACTCCACAAGCTGCTCATCCCCTCCCACATTAACTTCGTCTACTTCAGCCGCTACAACTTTTGAACCGTCCTCCATCTCCTCACCTGTCTTTCCCTCTTTGTTACGGACTGGATGGGGTGGAGTCATGACTTCGATGTAGGACAGTGACTTAAAGGGACATGAGACCAAAACCTACCTACACACATCCAAAACCAACTTTTACTTATTTTTTTGACACTGAATATATCGACACGAGCAAAATGACGTTGGTTACTGTTGTAAATTTCGGTATCGGTAAATTTTCAGTTTATCGCCCAGCCCTAATCTGATTCAAACTTTAGACCCAAGATGCAACATATCAAGCTCAAAACAACACAGAGTTTGCCGTGTAGAACGTATAAAAATCTCAGAACCATAAATAAATAAAACCTATAACTCAGTTTTTTATAGCTGAAGGTGCGTGATGCTCCTTATTAGCCCTCATTAATACCGTCCTGACTGAGAGCTGTTTGAAGAGTCACTCCCTGTGAGATCATATGGAGTGCTGCACGAAAGGCTGGAAAATGTAGCTTGATGTTGCCCAATCTTGGTCCACCAGCAGGAGAAATACAGATGTCTCAATGAACATTAGGCTGAGGAGGATGTAAAAACATAGATGTAAAACATAGTATGTTTAAACAAGGATTCACAGTCCAGATACCACCCAAACTCTGTTTGCAAAGACATTTCGGAGTCAGTCAGTACCCACCACACCAGACTCCGTCCATCGCCGAAGAGTTTTAACAGACGTCTTGAGAAGCCGCTCCTATTTCAAGAGGCTGGCAGGCTCTGTGTTGGGTCAGTATAGGCGCTGCTGCTGCTGCTGCGAACCCGTCTGTATCTGCTTCACGGGCTCTGCTCACACTGTCTTGTGGTTTGGGTCGAGTCACTGTCATTTCACTGGAATTTCCTGCCATCTGCGCTCAGTCAAAGTTTCTCACAGATCCACACCTGCTTGTAAATGTTTAGGTCTGCCGGGATAGAGGGATAGGTAGGTGAGCGAAGACGGAGAGAGAAGGAGGGACTCAAACCCGCGGTTTTCTACAAATTTAGAAATAGTACCACAAAAACCTACCTGTAATAAAGACCGAGACTGGACAATGAGGTGGTTTATATTTCTGGTAACAGTATCTTTAAGTCTGCGTACCACCAGTATTTAGTTAAACTGAAAATTCCTCACAGGAGCTTTAATTTTTCTACATGTCTAAGCAGTGTTGCATTACGTTAGCTTTGTATAAACATTAAAAGTGAATATTCGACTCCAAATGCTTTCCTCGAGGGTAAGAGAGGCAAGACAATAAGAGGATGTTTAAAAGAGCTGGAGAAATCGTTTAGAGAGTGATAAAAATTGTGTTTAGCATCGTAGAAATGCAAATTTAGAGGTGCGAGGAGGCCTGTTTCATTACAGATTGATTGTCAGAGCAGCCATTTCTCTAATTTTGGTCTCCATTCAAAGGTTAGCTACATGTACCTGGCTGCAGCATTTCACATTTTTACCCCCAAGATTATTTTTCTGGATAAGAGAGAGAGACGGAGCTTCTTTTATTCCTATGTGAAATGCAAAACTGGCAACCCCAAACTCCAAACACACATAAGCTGTGGTTAAAGCCATGAGATTAAGAGCTTTGGTTATTGCTTTTGTGCTGATTGTGGGTCTGGATATGACCTGTGATTTGACCAGGATGATGACGGCAGTGACAGATGAGTTAATAAGTGGTGTAACATTAACCAAAGCAAAGAGCTCAGTAAATCAAGTCAGGTAGACTTTAAACAGGAATGTATTTACATCTTTTTTATGTGAGGATATTATAATAAAAGGTGAGATGAGACATAATTAAATGTCAATGAAATTCTTGAATGTGTAATAAACGATTTCCCTGTTATAGGATCTTTTCCAAAGGGAAGTTTTCAAAGGGCTTTACAGAGGCCGCAAAATAATACGAACAAGTCATAAATCATCTAGTTTAAAAAGAAACAGATACAAACACAGAGTTGGGCAAGAAAAGAACAGAAGAAGAAAAACATTTTCAGAGGAAATAAAAGACAGTTCAAAGAAAATTAAAGCTCAAGTCGAATCAGGGACTCGAAGATCTCTGACTCAGCAGGCCTGATTTCCTGGGGCAGATCATCGTGAGGCCTGACAGCAAACACTCTGTCCCCTCTGGGTTTCAGCCCAGCGTGTCGTCAAACAGGCAGAGAGCTACAACTACTACGTGCGCGCAAGTGTGTGCACGCTGCAAACACTCAAGAGGAAGAGAAGCCATGTAGAGCTTTAAAAGTAATCAGCGCAATCATAAAATCGACTCTTAAACAATCCAGTTCGGTGACGCCAAAAATGAGCAGTGAGCTCAGGTTTCTGGGGACTCGATCTGATCCGAGCTCTGTGAATTCAAATCCTTTTGGCGCAGCGTTGCACTCCAGGCTGATTTTAATAGCAGCAGTAAACAGTAGTCACAATGCATTTACTGTAGCCGTATACATAGCACCATAGATTTCACCACAGTGACCACATGAAGGGCCACAGTTCAACCACCACGGGCAGGCGGGGCGGCAGCTGCGCTCTCAGGACGCATGCTTTTAGCCTTAGGAGGAGGAGGAAGAACTAATGCACGTAGATGTCAGCGCTCACTGTAGTTCTGCGTGATATTAAACGAAAGTGGCAATGCATTATGGGGAAATAAGGAGGAAACTTTAAACAGCAGGTCTTCTCGAGCTCAAAAGTACATTTATGTTAAGAGTTCATTTGAAAATTACACAGGAAAATGGTTTAATGGACATGATTATGGGCAGTATATATGATCAGATTAGAGCTAAATCAGCATTATGTGGCTGATTGTTGGCGAACTCTGAGCATTATAGGCGGTTTAAGGACAATGAATGGAGTTACTGTCAGTGAAAAGACATGAATGAGGAGTTACTGGCACGACTCTTATTCCGAGTAAACATTCGTGAACTCTCTGAAAGCAGCTCTGACTGAGATTGTCCGGGCAGGTATCATGAAGCAACCCACTAATTAACAAAATCTGCTTTGGTCCTACTGGTTTGTCCAGTCTGAGCTACTGTAGAATAAAAATGTTAGCCACCAGAGTGAGGACTCACTGCCTCTATAATATTAGAAACTTTTTCTAAAGCATCAGACATTAAACGGTTATGATATCCCATTCAATATAAACTAATTTAGACATCAGGGGTGTCCCAATACAACTTTTTTACTTCCGATACGTTACCGATATTGTAGCCTTCAGTATTGGCCGATACCAATATTGATCCGATATTGGCACACAATTGTGTATGACAAGTTTTTCACTCAGCTGCAACGTCTTTTTCAGGCTTAAACAAAAAAAAAAAAACTGCTACAAGGCCGACATCACTCCTACTCCTTGGTACTTTGTTAGTACCTTAGTCCACACTAGGCCTGATCTACTAAGATCCAAAATAGCGAGCGATAAATTGTGTGTGCTGTTACTGGGTGTGTTGTGGGTGATCTACTTTCATTGCGTGCAAAATTGATAGCGGGAGCAAAATTGGTGCGGACCGCCCCTTTAAACAGGGATTTTACATGCGCTATCGGCCGTCACCATGGAGAGTTTGTGAGAGCAGAGTGTTTGAAGCCATGGAGTTGCACATATCGTTTTGGCGAACTGCATAAAAGGCAAGGGAAGTTTATTTGAACAGCACCATTCATACACAAGAGTGGTTAGTAGATCAGGTTTGCTTGCTATCAAGTTTGTACGTGTTTTTGCACATGCAAACCTTTCGTAGATCAGGCCCACTGTTGAGACGGTTACATGGGCTCTGTATGCTGGATCAGGGCGCCGCTAGATAGAGGTGCTGAAGCGGAGTCTGGAATAGACTGCTCGTATCGGAGTGCTGATATCGGAGATTTTAGATGCAGGCCGATATAATCTGATATTCTTTTTTTTCCTGATATCGGACTGATATTCAATATCAATATTGGGACATCTGTAGTAGGAAGCATGGCCGTGCAAAAATGATAGCCGTCAGAGCGAGGACTTAGTGCTTCTATAATATTAAAAACTTTTTCTAAGCCATCAGACATGAAACGATCATGATATCCCATTCAATATAAATTGATATAAACATCTGATTTCTTTGGAAAAATGCACCAAATTCTTAATAATACAAGTTTAAATAAATGGAGTGAAGTAAAGAAAGCAACTCTTCCATCTAAAATGTACCGAAGTAGAAGAACAAAGTTTGAAAAATTCAATTAAAGCGTCCAAAACTGTCCGCTCCGTAAAAATAATCAGCGAGGGAGAAACCTCTCCTGTCAGCTCAGATGTTAAGTCAATTACAGATCTGTATCAGCTCGATTTGGAGTATAATTTATCCCACCAGAGAAAAGAAGAGCCCTCGGAGAGTCAGCGTGTGGAAGATTAACCATAACTTTAGCCTCTTTCTATAAGATGACGATTCTCCTCCAATAACACGTCCTTATTTTGTGCAACATGAGACGGTGTTATTCACCTGCTCCCACTGAGTTTACTCTGACCCAAAATGACTCTCAAAATCCAAACGGTGCCAAAGACATTTTCTGGCTTCGATCGAACAACAAAGTAGCCTGAGGTATAATGTGGAAGAGGGAGAGTAAGACACGAGGGATACGAATGTTCATATCCATCAGAATAACCGGAGGATAATATATCAGAGCTGACATCTTGAGAGAGACATTAACGGTCAAAACGGTTTTAAAATTAGATCTGTTAAAGGATTAATTTGACAGTTCCTGGAGTCTGGACTTGAACATGGTTGTACAAACTGTAGTCACATTTTTTAACCATAATTAGTGAATGCATAGGTTTAATTTTACGTTAAGTATTGAGTGATTAGTGTAAAGTGTCAATGAGAGAAAGAAGGTGTTGTTCCCTCCACCGACAGTCTGCATCGTGTGCAGCTTTCAGCGTCACATCAGCAGTGTCAGGTCTGGCCTCTTCTTTCAGTATAAATAAATGTTTGAGAGAGCTCCACCACACGATCTTCTTGTTTGAGTTTCTCAGCTGAAGATGTTTGACAGCTCGCATTGACGTTTTTACGGTGGTCAAAAGACGGAACATAAACAGGTTTAGCTCAGATTTCGTGCTTGTCTGTCATTATTACAGAGCAGATCATGTTATAAACTCTTCGGCGTGTCCTCAAAGAGTCAGACCTGGATCGAACTCTGATAAAAAAAATAAAAAAAAACAGCTGTGATTCCCAAAGCAGGAATATAAGGTGCTCATAACTCAGCAGAGATGCTCATTTTTACTCAACTGTTTTGTTTAAGTTTTATGGCGACTGCTGCGGTGTTCGTCATCTTTACTTCATCATATTACAGGAAAAAGAAAACTGTTCACATTCAGAGAAAATCCCTCTGAGGTGTAGATTTATTCTAGCGAGCAAAATCAGCAGATAAAACCCTGAATAAATCTGGAGTCCCTTGTGGAGGAGACTGACAGCTTATTGACATCAACAGTGATGGTGTAAATCCACCCTCTGAAAGCTTCAATTATGTCCAGGAGGATGGTGGTCTTTATTTTGCAGACTCTAGTCTTATCTGTATCTTATCAAAACTCTCACACCCTTCAATCTCAGCATCTTCTCTCGAGTCTTTTATCAGTCAAACCTGAGAACACAGAGGACCTCTCATGCATCCTTATTTCCTGATAGAGAAGGTCAGGCTGATGGGCGGTGTGTAGATGCTTCTGTTTGTCCTCAGGTGCTGAGTTAAAGTTCACGTAATGATCCAAATTACTTATTTAAGTAAGAGCGGCTTACTCTTCTGTGAAAAGAAGAGTTTATTTATTTATCTTTATATAAACAATATTATTTGACATATGGATTGATCAACCCCTACAACTATGGCTCATGTTATAAAGCTATGTTTCTTTTATTCCAAAGAAGTGAAAACTTTTATCTTAGTTTTTGTGAATCATGACTTTTTTACCATTTATTTATGACTTTATTCTCATAACTTAACTTTTCATAACTTTGTGGCTGTAATCTTTTTGATTTCTGACTGTTTTCTTTCTCTAACTTCAAAATTCTTGTGAATATACAACTTTAGTTCCATAAATACAGGACTTTTTACTTATTTATGACTCAAGTAGTCATGTCTCTTTACTTATTTTTGTTCTGGTACATTTACATCTTGATTCTCATGCATTTAAGGCTTTTTGTCTTATAAATTTATGACTTTTTTCTTATTTAGCTACAACTTTTTTTATTTGTAAATTTACCCCTTTTTTCTCATATATGTGCACAATTTCTCATATAGTCAAATTTACCTCATAGTTATTTCATATTCAAAGTGAATTGACTACATTATGCTTCATGCCTGATTATCAGGATATTGAGAGTACGAAGGCAGCAGATACTCAAAGCTCTGAGAAAGCATCGTTATATTTTCAAGCGTCTTTCCTGGATCGATGGTGAAACTGTCAGGCAGTATAAATCTGCTCATAACACTTTCCTGTCTCTTAAAATCCTCTATTTTAATTTCCACCTGAAAGAGCTCCAGTAAACTGCTCTTTCTGGCGGTTTCCAGAGGTGTGTCTGTCAGAGTGGCTAGCAGGCGGCGGAGAAGAAAAGTAAGTGTTGCTAATTCAATTTCCTGTGGATGAATAAAGGTTAATGACCACAGAGGAGAGCAAACGATGATTTTTGGGCCCAGTCTCAACCTTTAAAATTGGTTTCACAGGATTAACCTATTTTTCGATGGTGGAGGTCCTGAGACACAAATTATTAAGTAAAGTGTGAAGTTTCACCCTGCAGCCAACTCTCTCTGTTACCGGGATACGAGTCTCTAATGTCATTTATGAAAACAAAAGCGACACTTGTGAAACTAGTGACGTAATTCACATGTTTTCTCTAATAGACTGCCAGGCACACATTTAAGAGATTTTGTTCTCTTACAGACATATTGTACTAACTGGAAATATACAGCACTTGAGGGTATTTATACCTCCCAAACATGTGTCTGTGTATTTTAAAGTATAGAAACTCAGATTTACAGCGCTTGTTATTCTTCCAAACTCGTAAAAGTTGATGTGATTTATATAAAAATGCAATAAAAAGCAATGTCAGGATTGCTAAATCAGTTTTTACATGTACCTGGAGACGCTTGATAATATTTCCATATGTCTCTGTAACCCTAATACAGGAAGTGATGTGATAGCGATTCCCCGCTCTGGACCAGATCACTAGACAGACTGTACATGCAATTATACACGTGTACCTTAGACTGTATAAACATGGACGGCACGACAGCTCCTGTAATGTGAAGACAAAACAGGTAGAGCTCCCCCTGGTGGAGCATGAGTCAAACTAGAAATGCATAAAAACTAACTGTTTAGATAGGGTGACTAAACTTCCTCTCTTACCCGGACATGTCCTGTTTTTGCGGGGCTGTCCGACCTGTCTGGGGGAGTTTATAAAATCCTTCAAATGTCCAAAGTTTTATATGGAAGTTTTGAGTTTGTGTAAGTGGACTGACTTGAAGTTAGAAGCTCGTAAAAAACGGTCAACCCCACCCGAAAAACCCTCGAAATTTTGTGCGTGACTCCACCCTGTGTCGTAGTATCCTCCTTTTAGGGATTCAGAATATGGTCACCCTAGTTTAGATATTAGCAGCCTTTGTCGTATAGAACCATTGTTATTAATCTAAGTCTGCTTCTTTACCAGTAAAAGTTCCTCATAAGAGCTTTACCTGAGACTAGAAATGAGTAGAAGAAGACATCCAGCGAAAAGGTTGTGGCTGGTAATTCATCTAGCGACTGCTGCAAGAGGAACTATCGCCTCTTTAAAAATTTTGCCGCTAATATGTAAAACAACACGCTGGACTGTGTTTATATAGAGCTCTCTGATGGTAGAGGCTGCTATGTAAAGTATCCATGGGCACAGCCACCGGGGACAGGTTGGTCTTAGTGCGTTGCCCAAGGAAGGATACTACGGTATAGGGCTGGGCGATAAACCGAAAATTTACAGTTACAGAAATTTATGACAATAACTGACGTCATTTTGCCCATATTGGCATATTTGGTGTCAAATAAATAAATAAAAGTTGGTTTTGGATGTGTGTAGGTAAGCTATGGTCTCATGTCCCTTTAAGAAGCTGTCCTATGCCAGAGATGTCCGTAACAAAGAGGGAAAGACAGGTGAGGAGATGGAGGACGGTTCAGAAGATGTAGCGGCTGGAGAGGCGGCTAAAGTAGACGAAGTTAATGTGGGAGGGGGTGAGCAGCTTGTGGAGTAGTTATTGTCCATTTATTGTTATCGAAGCGAACTGCTCAATATATCGTGATATTAATTTGAGGCCATATCGCCCAGCCCTACGACAGTATATGGGCAGCAGGACCTGAGAATGAGCCCAAGACCTAACCCTGACTCTACTCAGCCCTAGCTGCCCTGTCTGATGGTCTCAGTGCAAACTCATGAGCTGAAGTTGAACCCAAGAAAGATGGGTTCAACTGTGGGTTCTGACCCGTGTGTCACTCCCGGCTTTCACCTCCATTTCCTGCAGAAAAACAGCCCATTTCTCAGCATTTTTACCTGGTGGATATTCTATACGTGCATATTAACGTGAACAGTCCTGAACGTTTTGCTGTACTCTTGTTTTTAGATACGATAAACAACCTTTATATATCGTCTTATATCTTATATTTATATCTTTAAGCTTTATTCTACTTTTTTTTGCTTATATTTTGTGTCAGAGCGATTGAAATGCCCTCATATAGTATTTCTGATGCTAAAACCTGGGGCGCCTGCTTCAAGGACTTGAGTCTGAGCCTGATTTAACCACTGACGCCCCTGAACTCAGGTTTTAAAATAGTAGGATTCAAAGTTTAAAGCTTTATTGTTGTTTCTGTGGTGGTTTTTTTTTTGGCTTAATTGCTGCAGAAGAAGCTGCCCACACTTTAACATGATCCTGCATGTATATGTCACTTGGCTGTGATGAAGTTCAGCTCCAGGATTCAGTCTGAGTCTGTGTGTAACTGCTGATCCTCCCTGACGCCTCTATAACACCATCCAGGATTATCCAGGAAAGATGGATTAAAAACAAAAAAAAAAACACTGAAGGTCGCCTGTGCGTTCACATCACTCAGCGCAGCGAGGATCCCTTTTTTCTCATGTTTCAGCCGAACCAAAAGGCACAAAAAAAGAGTTTGTAATTCAAGAACCGGAGCGCTTATTGTTGAGACAAGTACACATTAGCTTGTCCTGAAATGCCACAGCTGTGTTTAGCTAAGCCCAGCGAGCGAGTCTTTAGAAGACACCACATGGGATGCGCCTCTGCTATTTTATACAGTGTGCATGCTCGGTTGAGGCTTTGTGGGACACTTTTCTTAGTATTACTGTCTGACTCTTCTTTCTGGAAGAGGACCAGGGTGGTTTGTGAGAAGACAGTGCTGGAAAACATCCTCTTCTCTGCTGGATGTTTGCAAATGCTAAAAATAACCAAAGAAGAAGAAGACGGATTATTTAACAACTAGAATCTCTAGCATCTGATGTTGCCTCTGAACTGGAAGTCACGCATTGAACCCTCAAATCTCTAATATTAGTCGTCCTGATCTCAAAGAAACCAGCGACTTGTTTGTAATTATCATATCTGGAACGTAGAAGTGTTATTATTCCTGTTCAACTTGTCGACACACAGACACGTTGCAACCTCTCTAATTAGGATTCAACCACAGTTCCCATGACTGCTCGGCTACATGACTTTGGTGGGGGGAACTCCAGCGATTTACGGGAAGGATCATAAAACTGTAACCCAGACTATACCAGGAAACTTGGGGCATGAACCTACACTTAGTGACTCCTTCGTCAGCTAATATAAGCGCAGAAGTCAACTTACTCATCATCTGAGCTGTGTCTCATAAAATAACCATCCACCTCTGAATCCATCCGCTGACTAATTATACGTGGCGAGGATCCTGTTGTGTGTTAGGTCATCGATATGTGGCAGATGGTAGAGAGTCGAGGAAATCAGGTCTGCTCTTATTAAAGCTGAAGGGCTCTTAACAGTAGAGCTACTGTGTGTGTGAGACAGGCGTAGGGGGGAGGCTTGTATTTGACCCGCCGTTTTCCAGCCTTCCTGTGCTGCATCACCAGCCTGTCGGAGAGATGTGCTTCATTACTCCTCCTCTGTGAACGGGCATCTGGACCAGGTTCCAGGTGATCTGCTGCCACACAACGCCGGGCTGTTTGCTGCCGGGGTGGCCTTAATGCCTGCAGTAATGTTGCAGCAGCTCAAAGGAAACCAAATATACACTCGCCGCAGCGTCGCACTAAAAGCTCTGTGATTGAAGCCCGCTGACAACAAGGTCGGACACGCTGTTTGTTTTGGTTTTACTTCATCTGCGACTTTCTCCGCTGGTCACTTTGCTCCATTTGTTGTCGGTGATTGAGAGTTGCCCAAGCAAAGAGCTGAGGGGAAAACATTGAAGGTTTTATGCTTCAGCTCTTTGAATGGCATGGCAAGTTGTCACAGCAGCTGAGTCATACGAGAGCTTCGCAAAAAATAACTCCAGAGAGAGAGCGCTCCGATTAAATTAATTCACAACAGTGGTGGAAGGAATCAGAGTAGTACAGCTATTCTGGTGCAGCACTTTGAGGGGAACTCCAGCGATTTTACACATTAAAAGCCCAGTTCTCCAAAAATATGTGCAACTTTTTCAACCCATGCTGTGGAGACAAAAAGACAATCTGGCTTGGATATTATTACCAAGAGTGGTATCACGTTAATCAATACTGAAATGATACTTAAAACTCAATCAATATGGTCCTGAACTGTTTAAAGTCCCACTCTGATCAATTTTTTACTACTTAAAGTGTTCTCAGTGGTCTTTAAATTGTGATTATGAAGTTTTTAGCCAAAATCACGTTACCTGTGTCATTTTTAAGAGTTCCAGTAGCTCATCAGCAATTTGCCTCTGAGTCGTCAGCGGAGACAGGGCTACTCTGCACACTCCTCTTCACGTAAGCTTGTAGCCTAACATTGCCGGTGTAGTAGAAGTGGCAGGTAACAGAGGAGCTATTCAGCTCTCAGCAATAATGTCTCTAGGGACATGATGAACGTTAATATCATAATTAGCTTTCTTATGAGCATTGCCATCCGCTAATGCACACGCTTGTTCCACGATCGTCCTCTCTACTTCTCCGATTCTGGCCTGCAAGGGGCGGATTTGCTAAGGAGGAAATCTCACTGTATCTGAACCTGGTGTTTGGATGCAGAAATACTCAGAAATGCCATTTTCGCCTTTAGTTTTCTCATGATACGTCCTGTAGCATCAGAAAAATGATATATGAACATGTAGACAACAAGAAAAACATAGTTTGGATCTTTTAATTCATCAAAACAACAACTAAAATTCCTGGGAGATCTGGTGTCTTGGCGAGGTTAGATGTGTCTCCTTGTGTAGCATCTTTTGCACACAGGTTCTCATAAGTAAGTAGATCCACTATCAGCTCTGGCAGCTGGTTCCTTTCGCTAGCCCGAGGTGTTGAGGGATTCTTATGAAAGATGACTCATTATTGTTCTTGGTAGTGGACATGTTGGGGCAGAGGCATTGCTTTTCTCTCTCTCAATAGAGCGACAGGTTCATACTGATGTGTAATTCTTGATCCTATGAGTATCGACGATCAGTTCAAAGAGGTAGTTTTTAGTTTCTTATGACAATAACCGATCTTCGTGTAAAATGCTTGATCACTGAGGTGCTTCAGATGGACATTTCAGCCTCTTTTTCCTGTCCTACTCTGGTACCTTTAATAATTTCACATCATTTTTATTTGACAGACCAAACCTTTGTTGAAGGTTCGACCAATGATCCCCAAGCCTGATTGTTTTACTAATGACAGAAAACAAAGTTTATCAAATTTTTAACTAAGAGGATAGAGAAAAGTTTAGAAAAGAAGTGGAATTGTATTTCTCCCTTTTTCTGAGCCTCCAGAGCCCACAGATCTAAAACTGTGACTCTCAGCTGATGGTCCAAACCCACTGGGACCCACTGGAGTAAACGTGCTAACTGTATAAAAAGTAGTTCAAACCATCTCCACCTTTAATAACTTCTTTATTGGTACATTTTGCGCAACTTCTGGATCTTCCTCCTCCGTTGGTCGTAAAAGCTGTTGTGTGATATGTTGCAGAAAGTGTTTTGTATTATAATTTTTTTGTTTTCTGAGATGACTCATTTGGGTTTGGTTTCTGTCTCCCACAGCGCAGGAGTGATGACTGACTGAGCTTGGAACAAATGACAACAGATTACAAATCCTGAGGATGAAAAGAGACGATGCCAGCTGCTGAGAATCAACCTCGTTTGTTACACTGAGAAACAAAAGATGCTGTTGACGGTTTTATCTTCTATGGAGTCCTAAAACTGCACCAAAATAGTCCTCGAATCAAGAGTTCTGTTAAAGGGATCTCTTGGTGGTCAGCGAGCGGGGGCCAGGATGTGGCCCCCTGACCTCGGGCCCCCAGACGTCCAGCTGACTCTTCCTGGTTTTGGGAGTGTGTTTGAGGATGCTGAGGACTCTCAGGCGCCGCTGGCTTCAGGTGGCTTCTGTCAGTCCTCGATACACTCAGGCGGTGTTGGGGTTTGCTGTCTCCAGAGGACTTCTCTGTCCCTGTCCTCTCTGGGCCGGGACCTCAGCTCTCTGCTCAGCTGTAAGACAGCCGGACCCCACATAGAAAAGACCATGGAGGACTTTGCCACCACCGTGTACAAAGACTCAAAACACAACAGCCAGAGACACGGCTGTTACCCTCCGCCGTCGCTCCCTTTGCCCTACATGCTCACTAACTGTGCTACATCTCCACCCTTTGGCTCTCCACCTTCATCTCTATCCTCTTCCTCGTCTTCCCCTTCCTTATTCTACTCCTCTTCCTTACCTCTCTCTGATGCGAATAAAACTCCTCACCAACAACACAAGATCCAGGAAGAGTATCATCCCATCAAACAAGAGCCTGCAGATGACTTCTCACCATGTAAACGGGAACCGTTTCAAATCGGCAACCAGCAGGGGGAGCTGTTTCATGTGGGCCAGCCTCCTCAAAGCCACGACAACCAGGACGGCTCCCCGCTTCATTTCCCCAGGCTTAACGGACCTGTAAGACAGGAACCCACGGTGGACCCACAGGAGCAGCCGTGTCACTGGATCGACTGCAGTGCCTCTTACAGCAGCCAGGAGGAGCTGGTGAGGCACATCGAGAAGGTCCACATCGACCAGCGTAAAGGAGAAGAGTTCTCGTGTTTCTGGGCGGGCTGCGTGCGGCGCCACAAACCCTTCAACGCTCGCTATAAGCTGCTCATCCACATGAGGGTCCATTCTGGAGAAAAACCCAACAAATGCATGGTAGGTTTTTCATCTCTCTTAAATCTTTGTTTTATTCTGTTAGCTTTCTGTGTCATCGATTGGCCATTAAAGTCGTCAAATCTTAAAGCTGATAAATGGCACCAATGTGGAGCTGCAGTTCCTCCATTTTCCACTAGAGGCTGGTTCCCAAATCCCATTAGGGTCCATGTTTTTAGCAGAAAAACATGTCCTGACACACACGATTAAACACGTCATTCAAGATAAGATAAAGGCTCACATACCACATCTCTTCATATCTGTATTGCCCTCAAATGTGCCTCTACGAGCTCTAACTGGGTCTGTGAAGCATGAACCTGTTTGCAGTTTGTCCCAGACTGAGCAGACGATCATGAGGAGCCTGTGAGACAGGGAGATGATCAAACGGTTTCCTTTCGTCCTGACAGGTTTCCCTTACTCAAGCATACCAGAGGGAGAAATGAATGGTTGTGTTGAATGAATGGAGGATGTGTCTGTAGCACTGAGCATTAAAAAAAAACCTGCTGCTGATCGTCCTGTGCTCATTCTGACAAAAGTTTGGTAGCGCATGAAATGTCTTTAACTTTCGCCAACCATGCAGATGTGAAACAATTTAAGGTTTCTTTTTTTTAGTAAGTGAAGACTGTCTTTAGAAGTTCAAGCTGTCTGTGAAGTCGCAGCCTCTGTGTCGTGAGTGGTATGGACACAGCTGTGTTTGTTGCATTAAGTGCAAGAGCTGTAAGCTAGCTACACATTTATTGCAGACTCAATTTAATTTAACTTTGGACTAATCTAAAAACAGAAAGAAAGAGGTGGAGGTTGGGAAGCAAGTGCTCAACTCTCAGCCATATCAGTCGCTTCCCTCATCATGCAAAACTCTTGGCCTCAATACCCAAACAAAGTTAAAGTTATCGTATATTGATAAATCCACTTACATACCCCATTTATTTATGTTAATAATCTCTCGGTTGCCTCATGTGGTGATGCCCCTAGACAGCATTCAAGCAAATTATTAATAAAAAGCCTTAAAAATCAGTGGGCCCAGAGGTGAGCCTTGGGGAATACCCATGTTATGTTGAGGTTAAGAGGTAAATCAAGGTAAATTAAACTATGACTGTTGTTTGTACTAATGTATAATAATGCTTCAAAAGTGAGCATTTTCTAGGGGTGGGAGAAAAATTCACTACAGCAAAGTTACGCGATATTTTGTCTGGTGATAAATCGTATCGTCTCACTTACCAGGTATCAATTTTTCAAATCAATTGCTAATATGAAGTCAGATTTATGACAATGGAAAATTGAAATCAACTGTTTGTCTAATGAGGTTAGCAGAGGGGACATCATAGAGTAGGAGAAAGTTAGTGCAGCAAATATATACATATAAGGTTTGCAAGATATGCTACATGAAAATAAGATACTAAATAAGACAAACACAAAGGAAAGCTAAATGCTAAATTAGCTAAACAGCTGAAAAAATGGTATAAATCGCAAAATCTTAAAAATTGCAATAATATCGTATCGTGGCCCAAGTATCGTGGTGTTCCCCCCACCCCCAGCATTTTCACATGGAGTATAGTGAAGGTCTTTCCCAAGTGGCCACTTGAGGAACTGCAGTCGTCTGCACTTTTGCATTCAGTTTCACAGTTTACTGACTGGTTCCCACCATAAAAACTCTCCTCCCTTTTCATTCTTTGAAACCTGGAGGTTAAACACCAAAATAGACTGATGCATTTTGAAGACCTCCAAACAAAGGTAAAGATAAAACCAGACCAGGTTCTGTCCAAGAAAATACACAGAGTCTGAGTCATTTTGTGAAACACACTTTTTCTGCTGTTTGACTCCGTCCATCCTGCGATGACCTTCAGTTTGTTTCCAAAGCCGTGTCCCTGAGAGTGACTAACTCTCTCTGTGTGATTCCTCTGAGACTTGGCTGCTGTCATCGGCTCAGGACTCTGATTAATAATTCAAAAATTTGCACTCAAGGACACGCTTCCCTCTTAAATGAATTAGTTCATTAAAATGATCTCATCTGCTGCCAGCTTGTAAATATGTTACAGTGGAGAGTTGCCTGTAAACAGATTAATAAAATTAAATCAACATCAACACAAAAACATAGTCATTAGACAAACTTGAGCTACGCGAGTCACGTCATTTCATTATACATAAAGTGCTCAGGCCAAAACATGTAAATTAAGTCATTCTGGTGCTGCAATGGAAAATGAATTTCTCATGAATGTAGTCAGTGTTTGTTAATGAATTCAGCTGTATTTACCAGCTCGTAACGTTGAGCCTCAGATCAGACAGGTGTTATTCAGGCTGTAAACACGAGTTCCCAAAGCCTCCCAGAATCCCACTGGTGGAGTAATCGTTCGTAATTTATGATGCAGGAATGACATAAAGATTCAATTAGAGAGTAAATCTGGAGATTTTGTATATTTTCCTGTCTGTCAACAAATCCTGTTTTAGACCAAAACCAACATGTGTTTTTTTCTTTCTCCCAGCATTGACTCAAGTATATATCTGTCTCTTTCATGGACTGCTACTGAACATTTACATTATAAGCAGCGTCCATTTTAAAGAGGGTTTAGTAATTGTTGTTTTTTTTTTTTACTACTTAAAGTGTTATCAGTGGTCTTTAAACTGTGATGATGAAGTTTTTAGCCAACATCACGGTACCTCTGTCATCTTTAAGGGCTTTTCTTCTGCAACTTTTGTAACTAGTGCTGTGGAGACAAAAAGACAATCTGACTTGAATACTATTACCAAGAGTGGTATCACAATAATCAATACTGAAATGATACTTAAAACTCAATCATCATGGTCCTGAACTGTTTAAAGTCCCACTCTGATAGTTGATTTTTTTACTACTTATAGTGTTCTCAGTGGTCTTTAAATTGTGATTATGAAGTTTTTGCCAGAATCATGTTACTTGTGTCATTTTCAAGGTCTTTTCTTCTGCACAGCTCCAGTAGCTCATTAGCAATCCTCCTCTGAGTCGTGGGCGGAGACAGCGCTGACCTGCACACTCATCTTCACGTTAGCTTGCAGTCTAACATTGCGTGTGTAGTGGAAGAAGCAGGTAACATAGGACCTATTCAGCTCTCGGACACTAATGTCTCTAAGGACATGATGAAAGTTAATATCATAATTAGCTTTCTTACAAGCATTGCCATCCGCTAATGCACATACTTGTTCCACGATCATTCTCTCTACTTCTTCGATTCTGGCCTGCATAGCGGGTCTCCGGGGGTGGAGCTTGGACTGGTTACGTAGGAAATCTAACTGTATCTGATTCTGCCATTTGGGTCCACCAGAGATTCACAGCGATTTAAATGCAGAAATACTCAGAATTGCAATTTTGCATGTACTTTTTCTCATGATATGTCCTCTAGCATTAGAAAAATGCCATATGAACATGTAGACAAGAAAAACAGGATTTTTATCAGAGTGGGTCTTTAAAAAGTCAGGCGTTGTTATATCAGCAAACAGGAGAAAAGACAACTCCTGAAGGGGTCAGCTGCACTTGTTTTTGGTGCTTCAGCAGCAAAATAAAGTCTTTGATTCTGGTTTCTAATAAATGCAATGAAAACTACTTTATGATCTTGACATTTTGCGTGGGGTAGCGCGCATACATTTACGATTCCAAGTTGGAGAGGCTCTGATTGTCTTCTGCACAGAGTCAAGGAACACACCTCACACCACATGATAATCTGGCTCTGTGTAATAAAAAAAAAATCTTTATGCCAAACAATCAAAAAGTTCTGAACAATATCAGATATTGAATATTACTGAGACTTTAACTGCGGATTAAACTTTAATGTCAAGAGGGAACATTACTCTCCAGTAACAACAGTGACCCACGCTGCACTGTAGCTGCTGTCATGGTGATGAAACAAAGCACATAAACTCAAACAGAGTTTAAATAAAGCTGTTTTCAAATGCTCCCCTCTGTCAAAGACTCTGGAAATCTGTTTCTGTTTAAGACCCAGATTTATTGTTGAGGGTAAGGTTACATTTGTTTGTTTATTCTAATAATATTTTTACTACAGTAGCCATGGGGAGAACTGACAAGCAAGACCAAAGGGGCATTAAGTCTTAACTTCCTATAAAAAACAACTTAATCTGATGTTTGTCCTCTCTGCTCAGATCACAAAAAGCTGCAGAAAGTTAACCCTAGCATGACAAACGTTGGGTCCTCCGTTTCCCACAGCATGAGGAGCATTAATCTATAATCTGTGCGTGCCAGTACCCACAAATGTGTATTCTTATGGGTTTAAGTGCTGGAATATTTCAGTCACTGCCTTTAATTTCTTTGTTTGTCATGTACTTAGTCGAAGCCATTTAAAACCTTGGATTAATTAGTGAGAATGATGTAGTGTGTTTTTTTATGCATGAACTTTTTAAACTAAATGAGGTGACTGACATTTACTGACTCATTAGAACAACCCAATAAAACCCTGAAATGTTTCCATGTTTTCCTGCGGATCAGTTTGGATCAAACACTCGTCTCTCATGTTTCTCATTTGAAGATTTGCAAAACATCCGTTTCAGAGACAAATCTGTGCTACTTTTATATCTAAACTTTGGGCGTTAATTCAGTTTAATCGTCATGTTATTCTTTAAAAACCACTTTTCCTGTTTCTTAATGATGCTTTTTGTTTAACAAATATACCCCTGACTGGTTGATTAAATGGATAATTTAGTTTGGATCCTCCAAAATTTTAAAATCTGGAACTTAAAATTTACAACAAAGCCTCAGCGGTCAGAGTTTCTGGGTGTAGTTAGGCACTGGGGAGGTGGTGGGGCTGAGAGTTTAGGGCTAAAATCAGTACAGGGCAGCAGTATTAGTGATGGAGCAGAGGCAGAGACCAGAAATCCTCCATCTGAAATAGGCCACCATTATTGGAGTATACACATCTTAGGTAATAGTGTCAATAATGAATTGCAGATGTGACTCTTGTGCAGCTAATCAGACATCACCGTTATAGTAAAATAAATCTCCTGTGAGCAACTTTCCGTTTGTATCGATGTAGGCACCCAAAGCACTCTTAGCTGATCTTGTCCTCTTCATGCTGAAGCAATGTCTGTAACAAAAAATCACAGCCTGTTGACATTTGACGGTCAAATTTTTGAGTTATTGTGAAATTTTATGTGAAAATTGCAAAAACTGGGCACGATGTTAAAGGGTGCAGGATGAGAAATCTTACTTGTATACCAGCAAGTTCCATCAAATGTATTTTAAAAATGTTTAATTACTGTATATAGCTAGGATTTACAAAAAAGTACCACATAAAATAAAGCACCTGGATGGAGGCGAGTAAGATTCCCAATGATACTGTTAGCGAGGTATCGTATCTTATCATTGTATCATATGGTATTGTTTCATATCGTAACGTATCATTATATCATATTGTATCGAATCGTATCATATCATACCGTTTTGTATCGTATCGTGATATATCGTATTGTTTCATATAATTTCGTATTGTATCATATTGTATTGTTTCGTATTGTATCGTATCATTGTATTGTATCGTATTGTATCGTTTCACATAGTTTCATATTGTATTGTTTCATATTGTATCGTATCGTTTCGTATCGTTTCGTATCGTTTCGTATCGTTTCGTATTGTATCATTTCATATTGTATCGTACCGTATTGTTTCATATTGTATCGTTTCGTATTGTATCGTATTGTATCATATCATATTGTTTCATATTGTATTGTATCGCTTCGTACCGTATTGTTTCGTATTGTATCGTATTGTATCGTTTCATATCGTTTTGTTGGGTATGGATGGCCAGCTAACATGACACAAAAAAACGAGCACTTCCAAAGCTCTCAGGTGTTTCTCTGTAAGGTTCTGTATCCAATTGTTGGTGGCCTTCAGCGAACATATACTCTTGTTTTTATCAGAACAAATGGCGCGTTGTGTGAGGGCCGAAAGTGATTTCTTTATGTTTACATCAGTGTGGTTAGAGGAATGGTGCACAGCCACCTCCATGCACCTAAGCTACACCACCTTTGTGGGACTTGAGGGGCTCAGGAAGTCTGAGAGATCTGAGAGTGAAAGTGACAAAGTTTCTATAAAGCTCTGGTGTACAGTCTGTGGTGTGTTTCCCCCCTCTCACACACACCCACACACACACACACACATTGATATTTGCTTCTTGTCTGGCTCCAGTCCAACAAATACACTTTTAACAGAACCTACCACAGCCTGCTGAGTGTGCGCTCGTGTGATTTTGTTCCAGTTTGCAATTTGGAAAAAAACACCATCACCTGAAGTTTATGATTCAATATCCTTAATGTATGAATTTTTAATGTGATGTATTACCTCTTTAGCAGTTATTTCTGTTGGATCAGAGTTCGGCATCAATCATAGTTAATGTGAAAATGTGGTTTTATTATGTGTCAGTAACTGGCCAACACATTAAAGGTTAAGAGTGGATACACAGTTAATGTGATTTGTTTTACAAGATTAAATTTCTGATGCTTTAATTCCTTTCTGGTACTGAAAACAGTGATAAATTTGGATTAAACTATATCTTTCAACTCCTTTGTGGGTATAGAGAGTTGGGTTAAATAGTGCTACCTTTTAAGCTACCATTAAGTACCTCTCACCAAAGCAATGCTGGACTTCATCTTGAATTTAGAAAATAAACTATACATGGAAAAGGCTGAGGGAATATCACTGACTGATTGAAGAGTTGGGTCCTAATGTTTCAAGGCTTATGTCAAACTCACGGAGGTCCAGTTTGAGAACTTTCTGGAAAAGATCGTCTCATTCACTTGCCAAATACAAGCTAATTCAGAGACAGTCAGTGGAGTTTCTCCTCCACTATTGCTATTGACAAAGCTGATTTTCTAAGTCATGTCTTACAAACAAGGCAATGCAGGAAAAGTGAAATTGACAAGTTAGGCAAAGAACCAAACGTTGACTTATTATCAGAAGTGATTGCTGTGAGCCCAGCACCAAAAACAGCAGAAGGGGTCTTTGTAATGGGAAGCCAAATGTTGGAAACACTTGGCTCTTTGAGTTTTGTATAGAAAGCAGACCAGGGCTGGACAGTACGACCATTTCACTCGCATTTGCTACTAAAAGTTGATGTGTGCAAATTGTGAAATGTATTTAGGGGCAAATGTGAGCATAAAAAAAATCCGGCAGAGCAACAAATGTTTTTTCGTGTAAATACCGTGGCAAAGTTAGTTTTAGGTTGGATATTAAACGGATATTTACTGCGGATCTACCGGTATCTTCTCACTCTCCATAACCAGGAATAGCAACAGCAGCGTCTACTCTGCATCCTCGCTGTCAACGTCGGTTGTTGAATAAGGGACCGTCAATAAATTACCGATTGATGTTCTCAAAAAAGCTGCTTTCCTGCATTAGCTTCCATGTCATGTGACCAATTGACCTAAAATTGATTTCAAATAATCGTACTTATGTCGACCAATAAGACAAACATCATTAGATCAATTTTCATTGTGCCCCTAAAGTTCTTTGTCCACTTTTTTCAACTTAGGAGCACATGTACTCCTTGTGAAAAAAGTTACTGTCAAGCCCTGCAAACACATTTAAACCATCTACTTAAACATTTCCCTGAAACTTGACCAGACTTACACTCCATTTCAACGTATACTTGGCTAATATCAACATCTAAAAGCATGTAAATGAGCTACAACAAAATATTGCTGAGTCATGCTAGCTAGCTGGTTGCTAGTGTCTACAGCAACTTAATGCACCGACTTATCAACGACTGCCACCTCACTATAACGAGCAACCACACATACCTTATTTTAGGCTAAATTATGTAGTAAACTGAGTTGGGGGAAAAAACAGGCCAAAAACTTAGAAAATCACACATTTGTAATAGTGATAATGCTCCTGCCCACATGTCAGTATTCTCTTTAGTGAACCACTTAAGGGTCACTTTGGGACAGCAGAAACAAGCCGTGAACACATCACTGACATATCATCACTGTTTAAGTTGATATGGTGAGCGTGTAAGCACCAAGTTGTTTATTTACTCTCCAGGAGTTACAGAACAACATGTTTTTTCATTTTGGGTAGTACTCACTGTTAACCCTGTTATGATCTCTACCATCTGGTGAAAAATCTGAAACATCTGGATGTTTAGCTGCTAAATGCTCCTCTGTGTTCACCAATGAAACGAAACAGAAAAAATTGTGTAACAGGAAAACAAAACAATGAGCTGAAAAGCCCTAAAACGTGCCATAGAGCTAACTGTAGAGATAAACCACAGATAGTTTGAATACACCTTTATGTTTATTTATTCCTCTGTTCATAACGAGTTTGCCATGTTTCAGTTTTTTATATGGATTTTCTTTCATAGTTTGAAGGTTGCACCAAGGCCTTCTCACGTCTGGAGAACCTGAAGATCCACCTGAGGAGCCACACGGGAGAGAAACCGTACATCTGTCAGCATCCCGGCTGTCTTAAAGCCTTCAGCAACTCCAGTGACCGAGCCAAACACCAACGCACACACCTGGACACGGTCAGTACAACGCAACCCATCAACACACGCTCATCCACGCCGTACCTGTCTGATTAAACATCATAGTTACATCTAAACCTCAACCGTAAGAGGACTTTACCTTTAAAATGCATCAAAGATTTTCAGTGAAAGGTGATGAGTTTCACACTTTGGTTCAGTCAAATGTAAAAACATAAATATCACCAAACTCAAGTAGTTTTTTTTTATGGGATGCATGTCACAGTGAATTAAAGAAAGTCTCATCTGGTTTTGGTCAAGACTGTAAAATTCAGAAACCCAAATGATGAAACTGATGTAAAAATGAGGTACGGGAAGCAGATTTTGACCGTAAAACAGAACGAGAGGGATTTTAAAGCTTTGACGGTGGCAAATTAAGAGACTTTACCTCAATTTTAATGCAACTAAACTAAATATTGAGTACATTTTTTTGTAAAATGAAGGATTTTTCTTCTCTAACTTCATGTATCTGACTTAAATTACCAAAAACACATATTGTTCTGAGATAAACCCTGATTCAAGGCACTGATGCACCTCAACTTGTAAAGACTCCCTGTGTACAAATACCCCAGCCCCCCACACCCCCATTAAAAAAACTATCCCAATTACTCACACACTTATTTTGGGTCTATATGGGGACCATGACATCTGTCCTCGACTTTCACACTCAAACTTGTTTAAATGTATATATGAGCACCTAACAATTTTTTTTTCGGGGGGACTGATGAAAAAAAACATATCTCAGTCCTTAGAAACGGAAACTTGATTCTAAGAAGTAGTTATGAGGTATTAAATATTGTGGGATTGCTGATTTTCTTCGCGGGGATCACTTATTTTACATGACAGTGTGTTTATTGGTCTTGGAGAGCATATATGAACATAGAGGTATCACTTGAGCCAACGTGTAAGGGCTGAGGACTGCACGTTAGAGACTTGCTCAATCTGAAGATGTTGAGCAAGAAAGAAATTATTATAATTGCTTCTATGTGTAAAAAGAGCAACTAGCATAACCCTTTTGAATCTCTAGACCATTGGTTGGTGGCCTAGTTCCAGTGTGGATCATAGTGGATAAGAAATCAGAGACCATTGGATCTTTCTCAGAGGTTTTATACTTCATTAAACTGTGTGCTTAAAGTCTGACTTCATGGAAATACAATGGCTAAAGACAGGAATATCTTTTTGAATAATGTTAATATCTGTATGAAGTAATATGAAACATTTACAAAAGTTCATAAACCCTATGTCTGAATGATAAATATCCATCAATTAAGCGCACAGATGAGAATGGAGATGTTTCATAACAGCAGGGTTTAAAATCTTACTCTCCTGTGGATTTAAAAAACATAGATTTTCTGTGATGTATGGTATTTTCTTAAGAATAAGTGGGAAAACACGGTGCAGTTACCACATAAAATCACTTTAATTCAAACTGCCTCTGCTTCACTCCCCCACCCTCCGTCTGATATACAGTCTGCATACCTGCTGTGGATTTATTCAACAAAACCACAGTTATTTTTACTCCTGCTGACAAGCGATGAGGACTTAGCACTAATCCAGAAAATCAGATCTCTTATTACGCGGGCGAGATGGAGCTAGAAGTTGCGCTCCGGTGTTATTACAACGAGAGGAGAGAGTTATTTTCTCCTTTTTGTGGTTTAACGCAAGCTAATAGCGGCTTTGCAATTGCGTCACAAATCAAGGATCAGACACTTTTGGCGCCATCACAGAGGCCCGATGGAGAAGTGAATGTAAATAATTACTGAATATAGTGTAACAACCAGGCAGGGGATTCAAGCTGTTATAGTTTGACTAAATAACCTGTATTGTGTTACTAATGTTATGAATAATATTGTGTTTGAAAAGGTTTGTTTCCCAAATGAAGGAACTCTTATGCAGACATGTTTAACAATATGCCGTGCACGTTACTTTAAAACGTAGCTTGTTTTGGGGGCATATAACAAGATTAAAACAGACATTGCACACCATTTTCTACATAAAGATTCGTAAGCAAATCTTGCAATACACCTATCAATACTAAAATAATATCTGACCAAACGAATCAGCACATTAAATTTAATGTTCTGATTTAGGCGGCTTTGTCACGTTTGTTAGTCGAAGCTTTTCAGGCGTAACATCTTGAATTGCAACATTAAACAGGAAAGCTTTGTTTAAGCCCTGTCGATTTATGACTTTCAATATTTGTATAATTTTGACATACACACACAGCCGCCGACTGACATGTCATTAATCATTAATTCATGTCTTAATTTCTAGCAGCTGACGTGACTGCTGTGCATGCAATCGCTCAGAGATTTGTGTAAGCATACAGAGACAGTGGAGTTCAACATTTCATTCAGATTTTTCCGTTTAGAGCGGCTCACCTCTCAGGGATGTTTCGAGAGGGGAAGACGTTGCGCAACTGTTGTTGGTTTTACTGTAAGACTCTGTAGAAGGTTACACACTCTGCTGTCAGATCTACGACAGAGTAGCTGAATGTCTGAGTTACACCGATGTGTTTACATTATTGCAGAAATAACACTGGATATAGAAAAGACAAACACAGCAACACAAGTAACACTCCCTCAAATGCATACTAAAACAGACAGGATTTTCACTCAGGCACTATCTACTGTAAAGTGAATCCAACACCTCTTTCACTTTACCACTAGAGTTTTTTACTTTAATTTGAACTCCTATTTTTAAGCGCAAATATTCCTCTCAACACACAATGACTTTGTCTTTTCATGAACAACACTTGGAAAGCGGCACCAAACCAAATGTGCTCTATTAAAAAGCGTTAAATTTAATGAATCATAGGCATCGCTGTTCCCACTATTTCCTGTTTTTTTCTGGTCTGTGAAATTCTGGCTTGACATGTTTTAATCTTGTGCATATGTTTTCGTGATAATTTAATAAACTCCACCCGGTTCGCAATGAAACTGAGAGTTCAAGGAGATGGTTTAATTACTTATATAATTTTACAACTTAGAGAAACTTGTAAAAACAGCCGACACCATTTCAGTCAATTCAACAGCAGAATGCTGCCACTTTTAATTACACAAAAACATGTAGGGGATAAGGATAATAAAAGAGTGGGTGGTTATGGGAAATAAAATACTGACGGGCATCATGTCGTATGTCATTCTAGGATTTTGTCTTACTTTTAATGGTATCTACTTTTAATAGATTCTGCACCCCACACAACACACACACAGACACAAATCTTCACACTCTGCACAGCAGGACAGGAACAAATAAAAGACAATATATAAACCGAGGACATAACGATTAATTATAGATATGAAGTGATGGTATAGTATGATAATAAGCAACAAAAAGTTCACTTCAGGGTAGAGTAAACTGTGATATGACGTAAGAAATAGAAAAGTGAGACAAACTGCACTTTTTGGTCAGGTAGTGTTGTGATATAATGTAATATAATGTAATATAAATATAATACTATACAACTTAAGTTGAATTTTAGCTTTTATTCAGGTAGCTATTATAACAGATGCAGAAAATAACTGCAGCACTCTTTGTCAGAACTTTTCAGTTTCCACTTGTAACTCCTCCAAAGCATGTCCAGTGTCACGGCTTATGATCGTCTGTTTTCTTCAATCTGGCGGATGTCTCTCTCTCTCAGCTCCTAGCATGCTTTTAACATCCTTTACAGGAATCTACATCATTAATTCCTCTTTTGGACCACCAACAAACAGCAATTTATTATCTGATGATCTCCAAATTTCCATATGACTCCCAATATCTGCTATATTGTTTCTAACACTATCCAAAACTAGTGTGTTTGTTGCATCTTCATTAGGAAGCAGTCAAATCATAAATCTTATAGATGTGCCAGACTCCTCTCTGTGGATTAATCTGACATGAGGTGCAGTAATTAGACGTCCACAGCCCCAACTAAACAACTGAATAAACTTTACAGCTGAGATATTTTTCACTTACTCGATCTTTTTTTACTTCTGCGATGAAAGGTTCGCTCATCCAGAAATAACCTGCTGAGATTGTTGCTCTTTTCCTCTATAGTCCGACTGCATGTAAATGTTGATAGAGAGTTTAGGGTTTGATTAAATTTATTTATGTCAGACTTTGAGGAAGTACATCTGCACACCGAGCTGTTCCTCTTACCTCTCCTTTCTCTCTTCCTCTCTTTAAAGCCTGCAGACGAAAGGTAAATATACTTCACCGTCAGCTCAGGAGTTCATTACGTAAAATGTTGACCAAATGTACATGTGCTTCCTCTCTCTGTTAGTGCAGATGTCACGCTAAGTAAACTGCAGCTATCCTAAATGTTTGCGTGTATGATACACAGCACTACTGTGCGCAGCATCGCACATGTAAACGTTATAGATGTGACTCGACTGAACTTTCGCTGTTATTGTAAACACATGTTTTGTGTTTATCGTCATATCCAGCAGGACTGTGTAAATCATAAAGTAAAGTGCTGTAAATGTTTTATGCTGCACTTGTGTAAGTCCTCCTGTAGTGTCTAATAATAGAGATTGGAAAGGGGTCGAGTCTGTTTTCACTTAGTTGAAGCAGAAGAGTAAATATTGAAAATGACCGAGCCTTTTGGATAAGATTTGAGAAACAATGCATGCATGGATATGATGTGTAGTCAAGTGTCCAAAAACAGAATAGAAACATATATAAAAACAGAACTGCCTTTTTTTGAGTAATACCAATAAAGATATATTACCTTCTGGGAGCACAAGATTACTGGCATATGCTTTTTAAAAACTGTAGATATAGTTTTACTTTGATGAAAATATTTATATTCCCTTCCTTAATGGAAAACATACATATACTGTTAATCTTGCATCAAGCTAAGATATGATCCATACCCTGCATTGCAAAATCAAAACAAGGGCCTGTGTCCACTAACAGCATTTTTAAAACTATTTTCCAAACAAAACTGGGGGAGTTAGCAACAACTCTTGGAAAAAATGATCAAATAAATGTTTGTTTAAACAAAAATCTTTCTGAACTTGTTATCTCATTAAAATGAGGCTATTTTTACCTTTCTATACTGATGATAAGATATCTTTGGCTTAAAGTTTAAATGTAAAACCAGTGCAGTTCAGCATCATTGACATTGGTTGTGACTTTTTTCAAATGAAGATAGGTCAGTTTTTGGAACACTTAATTGACTGACCAATCAGGATAAAGAAGGGGCGGGTCATCTGACATCAACGTTTTTAACAATAATGGCGAAGGTTTCACAGAGGAGACACTGAAACAGTGTTTGTATGTTACTTTTTTATAGGTCTGGAGCTAATTTGAATGCTGAGGGGCAGTTTTGATCAGTTTTGTCTACATTTTTTTGTTAACTCCCATCAAATGAAGCAAAAAGAGAATTTTACAGCAGATCCAACAAAGACTTTGTATGAAACTGACTCAAATTACACCTGTTGAAGTAAATGCAAACAAGAGTATCAAAGTTAATGTGAACACTTTATGTGTCAGACGTTTTAGATAAGATATTGAAAAGAGGCCTTTTTTCACTTTTTGTCAAAGAGGCTTCGCTTTGTCCACAGTGGGCACCAAAACCCACCAAAACAGAAAGTTCATCACAGGAGTTTTAATGGTCTCAAAGTGTAGAGGGACATCTTATGGACAGGGATGCTGTCAGTGGACACAGGCCCTATCAGTGCATGTCTCAATAAGCAGAAAAGTAATAAGAAGTTGTTTCTATGTTTCCTTACACAGCTGTGTTTTCATCTCCCCACAGAAGCCGTACGCCTGTCAGATCCCAGGATGCACCAAACGCTACACAGATCCCAGCTCGTTACGAAAACATGTCAAAGCCCATTCAGCCAAAGGCCTTCAGGAGCGAGAGGTGAAGGTAAAAGCACCGATGACGTTTTTACATGTTAGGAATTTAGCTGAGAGCAGAGTATGATTACTCCTCTAATCTTCATTATTACAAACAAACATCCCCAATAAAACCTTCCTGTGTCTCTGAAAGTGGATTTTCTCTCTAAGCACTCATCATTGCTTTGACTTCTCTGAGGTATTTTCTATTAAGCTCTTATTGGACGGGGACAGAAGCATTCCTTTGAAATGGATTTTATATGGAAATGATATCAGTTTCTGTTTTCACTCCAGTTTTTCATCCAGTGGTTAAACCTATTAAGAGAGCCGATACTGATCTTTGTTTCACTTCAGTCGGAGGATGGTTTAAATACTGTTTTAGGTTTCAGAGTTTTCTGCTCTGATAAGAATAACATCCGACATGAAGTATGAAATCCGTTAATAATAAGGGATGTTCTGATACAGCAAAAATGTAGTCCGCCTCAGTTTCAAGTCCAAAGTCTCCTCTGAAGTTTGATTTTTAGAAAATGTGTCTAATATCTTAACCAGAGTACAACATGCTTTGAGTTTCTAATAAAAAAGGTTGAAAGAGAAGAAATCAAAAGAACAAAGAACCTGATTGTTTTGTAAAACTCCTCTTTTTTTAAACTAAGGTCAGCTCGTTCAATGTTCGTTCAGATCAAGCCAGCTGTTTGGCCCGTGGAAGTGCTGCTTACAAAGTTGGAGTAAATGTAGTGGAGCTGCTTTCAGTGTTTTCAAAATCCACTCGTCAGATCAAATCTGCGCTCCTCAGAGAGAAACAATTCATTAATCCCTGATGGGAAATTCACTCTGTCATTAATCATGCCACACGCACAAATCAGCAGAAAATCCATTATCGGAGATGTCAAAGTGAGAGGGTTGCATGCAAATGATTGCTCAAGATGCTGGATGTTCAGCGGCTTGCGAAAGTGTAGCAGGAGTTAAACTGGCACGTCACCAGCAACCAGTTCAACCTCTGTTCTGGGCCTTACTGGGACTTAAACTGGCCACCAGCAAGTCTTCAACTCTGCACCACTGGGCCTAGATAACAAGTCCGTCTTTTACAACAAAATCATGATGCTACAGCACAATTCCTGACAGTCAGGCATCGTTTTCAGTCAGAAAGTCCTAAAACTTGCTTGCTGGGGGTGAAATGGCCAAGAAGATATGAAATTTGAGCAAACATCTTTGGTCTGATATTGCAAAACTGGAGGAAAAGTCAATAAACAGAGAAACTTTTCTTTTATTTGGTAACTTTTATTAACAATTTGAAGTCGACGCAGCAGAAAAACAGATTTGGACAACACTAAAATGCACTAGATTTTTCAGGGAATAGAGTTATCTTTACATCCAGTTCAGGTTCTTTAAGATCCACCATTAAGTTTTCAGCCACATGTGCAGTAAATGCTGCGATCAGACAGATTTCCTTCTGTAAAAGTTTGATACGTGTAAAAGTTCTGAGCTCCATCTTTGTAAGTCGTTCCCTGTAACTGCATGTGGAAGCTTTAAAAGAGAGAGAGAGATGAATAATAGGAGGAGAGAGTGAGTATGTTTATGATTCAGTAGGATGAAATACAACAAAACACGGTATTACACACACTCCCTGGAAGTCAGAATAGGGAGCCTATTGTTCACTGTTATCTGGGCCTTGTTTGTTTTCTATGGACCATGAGTGACACTGGAGCTTTGTGTGTATTCCCATGGCTTGTTTGCTTTAAGCGAAACCACGTGTGCTTGTAAGTTGTGACATGGCTAACACGCCCTGCGCTGCAGTAAACCCCGTGGGGCTGAAGGGGGACTTTGAAATCCTGAACATGCACATCATAAACTCCTCACGGTTATACGTGTCTTCGGGCTTGATGTGTCACTGCTCTTGAAGTTTCTATCTTCATAAACACTGGTTTGGGAAAACATTTTTCTCTGATTATTCAGACGTACTTTGTGGTTCCTGGGTGTCCTTCACAAGATTCCTCTGGGTCCCGGAGCCGTTGGTAATCTGTTTTGGAAAGTCTTGGGGGAAGCTCTGTTAATGCCGGATAATAAAGTAAATTGTCTTGCCTTAACTTTGTTAGAACATTTGGAATAAAATTGCCTAACAAGATTTCTGGATTTTGTACTTTGAGGAGCTGGATGGCAACACGAAACAAGAACCAGGCATCTGGTTCAAGCTTCATTTCTTCTTTTTCTTCTTAAAAAAAAAATTAACAGTAGAAAAGTGCCTGCAGAAAACTAACTGCTTTCAATTGATCTACTGTATGTCTTCAAAAGACAAGTGAATCCTTTCACAATTTAGCTCCACGGGAGTTGTATTGCCCAACAGCAAAAAGTGCAATTGTAAAACAACAGAATTACTCTCATCCCTACATGTGGACAAGCATCTGCACAGGCCCACCAGAGTGAAAACACAGCACCAAAATGCCGCTATCACCCACATGCTTTTCTCTAATTTGTGTGTTCGACAGGTTCAGGTGCACACGTTGCTGGAATCGGACATTTTGAGCGACTGCCTGGCGAGACAGCATCTCCACAGCTCCGCCTCCTCCCACCCAGGAAGCAGCTCACCTTTACCCGGTTTAGACGACTTCACAGGTACGCACAAATGTCCGATGGAAACCCGCCTCGATGTGACCAAAACAAAGAAATTGCTCAAACACCTGGGCTGTTAAAACTGTCTCTTTCATTTGCTCCCATGGCCTCATTTGCTCCTTTTCCTCTCCCTCCCTCCTTCCCTCATTCCTCCGATGATAGCTCATCATGCCAGTGTTTACCTTGTCCAATTACCGGGCACTGACTGCGGGCACGCTGGCCCCTTTCCCCCCTCGTCCTTCAGCTTCTCCAAACCGGTTTTCCAGCCAAAGTCTTTTTCTTTCCCTTTCAATGGCTGAACGCAGATCAAGAAGCTGTCAGGTACACTGAGGCTCACTTGGCAAAGGAGAGAGGAGAGTGTCCAGGAGAGCTGTCCACGTCTATTACTTCAGACTACTTGCAGTTTTACCCAGAAGACTTTGAGGGAAAAACCTCAAACAGCGCACTACACTATGTTTATTCAGGGTGAAACAAGTATGTCAGTGTTTAATTTTGAAAACATCCCAAGAGGCCTTTCTCCTAATCAAACATTTTAGCCTGAGGACAAATTCCCGCCTGCTAAGCATATAAACCTGTGTTTGTACATTTCTTTATGTATGTTGCACTCAGGTGACACATGCTATCATCGTCAGCTCGCCGTGAACCCGGAGTCAAAGTCATGTGTTGAGAGTTTTGCAGTATTTTCGTTACAGCTTTAAGTATTCCCACTCAGCCTCCTTTAGGCCTGGAGAAAAGGTTAGATTGTTTTTAAGTGTTTGGCTATAAGCTGAAATAAAACTTTATGAAAAGTATTTTAAATTTCTAGGAGAACTTTTTGAGTCTTCTGTCCAACTCATTTTGTGTTTTTGTCCAAGTAAGTTAAACACATAGACTGTATATACAGTGGACAACTTGGCTCCGCCTTCCGCCAGTATACGGATTTGAAGCCGAATTGCTCTTAGTATTTCTGGGATTTTCTGCACTTCCTGGAATCACCACTTGTGCAGTAGCGTTGTACACATTTGGCGGGAGAGTCGGGAGAGTCAAACATGATGAGCTACGCAATCTTCGTATGCCCATAGGTTGTATCAAGTGTCAATCATCGAAAACATGAACCCCCTAATAACTTTTAAAAATGGAGCTTCACAGAAAAAAGAGGACTTGAGCACAAACCAGTCTTACAGTAACTACATGTCAACATCACAACCAGGGGGGAAAAAAATTATATTCTGTGTAATTAATTTCTAAAGTTTGTCCACAGCTCCATAAGCTTTGCTGGAGGAGGCGGGATTTATGACCTATACTGCAGCCTGTCACCAGAGCGAGTCAGTCGTGTTGAATTAAAAACGGCTTCACAGTTTCAGATGAAGAGCAAACCACTCCCCGCTGAAAAGTCTGTCTCAGGTCGGTGTCGACCCGTCCACATGGAAACAAGGTTTTTTGTCGCATTTCATCCACATGGAAATGGCGTTTCGGGTGACTGTAAACTGTACTTTTTGAAAATGGGTCAGAATGTGCAGAAATCGGTAAACAACGACCATTTTATCTCTGCATGAATGTCTATCTGCATCTCTTGAAACGATCATGTGACACACAGCGGAACTCGGAAATCTAAAATCGAGTTTTCAGAGAAAAAAATCAAGATTTTATTTTTGGCCAAAATCCTGCAGCCGTAAGTGTAATGTACTTGTTAATTGTCTCAATTAAGTGTTTCAAATCAACATTTTACCCAAATTATGGTTGTAGTTTGTGATTATCACATTTAGCTGTTAAAGTTAATTCAATAATTGTAGCACAACCGTGAACATCAGCGTTAAAAATCTATGGATAAGCAGCTAAGACCTCCAAGGTGGCGGCGCTCACAGTTGCAGCGGCCCAAAACTCTTCGTTTTACTACAAATTATCGCCTTCTTTTGCAAACGCCATGTTTGTTTACACTGGTGTGTGTTGAAACTCGGGAGAGCTCCAACAGGAAGGGGGAGCCTACGGTGGCCTGGAGGCGCGAGACATGATAGAGAGGAAAATCAGTCCCTGTTTTTCACAAGTCTCGGTCCCTGTGTGTGATGGTGGATACTCTACATATGTATATCTATAATAAAGCCACACTTCTACCGATCTATTTCTGTCTTTCAGGTGTGTACTCCAACAGCAGCGGCGGCGGCGTCCACAGCAGAGCGAGTTCGGAGTTTCTCCCTCCACCGTCAGACAGCTGCTCCAGATATCAAGGCCTGGAGGGAAACTTTGACGCCAACAGTCCAATATCTCCACTTACAAGCCCGGGGAGCGTGAGAGAGGGGTGAGTGTGAGATGTAATACAAGTAGATCAATAAAGTCAAATGAGTTGTATCCAAAGAGTCAATTAGGCTTTTCATTTATTCATGCTGGGGAACATGACTGTAAACACATGTGCTCTTACGGACGCACACGTTGACTTTTTCAGACACATTAAAACACGCTGGTCTCGGTTCGAGTTGTTAAGCAGCTCGTACAGTTGTTGATTTGATCATTTATTTGCTCTTGTTTTATGGAGTGAAATCACAATGAGTGAAAATGACTCCTCAGCACATGAGATACAGCTGTCCAAGGACGTGTTTAAAAGGAGTTTGCTTTTAGTTCTTAGAAATGAGGTTATTTGACTCAACAATGCGCCCACAGGCAAACCGTAATGGTCAGTTCATCCAAATATGAAAAACATATTTTCCCACTTACCACTGTGGTGTTTGGCTGCGCTCTGACTTATCTGCTGCTGGAGCTTTCGCTGCCAAACCAACACAATGGACCTGAATGAGAATCGGTTCGAGCTTGGCAGAGTCACTCTTGGCAGATTTCTACGACAGATTAAAAATAGCAGGAATTAACCAGTTTTCTGCTCCTTTACGCACGTGTAAACTGCTGCGTTTTGAGGATGATTCACCTCAAAATCTCTCGTTTGATGGAGATTTTCATTCGCCTAAAACAGAGGGAAAGATAGGAGTGTCTGCACTGTGGAGACATTATCACCAGAGCCGGAGTTTTGGCTTTGTGGTTACTCTGATTGGGGACTTGGAGGCCACAAAACTTATGTGTACTGTAAACTGAGACAAATGTTGTCTAGCCCCGTATAAAAGTAGAAGTGAGACTAAAAAGATACAGCTGACAGCCTCCGGGCGTGTAGTTTCTGGACAATATTTCCTCCAATTATTGGTCACTAAAGAACTGCCCGTAAACGAACTTTCACTGAAACAACAAAGGCGGTCTGTCCAGAAAGAGGAGCCGATAAGGCCAAAAACATTCCTGCGGTTTAATACATGATATAGAATCTTCACATTGTGTATAACGCACATATTTTCACATGAGTTATTTTCTAACGGGCTTTGGGTTTTGGCAGAAGAGTTGATAGAGGAGTTAAAACCCGTTCGCCCTCAAACTTTCACGCTCAAGTTTGAAGCTTTCAAACCAGATTTCACCTGATTCATCAAACGTTCAGCCTGATTTCGTGGCATTCATGCAGCAAAGATCATTTCCAGTAAGTCGACTTTACGCTCAGAAGGTTTTTTTTTGATAAATTAAAAAAAGGCGCCGTAACCAAAGATTGAAAACACATCCAAATTGTTGTGGAGTACAGTGCTGAAATCGGCTTAATGATCTTTGATTGTCAGTGGAAAAGTTTCTCTTCTGGACATTTTGGTTTAATTTTCTGTCTTTGGATGTTTTAGATTTTAGTAATAAAGTGAACAGAGTTTTCAAATAACCATCCGTGACATAAAGAGGAGGGGTCTAATCTGAATACAAACCCGTTTCTTTAAATGATGGATCTCCTCTGGATTTTAAACATGAGATCTTTAAACAATAGGCTGCAAATGGAGAATTGTAGGAGTGAATCTGTTTCCATTAACTCAAATGTTCCCAGAGGATCTCAGTAGATTTGTCTCGACTGTTTTTTAAAAAAGAAAAAGTTATAGTGTTCAAAGAATAAAAGCAAAACCAGTAAGTTATAGTTAAATATTAGTTTTTTGAGTTTTCCTGTTTGGCTCAATGTGTCACATTAGTACACATTATTCTGCAAAGTTACCCTAACGCCCTCAACTCAAACCTCTTTCTGTCACATTTTCATCTGATTTCAGTCTGAATTAATCTATTCATATACGGCCTCAAACTCGACTGGCACTTGTTTTTTGTTATTTACTACATTTGTACTCGTCATTATGTGAAAAAAAAGTTTCCACATTTAAACTTTAAACGTCAAACAGATCTTGAGAAACCCTGAAAAGATTAAAACAAAATAACATCTGTATTCCAAAAAAAAGCAGGGACACTAAAACCAGAATTTTAGGGTTTTCAAAACATTTTAACTCCTTATTTAATAGAAAACAGTGAATAAACAACTTAATAGAATAAGAAACATTTTGAGTTATCAGATCACTTCAAATGGACTCAGGACTCAGAGAAGTCCTCAGCTTTTCTGGATCATGTTTCTACATGGTCTTCTCTTTGTTTGGTGAAGTACTAAGTGATGCAGTGACAAACTTGTATAAAGACAGCGGTATTTCAGAGACTTTGAGCTCATGCAGTGACGTCCACTACAGAGACATGTCTGTTTTTTTAATGCAGTGCCACCCGAGAGCCTGATTAACCTTTTAATGATATCATGAAGATAATGATGAAATCCTTAAACTCTTAAAATTGCAAACTGAGATTGTTGAACTATCTGGTGGTGAACCTCTGCCCATCCAGTCACGCTACTAACCGGTTACAAATCAAACTAATGAGCTGGAAGAAGTTCATCCAAGTTATTTTATGGTATTTCACAACTTTTTCAGGACTTTGTTGGTCCTGTTTTTACTTTTTGAAGCGTACACTTTTCAGTTTTACCACCTGGTTTAAATCTATGTGCAGTTTTTTAATCACATTTAGGCTACAAATCATTTTCAATCTGCTTTTATCGATGTTTTACTGATTTACTGAAATCCTGATTTCGAGACAATAGGTGAAAACCTTTAAACTCTTTAATCCGTTGTGGACCCTAATAATTCATGAAGTTTCTCACCTTGATTCTGTTTTTAAACACGATAAATAAAAACTCTTTGAATTGGCGTCCAAGTTTGGTTGTCTGTGTCTAAATGCAGATTCTCCATCTCCTCAAAGTTTGCAGCCGAAGCTTTCATGAAGCTCTGCACAATCCGTCCATTGACGTCCCTTTATAGCAAATGAGGATGTCATAGGATCCCGCCGGTGCCCGCAGTACAGGCCGGCCTGCCAAAGCCAATACCAGACGAGCACTTGTTTTTTCCCCCCAAATGACTTAGCGAGACATTAAACACGTGAAGGTAAATGATCTTTGCTTCACAGCAGAGCAGGCATCGAGCTCTGACCTCATAGCCAGGCGCGTGTTTACTCTGGCCGAGACGAGCCGTTTCAACCTCTTTTAATTATTTAATACTTGGGGGAGTCAGAGGCCCGCGCTCAGGCCTGTCCATCAGCGGGTATTTGTGATGTGCTCTGTTTGTGTATTTTGCGGTAGAGGAGTGTTGGGAAGATGGATTGGCTTTTGGAGCGGCCTGTCTCTCGGAGAGCGCGATGGCTCTCGCACAGAAAGGTTTTTATTCAATTTGAAGGAAAGAGAAGAGACGAAGTTTACTTTTCAGAAGCTGGGAGCGACATCGGATCCAAAAAGCCCGTTAGAATGAAATGTTTGACATGTGCACACATTTTTATATTTACTGTATCTCTTACATGTAATAAGCGCACTTTAGTGACTCCAAGTAGCTGATTGGTGGCTCTTAGATCACGCTAAATCTCCATATGTGTTGCATACTCTCAACATGATCCTCTGTGATCTGCACCGTGGAAGATCTCCAGCGTCTCTCCTCTGCCAAAACTGAGATCGGTCCATGTGAACAGGCTGGCACCTTCTATAAACCCCCTCATCTCCTCCTCTAATCCAGTACGACTCTTTAAAATCAGGGGCGGATTTACAGCAAGGCTACATGATGTCTAACATGCGTTTAAATCTGAGAGCTTTGCAGGATTCTTCTCATTCCAGGTAGGAGGAGGGCGGCCCGGCTGTGGTTAGTTAGTGCAAAGTCAGAAAAAAAAGAGTGAGCGATGGCGAGTCGAGCCGGTAAAATATGATCAGAGGAGCAGTTTCCTGAGGTGGTGCTGACAGCCGCTCCCTCAGGCGTGGGCTCGCTGTAGAGCTCGGGCACAGCGGCCGCAGAACGACAGATCGACCCGGCGCGGCTCAGACATCTCAGCTATGTTGTAGCAAGAATGTAAGCCGGGGGAACAGACGCGCTTGTTTATAGTTAAGGTCAGCTCTGATGGTTCAGGGGGCCAACGAGGGGGAAATCCAGAGAACCGTTGGATTCTTGGGGCTCACAGTCATCGCGGCACATTCGTTTCAACGGTCCCTCTATATCAAAGCTTACTGTGTTTACATAATCTTATACAAAGCCTGGTTTTTATTACCTTGGGAAGCCGCAGCCATCTGTAACTTATATCAGTTAGGCTCTCGAAAAAAGTGCTTTTGATTAATTTTGGCTTTTATTGTATTTCTCCGCTGAAAGTAGAGACTGTTAAATTAAATATAATAGCGTTTGACATGGGAAATGGGTAATAAAGAGACCTGGGGAAGATAAATGATAGATATGTAAAGAAATCTCCAAACATTTCCCTTTTTTATAGCTGTCAGACGCAAATATAGAAGGCGCTCGGGCCGGCTGCCATCGGTATCTGTGACAGAGCCTGGCTTGTTTATGAAGCTCAGTAAAACCCGTCCAGCACAAACCAAGGCCATTTGGATCTCGGGGGACCAATACGCTACGGTACATCATCCAGGAGAGTTCTCAGGCCACATGAAATGCTGAGAGGGAGCGCTTTGAAGGAGCTCGAGGGGGGTCAAATACCATTTTGGGGGGTTTCAGCTGCATATCTCCTCAGAGAGATATTCAGCTGCCTCTCTTTCTTCTCGTCGACTTGGCTCCACTGACTCATTCGTTTCCACATTGAGTCAGTGTGTTTGTGCACAGTCAGCACATTCTTCGAGCGTAACGATGGATACAGCTCCACATAAAGCGCCGCCTACGTTACCCCCACGAGACAGGAGAAACACTTCCATGTATAAACTCCACTGTTTGCGCACGGGGTTAAATAGTTTGTGTGCGATAACACAGCTGCTGAGGACGGTTATCGGCTCGTGAGATACTTCGGTGACACCTCGTCTGATTACCTGCGGCTGCTGCAGACTGAAAAAGTGCGAGAAGTTTGCCAAAGTCAACGGTTGTCCTGCAGAAGTCATTATCTAAAAAACAACATTACCAACTCCACTGTAAAAGAAGAGCTTGTGTGTGTGTGGAACAGAGACTGTTGTGTTTTAATTGGTTTATAATCTCTTAGACTGACAATTTGGTTCCAGCTTTAACTTTGGGGTTCAACGATAAAGACGATAAAGCTTGAAAGAAAAAGATGACCGAAACACTTCATAGTTATTTTCATGCAAACTGGAATAAAGGACAATAAAAACATGATTAAAGAGGTTGTGTCTTTAATAGAGGGCGTTTTAAAGCTCCTGTGAGGGACTTTTGGCTTCTGTTGATTTTGGAAGATCCAGTCTTTGTTTATCTCTGTCCTGATATGTTCTGTTGATTTCGTCTTTCCCTGGTTTTGTCATCTGAGTGTATTTTCCCTTGTGTTTCTGTTCCCTACTGTTCCCCTGTAGTCCTGTCTTGTGAGTTTTCAGTTTGTGTTCGACCCTGTTTCCCTCCTATTCTCAGTGTTTCATTCTTTGGATCGTTTTTATTTTGTAGTAGTTTATTACCTCCGCCAAGGAGGTTATGTTTAAAGTGTGGGGACAACATTTTTAGAGATTAATCGCATTGATAATGTAAAGCAGTTCTTACTATTTGCTTTATTTGAGCATCAGATGGATGCAATAAATGATCTTTATGATCTTTAATTTTGGATGCACGCTACATCAGTTTGGTCTTTTGGACTCAGGGGGAGGAAGCAGCTTATTCTTCTTTATTTCTAAGGATATCACTATCACTCATGAAGAAATATAGAGAAGTTTATGTCAATATGGTGTCCAGGGATTCCTGCTGCATTTGTATGTTGGTTACCTTTTGTTTCTACTTGCGTAAAATTGTTAACCCCTGTGACGGTAAAGCATATGACAGATTTCTGAGAACATCCTTCAGACCTGTTCATCATAATTTCACCTCTCATTACGTCTCCAGAAACAGGCCGTCATCCCTGTTCATGTCTGCTGACGTCAATGCGGTGACCTCCACCTCAGACCAAGCGAACATCCCTCTGCACGGCTACAACAAAACCTACAGCCACCAGCAGGTCCTCTCACAGCAGCAAGGTACTTTCATACTTGGAGCATGGCGGAAACTGACTGTTTTTCTTATTTTCTGTTTTTTAAAAAACGTCCCTTCTCTTTATTTTGTTTCTCTAAGGATGTCTGTATGAAGAAGGGAAGGCCGTTCAACCAGCCAATGATGGAGGATTTGAACAAACCAGTTACTTCACAAACCCTTCATCCTCTCACTCCATAGGTGAGACAGTAGAGATGTTAGAGCACCTCATGGGACAGTGGGACACATGAGGGGTGATGAAAATGATTTATGATACCATTTTTAAACAGCAGGGGGCGACCTTTGCTCTTTGAGACCGTAGACTGTGTATAAAATGGACAGCGTCTGCCTCCTTGCTGGGTGAAGCCACTCCGAGAACAGCACCCCCTGGTGACGGGCTGCAGTATAGGTCATAAATCCCGCTACTGCGCAGCGCTGATTTCAGGAAATGCAGAAAAATCGCAGAAATACTGAGAGCTTTTTGTCTTCAAATCCGTATACAGGCGGGAGGCAGAACCAAGTTGTCCATAGTATCTCTGTTTGAGACGTTAGAGATGTACAGACATGAAGTCAGCGGGTGAGAATACCTCACCTGTGTTTCCTGCACATAGATGATACCTCAGCAAACGCGTACTTGCCGATCATTACAGCATTTTTATTGTTTCCATGGTTGCTATTCGATCGTTTCTGCAGCTCTTCTCTGCAGGTAATAAAGAAAAAAAGAAAGAGGTTACAGAAATATGAGAGTTTATGCCTCTTCAAAGGGCGATATAACATCACACTTTACTTTTTCACTGTTGATTCGTTTTAAGGATGGTTTTATTCAGTCCTGTAACTTCTAGTAGAAGCGCTTATTGCACCCTTTCAAAATAAAAGCACATTTCTAACAATGCAGTTAGTTATTTCTTCCAAAACTGTATCCTTGATTTGAGATGGTGCGTAACAGAGCGCTGTAAATAAACATCATTAACCTGTGTTTGTCCTCTCTCCAGGGTTTGACTTGTTGCAGGACCTGCAGGGTCAGGCAGGAGGCGGTTACTCCATGTCCCCCTGCTCAGACGACAGCTTCCTCTTCCAGACAGGAGGCGTCGACCGCTGCCTCAACCAGATCTACTCCATCTACCTGGACTCATGATGGCCGCCCACAACCGAAGGAACTGAAGTGATTCAGAGTCACTCTGAGGACCGTGGCGGCAGACAATCACAATATACTGTATATCTGCAGGTGAAGTCAGAAATTATTATAACAAGTGCAAAAGAATATAAAAGGGAGATTTATTACAGCAAGCAGGGGTGCAAAACTGACCAAAAGCAGATCTGCAGACATGCACAGACGAGATCTGGTCGACTCACTGACCTTCACAGCATTTATGATGGAGAACGACCTTTGAGACTTTATTCATGTTTGATCCATTTGAAGGTCGAGAAGCTTTTTCTCATGTTCAGCTGAGGTTGAGTCTGTCTCCACTGCAGCCAAAAAAGGGATAACCGTGGTAAAAGATGATTGTATGAAGTAGTTCCCAACATGCAGATAAACAAATCTGTTGGTGTCAAAAGACAAAGAAGAAAAAAGTGAAGGAAAAAAGGAAACAGTTCTGCTTCAAATAATCTCGTATTTCTCAAACTCCTCTCTGGTTTTCGGATCATTTTGAGGAGTTACTCGTTAAAAATAAGTCGGGAATCTCTGGTCACAAGTTGCTCTCAACCGTCCAAACACCAGAGCAAGAAGAACATTTTTAGAAAATGCTGCTTTTTGTTTTCTTTCAGAGAGCAGGATGACAGGATTTACGACTCTGGAGTCTGCTCTGAAAACAAGCAAAGTTAGTTCAGTTCAGCACTAAAGCTCGAAACTTTCTCCGTCAAACTGACCCTAAAATCACTTAAATGGTCGTTAATACACCCGTTTTACCCTGGTAAATTCGTTTATGTGAAACAGGGTCATGTGTTGGGCTGAAACTTCAACATAAAACTTCCAAAATTCACAAAAAAAAGAAAAAATTTGTCCCATTTTACACTTTTGCTGATTGAAAAGTTTAGATATATCCCTGAAATCACAGAGCTGCTGGAGTCGGCACACATAGGTACAGTCTCTTTGCGTACTTATACACCTAAATTGATTATAGTTTAATTTTTAGAGCACTTATTAAATAAGACAAGTGATTTATAAAGCAGGGAAAATAGATTCAGAAATAAAGATCCAGCAGCGTAAAAACTGTGAGACTGTTGTGTGTGAATCAGCAGAAAACCAAAGTTACCAAAGTGACTTTAGGAGTTTGGTTGCAGCAATGTTCTTCAAACTGTAGCAGTGCTGCCCCCTAGTGTTTGCAAGACTGATAATAATGAAACATTCAACTGGTACATGAAATAAGTGGAGATAAAAATGCACTAAAACATTCATCTATTCTGTGATTTGTCTGCCGATAAATAACTTTTAGTCTGTGTAATCAAACAACAACTGTAGCATAATCTCATGTTTTTATCGTACTTCTTTCGTTTCTTCGTCACAGTGCCTTTTATACATTTTTTTAAATGTTTTTCTATCAGTGTTTTTGTATATTTTCCATCAGTGTTATATCCAGTGAGAGGGAGCCGTGCGTTGTTTACAAAAAGTTCTGTGCACTCTTTTCTGTCTCGTCACCGAGGCTGTAAGGAAATGACCAACCAGAAAATGTTTACACTGATTTTGTAGCAAATTAAAGTTTTCTTATTATGTTTTTTTATCAGTGTATATAGACTGTATAAAAAAAAATTAGCCTGCCTTTTTTATATCTAAATAAAAATATCTGTTTGTATGTGACTGTGGTGGTTTCATGGCTATAATTAAAACAGGCGAAAAATGGTGAAGTTTGTGTTGGGATGAAGTTCGGGTTAACACTGCCACCTGCTGGACACATTTAAAAAAGCACTGATTAAATACAGATGGGAGTCCTCACAGATGATTATTTCCCTTAATTATTTTGACAGCACTGTTTACTATTACTACTTCAAATTTAATCTTATTTAACTCACAAACTTTAGCTTTTTTAGGTGAAAGCTACAGTGAGATGTTTTGATTTCTTCGTTAATTATTCTTTATTTAGTCAGTAGGAGCTCACTGAGGTATAAATCCTCCTCTCCCAGGAGTCCCTGACAGCAGCACAAATAGTTTCACATGAAACTATCAAGCACATAAATCATAGAGCACTAAAAAGAGAAAGGCCAAAGATATCAAGACAAATTCCTCTCATCACTGTGATTATGCAACACAGTTTCTACAAGTTTCCTTCCCGGCACAATACAAAAACACTCTCAAAGGTATTCAAAGAAGGCAGTGTTTAGTGTTTGTGGTGGTTTCTTCTCACTCTGAGAGCATTTTGAAATATTATTTGCAAGTAAAAACTGTTGCTTTAGTTCGTATGACAGTTTTACCATGCACAGTTTCAAAAGGAGAATATTTTTCTCCACTTTCAGGGCGAGTTTAGTTCTGGATATGGACTGCAGCAGCCAGAGGTTTGCATGCAGAATTTAGCTTTTAGAGTTTGGATGAAGTTTAAACATGTTGATCTTATTTTTATCAGGATTATTATATCTGTAAAGGCTGCTGGAAATTACCCTGTTTTAGCCTTTTATTAATAAAATTTATTGTATTTACCCTTTAATGCCTTTTGTATCATATTTGATGCATACTTTTATATACTTCTATCAAATCAATATAATCAACAAATTACTAAAAAACACCTGAATACAGTCCGATAAATGATAAACATGTCCTCTATGTTCAAAATCAAAAATAGAGTTTTACCAGAAAACCTACAAAAGCTATTTGTGTTCACTTCAGAAGATGAAAGTCATCAGAGAAGATTTGATTTTAAGCACCAAGTTGCTCGGATTACTTTAAAACAAATGTGTATTTCGCTTGTTGGTGTAAAAACATGGAATTCACAATTCAGGATTTAAAAGGCTGGAGGTGTTGGTTTGAAAATGCTGTGTGTTTGTGCAAATTCTGTTGTCCACCTTCATGTGAGGAACAAACAAGAAGAAACTGTGATCAAATGAACTGGCCTGTGAGTTTTGTGGCAGCCACCAGAGGGCGCTGCAGCCCTGCAGTTACAGTGAGGATCAACCTGTTAACTTTATTCACAGGTAAATGTGTTTAAACCAAGCAGTCAGAGTGTGTGTGTGTGTGTGTGTGTGTGTGTGTGTGTGTGTGTGTGTGTGTGTGTGTGTGTGTGTGTGTGTGTGTGTGTGTGTGTGTGTGTGTGTGAATAGATAAACACTATTAACACAGACACACAGACACACTCACACACACATTGACAGGCAGCGGTAGTTTTTCCACATTCCACTCAGAGGAAGACACACCCTCTGACCCAGGAGGAGGAGGAGGAGGAGGAGGAAGGTGAGGCTGGCTCACGCGGGACAGTTGATGGGATGCAGAGAAGAGGGAGGAAGACTCTGCTGCTGCTGCTGCTGCTGATGTTTGGAGGGACTGAGAGAGACATGGAGCTGCAGCTGACATGAGCCTCACAGGTGAGAGGAAACACTTTACTGCAGTTTAGTTTCACTGAGGCTGTTTAATCCTCCAATGTTTCCCACAGGTGTATTTAACCTTAATCAGTTTTAAAGCTGAACTAAGGTGGAGTGATGCTGTTATGGTTTGTTTATGCTCAGCTGTGGTCAGACAGGTGGTAGGCTAACATGAGTAAGTTTATGAGCCTCAAACCATCAAATTAAAATAACACCGACTGTCAGATTATGTCCTGTAAAGTTGAAGAACATACCAAGCTAAGATGATTTCTATTATCTTTATCATTAAAGCTCCCATAAGGGGTTTTTAACTTTTATTAAATAGACTGAAACTCAAACTGATGCCTTTTTATGATATTGGAAAGAAAACAAAATCATTTGCAACAAGATTGAAGATTTTTATCTCCTAATTTTTGACTCCTGAAATCGCTGTGAGGGGGTAGGTGTCAGCCTTTCAGCCAAAGAAACAACTATCTTTACAATTTCCACTTAAAATATTCACGATAAGTGACACGTCTGACGGTCAAAGTTGGCAAGATGAGGTTTTTTTTGTTATGAAGAGGATAAGAAATGCACTTTAACCACAGGGGGGCGCCAGAATCGACACAAACAAAAACTTCCTCATTGCAGCTTTAAGATATTTGACATTGAAAACAAGATAAAAGCCTGATAATGTGATGATCTGAATAACTGCACCATTACGTGTTTTGAAGTTCATATCCTCACAAGCTGTTTTAACGACATCCCAACACATGAAAAATACATGAAAAATCTGCACTTTTTTGTTCGGATATGAGCAATAACACATTAAAATTGGACTTTAAATCCTCAAAACTTTCAATATTTCTCTCTTAAATGCTCTTACTCCCTGAAAATGTCCCCGTCAGTGCTGTGTGTTTCCTCAGCTGCAGTCTCTGTTTAATGTCGGCGTGTTTTATGATGGATCATTGTATGAAAGAGAGAATGAGACCGTTATTTCAGAGGAAGCTCTGCTGCCAGAGAGGATGTAGCTGCTCACATTGTTGGTGAGTGAGATCATCCGTGATCTCCAGATTCAAACCTCCCTCCTCTGGATGGACGCTCACACCCAGAGAGGAGATCTGGTCCTGTTTGGATGAAAGGTCTTCACACTCATATTTCAGGCTCTGTGGAGGTGAAGCAGTGTCAAAATCCAAAGATCGACTCCTATGTCAACATTTAGAGCGCAGTTCTCCTCCTCCGATGCCGAATTCTTGAACCTGCATAGTGATAAGTGAACCTTTAGACTGCTTCTCTTATCAGACTGAGATGGGAATTTGACTCCTCAGGCTTTAAGTTATCTCAACTGGAGGACAAGTCTTACTTCATCCTCACTTTAACGACAAGACTGTGGACCACAGCATGAAAATGTAAGCAAATTATCACCTCCAGAGACGCACACACTCCCATTTATTTCCTTTTTCCTTTTCAGCGCGACGGAGCTTTGAATACACGGAGTGTCGACAGCTATCAGTTAGAACAAGAGCATTTTTACAGAGCGGCATGCAAATGATCTGAGTTAAAGGGTGTAAAAGGATATGCAATATGTGTGACACAAAGTATTACAGAGGGTGAATTCATGCAGGAGAGAGTGAAGTGTCCGTTTAAGAGAGGAAATGCAAACACAAGTTTTATCTCCTAATTTTCGTAATATATTGTTTTCATATGAGATATTTTCTTATGCCAGTCTCCGCTAAAGGATGTCATGGTTGTTGGATGATCAGAGAAGGATTCAGGGGAGAAAAGCCTCCATGAAACGCTGCCTTCTTAAAGCTCCTGTCAGGAACTTTCAGTTTGTGTCAACCTTGGCGCCCCCTGTGGACAAAAATGTACCTCTCCCCTGGATATTATTTCGTCCCGCTCATGGCAAGACCAAAAAAAGCCCCCCCCCCAGATTCCTCTTAATAGTCAAATAAATAAATCATGGTAAATATTTACTGATGAAAATGTTGAAAAGAAAAGGTAGCGACCTCAGCAAGCTGTCAATCATCTAGTCTGACACGCCCCCTCACAGCGGTTAGAAGTAGGTGGTTTTATACATTCTCCAACTACTATCCAAGTTTCCAAACTTGGTCCCTTTCTTGGACTTGAACTCTCGAACCTCTGAATTCCCAACTTAAGTCCCTGCAGGGACTGAACTATTAATGACCCCTGTAACTCGCAGAGGGGACACACTGCTCTGTCCGCTCACTCATGTTGTTTCCTTCTCCGTCAAAGTCTTTTCTGAGGTTGTGCTCACTCTTAAATGTGCGTCACTTTGGACTAAAACGACTGCTTTAAAAGGTTTTACTCATTTTTATTGTAAAGGAGCATTAAATAAATAAATCACAGCTGATGCTTTATGACGGGAATCCTTCAAAGAGCGTCACTGAACACTTAAAGTTCAATGATTTTCAAATAGAAGATAGATCCAGATTGATCTAGTTGACACAAAGAAGTTTACTAAATTGTTTCTCTGTTTTATTTGTAAGTTAAGATTTATGCTGCTGTTGATATTAATTGATACATGCATGAAATAATAGACTTTAAATGCTATCAGTGTTAACAGACTGTGAAGCAAAAAGATTTAGAGCTCCCCCTGTTGGCCAGCCCAGGAGCCAATGAGAAGTCTTTCCCTCTGTCACCTTTAACCTCTCACAGAGCCTCTTAAATGAACTTCTTCTCACACAGGTTTTCACCAACAGGGTAACTTCTTTTGTCTCCGTTTTGTTTCCATGTGAACATCAGAAACTCTCGTCCATTCATAACTTTGTGCTCTGATCTTAATCTGCTGATGAGATCTTGATTTCATGTTGTCGTCGCTGCGGTCGGTCGCGGCTCCAGGTTTCCTCTTTACGGATCTCTCTGCTCTTTGTTCAGCTATGATACCTGGCTGCCACTACTGCTCGTGCTAAACGCTGAAATATTTACTCAAACAAACCTGCTCTGCTGTTGGAAATGTAAACTATGTTACCTTCTGTGGCCCTGGAGAGGATTTATTTTCAGGAAGTCTTATTATATATGAGTTTATATACAGCACATCACTGCAGTTCAGTATCAGTGTCCTAGTTCAGTATGAAAGTCTAGTTAACTCCAACATGTGCAGTTTTCTTCTTCTTCAACATGAAACATACTCAGTCAAACGCTCACTCCTCTCATGTTCGCTAAACTAAAAGCAGAGTTTCCCCCCCTCCTGCACTTCCTGCATTTGTTTCCAGAGTCTTAAATCTCTGCTAATGTTTCAAGTCAAGGCTGAAAATCCTGGTTCACTCTTCCTATTTTCATGTCTAGTTATCGCTCAGCGTTCGTATAGAGGAGAATTTTCTAGTCATACAGGTCTCTGCTGAAGTTCAAGATCAGCCTGTGGCACAAACTTTGGCTGTCATTTAAAAACGGTATCAGGTTACCAGGTTAGCGGAGAACAACAGGACAGTTTTTGTACATTTTCTAGTGGCTTCATAACAAAAAACCGTGCCTAAACTGGCTGACAACTCATGGCATAAACAAGTGGCACCAATTACTAATTGAAGGATGATGTTGTACGTTAAATCTTTGGATACAGCTTAAAAACTCAGTCTGTTAGAAGAACCAGTGAGCTGCTCTAAGTATATTTACATGCTGTTTAAAAAGTGGATTTATTTCATTATTCTGACTACAGCTGGACTTCTGAAACACTTATAAACACTTGAGTCCAACTGAAATCACACTAAATCAAACTTTTAATACCAAATGATTGTTATATGGCAGACATACAAACTGGGATAAGACAACAATCCAGTTTAATTGTCTTATTTAGTCACTGCGGTACCTCAACGTCACTGGGCTCATACTGGCTGTTGCCTGGATTGCAGGACAGACTCTTGCTCCTCTTTTTGCCATCAGAGATGATCCGATCCTGATAACTGTTATTAATCCCTGACTTTCAAGACCAGCCTGACACCGAAGCTGACTTTTATTCACACAATGTTTATTCATGTAAAATGTTATCAGCTGCGAATGTTTTTGCCACAGTGTCAACAGGCAGAAGAGAAAAGTGCTGGGACTTTGATTTGACGAGTGCGACTCGGTTCTCTCTGGTGTTGCTTTAACCTAAGGGGTTCAGATCAATCAGGATCAAGTCTTTAACGCGGGCCCCGATGGTAAAGTCTCGTTAGCTTGTTTTTGCCAAAGTCAGTTTGTTTACATGACACTCGAGAAAACAGAATTATTGTCTTACTTAAGTGTGTGTAAACACCTTAGTCTGACTTCAATTGAAGTTTGATAACTCCGATTAAGACACCCAGATGATGTGATATGAATTCGATTTTCTCTACCATGTAACCAGCGCAGTCAGAATATGATCTGACAATGCATGTGCCCCCGTAACCCTCACCCTCATCTGCAGAAAAAGTAGCGTGTACATCATGTACGACAAAAACAACGCTGTACGATGCTCCATCTTCTTGCTCGAAAATGCCCAACAGCAGTTGTAGACACTTCTGACGTCTGACACGGACCTGCTGTTGTTGTTGACAGCTGTATGGGGTTGGGAACAGCGCCACTGAAAAGACCCATATCGCCCCCTAGTGTTGGGAGGAGGACACGTTCACGTCAATGTAAACGCAGTGAGTGACCACGGGCAGAAGGGAAACTCTCACCTACAGATCAAACCCATAAGACTTGTTTATTCAGGTTGGCGCTGGTTTATGTTGTTGGGGATCACTCACTGTTGGTATGGTGGTTCAACCAATCAGAACTAGGTATTTGACACATTTGATAGGAAGTTTAATGAACTATCTCCAAAAAATGATGTATCAGCATCATTATTTTTTAGCCAAACAGAACTGTTAGCAAACCTTAAGATATAAAACAAGAACCAACATCTTAAGTTCAGAAAAATGGCAAAAAAAAACGTCGTAAACACAGTCGAGGCTGGAGAACAGGAAGTCAGTTTAACTCCACTACTATTGTTGAGACAGTACGCCTTGTTTTGATCTTTTAAGTGATTTTACTTTGTAGTTCGGAGGTTTAGAAAATGACAAATAAGCTCCAGCTAAAACCCTCCAGTAGTAATGAGCGGCTCGTTCCTCCTCCTGGAGCTGGAGCTCAGATTTAGCTCTTGTTGTGGTGTGTGAGGAAGTCTGAAGTCATGACCGAACACACTCTTTTGAAGGATAGATCCCTCTCTCTTTACTGTTGACCACAATAACCTGACAAATCACAAAGTATTCAGGATCCTGAAGAAGTGACCTGTAATTACATCTTTTATGTCTCAGACGGCAGGTTTTTAAAACGCGGTCATGTCACGATCTCTCTAAGACACGTGAATGAAACCTTTAAATTAAACAGTTCCCGATTCTTCCTCTTGGACTTTGTTGGTTCAGTCCGGCTCTTTTTCAGGTCTACAACAGAGTAAAGATCTCTCTGGGTCCACGCTACCACACCTCCTGGAGCTGATCCTTGAGGGGTGGGGGGTTACAATCTTAGTCTTCCAGACAACCTCCCGGTGAAGGAGGCTCCGGCTTTATCTTGGAGTAATGTTTGTTTAACTCCCATCTGCCAATTAAGTGCACCGCCTTCACGTGAGAGTCACGGCAGCATCTGTTTCCTCTCCCACAGCCAAACACTGGACCCCTGATCCCTGGTGAACTGTGTCACCATGCCAACTCCCACAATCCTCACAGCAACCAGGAGTCCTTGGAGAAGTTGTCAGGTTTACGAGCGCATTTACATCTGAGTGAGACTCCGCTCGGTCGTCAGGTGGGTGAGAGCGACTGAAGGAAGATGCATTCTGGATTTATGTGACGATAAAGTCGAATGTTTTGTGGTTTTTCTGTTTCAGAGATGGTTTCCTGGCGGGATGTCCTGCTGGTTCTCCTGTTCCTGGTGAGGATTGGACTCGTAGGTGGGTGCGTTTGTCCATCAGCCACCATCTTGTCCCAGTTTCCCTCTTCGGTTCCTGCTGACGCCTGTTGCTTGAACTTTTCCGGCTCTGCTTTCAGCCGCGTGCAGTGGTCAGTGTTTACGAATGAGACAAACATCCAGACTCTGGATCTCTCTCACTGCAATATCAGCTCTATTAATATCACAGACAAAGAGGCCTCCACTCTGCAGAGGGTTTATTTGGATCATAACAGACTAAAGGAGCTGCCCAAGGACTTTCTTTCCAGCCAGCCTCACCTGGTGGAGGTAAACCTGAGTGAGAACCTGATTCAGAAACTTCCTGAAGGCTTTCTTAAAGACTCAAAGAACCTCCTGAGGTTGTATCTGCAGAGGAACCAGCTCCAGAGCCTCCCAGCCTCTCTACTGCAGAAACCAAATCTGCAAACTCTAGATCTGTATGGGAACCCCTGGGACTGCTCCTGTTTGCTGCTGGAGGGCCTGGAAGAAGGCGAGAAGGTGAACAGATCCATCAGAGTTCAGGAACTGGTGGCGAACTTGACCTGCGTGTCTCCGAGGCACCTCGCCGGCAGAGTGGTGTTGTCGGTGAGGCTCAGCGACGTGTGCCGACCGGCCGGCCTCACTGCGCTCTTCATCGTGCTCCCTCTTCTCATCCTCTCAGCTTTGATTCTGTGCTGGTGCTGCGGGAGGAAGAGGACCAAGAAGGAGATACCTCTGAGCACCTCCAAGAAAAGACCATCTAGCTTGAGTAGCAACGGCCAAAAACACCACAAGAAGCAGCAGCAGCAACCTGCAGCCGCAGCTCAGAGTAAAACCGGACACAGTGAGGGGATCCTGAAGAACCAGCTGCTGCTGCGCCCATCCTCCACCCTCCTGGGCAGCACCAGAGACATCTATGAGGAGGTGGAGATCAAACTGGGCTCAGTGGAGTCTCTCCCCAGACAGCCTTCATGCTCTTCTTCCACAGAGGAGAAACAGGATCCACAGGAGACCGACGGGGTCAGTAAGACCGAGCTGGACACGGTCAGCGTGACGGAGGTGATGAAGGACTCAGCAGACAGGGAGAAGGCTTACCTGACCCAGTCCACTGAGTACTACAGCCTGGTGCCGGGAATCGAGCTGGAGGACTCAGACCACGGGGAGTATGAGAACATCAGCCTGTCGTGACACCTACAACATTTTGGGAAATACGTTTCTGCTGATAATTAAATGAGAAGATTTGCAAAAACTGCAGATCTGATATTCTGTATCAGCTCCTCAATATGAAGGATAAGGTCTAAAAGTGACACATTTATATACGGAAGTGAAAATGTCGGTCGCTTAATAATATATTCTGTCTGTCCTGCTTATTTGCCAGAAGTGGTTTTGACAGTTCGACTTCAAAAGGACCAAATAATGTAAATGTTTGTGAGTGAAAACAACATTTTGAATCCAGATTATCAGGGAATTTAAACACAGAGCTGTAGCCCAACAAAGCATAACTAATAATAAACTTACTGGACTGTATAAAGTAAACAAACAAACCAAAATAAATCCCAAACTTTAGCCTGTTTGACAAATTATTGACATATTTATTCACTTTTTCACATCAAGTATTAACTCTGAGTGATAAATTTGACTGTAAAATGACAACAGAAGGCTAGACGAGATGAAATAAGCAACGATATAACAGGTAGGTCTCTGTCCACAGGGGGCGCCAAAGTCAACATGGACAGAAAATTCCACAAAGGAGCTTTAATGTGAAAATGACACATTTTTTTGTTTGTTTGTGTAAATTACAGTCCCAGAAAATTCTGTTTGTTTGTGTTTGGCTTCAAGCAATGATGTATAATCTGTAAATATCAGACCAAAGAGGTTTATTGTTGTTAAACTGTGTGCAAGAAATGAAAAAAGTTTCAGTTTATTGCTGTAAATGCACTGAAAAGAGGCACTGTAAGTGTGTGTGTGTGTTTGTGTGTGTTATTTGTGTGTGTGTTATCGACACAGGGACAGCACTGTCGAACCGCTGTGGTATCACAATGTAAGAGGAAGTGATTCAATCCGGCGCTTTTCCTGTGGGACCTGAAGAACGCAGTGACGCTTCAAAAGAGACGCTTTCTTTTTTTTTACACCCTGAAAGGAGCAAATTTTAAAGACACAACATCCACAAACACCTTTTTTAAAATGAACACTGCGCTCTATCTGAAAATAGATTTGTTTGTTTCTGCTTGTTTAAGGTCAAGAAAGTTTGTGTGTCAGCTCTCCTTTACCTCACCCAAGTGCAATTGTTAAATGTATTCCAGTTTGTCTTGTTGCAGGTTAAACTAAACTCTTTGTGCTGCACATCCTGAATTGTAGGTGCTGAGTTATGACTAATCCCGCTGTAATGCTGATTGTTAATTCGTCGTGAAATGTGGAATGTAAAGCTCAGGCTAGAAGTCCAAAATTATATACGTCATTGTTCAGCAGTGATAAAAGGATAGGTGCTCTGCATCATGTGTTAAATTGTGCGTATAGGTTGGAAAATACCGGCGTGGTCGGGTCTGAATGCAGGTGTCAGATAAAAATCTCTGCAGGTTCAGTCAACAACAAAAAAAGACGACACATTTAAGGTCACAGGGGGATGCAAGCCGGAGACGCTTGATGTGGAAAACAGAGCAGACGCCTCACTCTTACACTTGCGCTTTGAATTTTAATTTGTTTGTGTGCGGCGAAAGAGGGTGCAGCTTTCAGGGTGTGGGACTTCCTGTGATTTAAAAATACTGAGGTGTATTTTCCAGACAGGGGCTTCACGCTTTTCCCATCACAGCTTCACTCACACTGTGTCAGATTCTCCGCTTTAAAACACCAGAAACACTGAGATCAATATATATATGTAAAAAGTGAGTAAAAGCCTCTGTCCACACATTGTTTGAAATATGACAAATACACTCACTCCTTGTGTTGAGACTCTAGTACTGTTGAATTATATCACAGTTAGCTAATTAACCATCGAACTACTGCAATAACTGATTTTATAAGACGCCTGTGTTGACACTGTATGAGTGTAAAAGTGTCGTATCTTTTAAAAGCACTGATTTCATCACGTTTGTATGCAAACCCTTTTACAACCGATGGGAAAATAAATGTTTTTTATTACATAAAGATATCTGCCTGTCTCTGTTTGGATGATTCATCTTTTTATTTATTTACCTGTCTTTTATTGCACAAACACTTTACCTCCAGAAAGTGCAGTATTAGGCAGCGTTCACACTGCAGGTTATGATGCACAATTCAGATTTTTTATTAAATCCAATCTTTTTGTTCGGTCGTTCACATTACAACAACGAATGCAGCGTCTAATGCGAATGGAGCGAGTCTGTGAAGTGACCCGCATGCACACAAAGCACAAATTGCTTTCCACGCCTGTTTGTGTTGTCGAACAATGGTGACGTTTGTCGCATATTGATGACGTATAGGTCAGATGAACGCGACCTGAAGGTCCACATCGCAGTCACATCAGATACATATCTGATTTATATCCACATAGGAAAGAGGCCTGGGTCGGATTTGAAAGAAGTCAGAATTGCACTGTTCACACTTACATAAAAAAATCAGATATGTGTCACATATGGTTAAAAAATCAGAATTGACCTCCAGTGTGAACATAGCCTTAATCACCATGCTGCTGTTTTACCCTTAGTTTTTATTATTTTTATTTTTTTTGACATGACAAATGACATTTCGTTGCAGAGAGAAATCACTGCTATGTTTTATTCTGTGCAATGACAAACAAAGAAAGTCGAAGTCTGACGTATCAAAAACCAGACTGTCTCTCTCTCTTGTTTTTCCAATGGCCCCCCTTTTATCTCTTTCTGCCCTGACAATGACCCAGGCCAGTCCCAGCTACCTGAAATCCCTCTTTTTCTTTTGAGCTCTAATTTCACTCACCGTGGGAAGTTGTAATTACCGCATTGGGTTACTCAGACGATCAGCGCTGGGCCTGCCCTCTCTGTCCCGTTCTCAGAGGTCTTAGCCCCCCCCTGACAAGTGGATCCAGTGGCAGAGGCCAGGAAACGACTGGGATGCTGATCTGGGAGTAAATTTCATCTTCAAAGCTGTAGATCTACATGGGATGGTGAACTAAACTGAACTGGGAAACTATGAAAAATAAATCACTGCACCATCAGAGCCAAAATGAACAACAGACACAAATATATTCCAGCTTTAACAGCTGATCTGTCCTCTCTGAGTATCAATAATAGACATATTTACATGATATCAAATAAATCAGGTGTTCTTTTACTGTTTTCTGTCAATACAAGTGTTTTGTTTATGAGCTAAATACAGAGAAGAGGAGGAGGAGGGTGTCACGGCTTTGGCTGCAGATCCAGTGTCTATAATAAGAGTGACACCAAGTGGCAGGAATTAAAACTGCCGTTTATGAGCCTTTCGAACCACATGGAGAAAACTTTATTGTGATCAATAAATCAAATGATCAGTAGCAAATGCAAAGATAGAGATACTCTGAGACTCCTCTTCTGATAGTAGCTGAGTGAGCTGCACAGATTCAGAGGAAAAAGGGGAAGTAAAAGGCGACCATTCGTCCTCCAGGCTCTGATTGAGGATTGATGGTCTCATAAATATCCAGTCAGGAGAAAGTAAACAGTCAGAGGATTAAAAAAGAGACTGAGGCTGATTTACAGTGGACCGCTGTAACGATGTGAAACGCAAACAAGTCGGCAGAGAGAGGAGCAGCCAGTAACAAAGACTGAGAGACGAGAGGATGGAGCCGTCAGACTGATGACAGAACAGTAAATAAAAGAGAAAAGACTCAGCTGGACAATCACTCAGTGTGGGTTATATAATCCTCTATGGCTGTGGCTGTAGTTTCAGATAACAGGTTCACTTATTATGCATTTAATCAAGTAAATTTAACAGAAATATGTCAGAAACATTATTTTCTATATAACTTTGATTTAAATGAGCAGAGTAAGAAAGACTCATGGAAGCAAAGAGACACTTTAGGATAGAATGAGATAAAGAATCAGAAATAAATCACAATAAAAATGTCAGTATATGATGTAGAAACACCAGGTGAGATTTTGCCTTCAAACCACCTGTAAATTTTGAGTTACAATTAAACTAATTGTTTAATTGTGATTTAAAAGGAAGCTATTTTATTGATATATAAAATAGTTTACTCAGTTTAACCTAATATATACATATAGCTCAAATGCACTAAATTAAGCATGAAAAACTCCAATATGTTTAGCTCATAAGCATAAAATTCAACACAAAACATACATAGATTTTATTTGATTAACTTAATTTATTAGAGAAAATAATCAAATTAATAAAAATTGTATCTACAGGTTTTTTTATAATCCACATTAAAATGTTTTCCCTTCCCTGTGACCCAAACTTCTGTAAACAAATATTTTTCATGCCTGTTTATTCTGTCTTGTGTTCAAGCTGCTTTTATCCTGAATTGTCAGACTCTACTTTTATTTTGAAGTTTACTACTTCCTGTCGTTCTAAACTTTGTTGATGATTTTGGAATTACAAAAATCTTAAACATCAGTTGTAAAAGTGCCAAATTATCTCTCAGGAAGCTGCTTCAGCTTCTTCTATCCTCTGATTTATGGAAACCAAAGGACTGCACCCATGAACTCACAGTATCACCTTCTGCTTATTTTAAACACAATATCAGTGTCTAATTGTTTTTTAAAAGATGGTTTTCATCAGCACAGGTGCACTTTGACTAACCTAGATGACTTGTAAGTCTTAAAAACATTTTTTTTTTTTGACATGATAAAGCTCCGGTAAGGAACTTATGGTTTGCATGTATTTTGGCGCCCCCTGTGGACAAAGCGATATCTACGATACTATTTCAGACATGAAAATAACTGTAAAAATCTTTTGTTGATGTTTTGAGGTAGTTTCAATTTATTTCACAATCAAAAAAAACTATTTTCATGATGTGTGATGATATATAACATTACATTCATTTTTTCTGTAAAGTTGATATGAGTTGACAAAATATTTTATTTTTGTTTTACTTTTTATTATTATTATTATTATTATTATTATTATTATTATTATTATTATTATTATTATTATTATTTATTTATTTATAATTCTATACAAACTCAGGATAATCAGTAATAAGTATAAATATAAATTGATACCATGTCAGCTTTAATTGTTTGTTTACATGGAGCCACATATGAGCATCAAACTCTAAAATCAACTTTCAATCATTTTACCAATAATCACTTTTCAACATTATCAACACTGGGGTTAAACCTTTTATATATAAGATGATAACAAAGCGATACAGTACGACAGACTGTGTTTAATATATAATTCTATATATTATATAATTGCTGAAAATTCCTGTAAACTTTATTAGCGGGTTATGTCACTGCGCTCAGTGACCGTGTATCTCATGGGCTTCAGGTTCCCAGGTTATAAATCTATGGTGTTAATTTATGACAGCACAACAGGGAGCTTTAAATTCAGGACTCAGGAAGAGCGTCTCTCTCTTAGGACAGCAGGACTCCACTCAGGACCAGACGAGTTACCTGCTTTCACAGGTGTGACTTTTCTTCAGATTTTCATTGAAAGAAATGGCTGCGATGTTTTTTTACCAATTCTTAACATTTCATGATTTATTCTGAATATTTTCAGGACTTTTCTGTGACCAGAACAAAGCCTGTCATGACGGTCTCTTACAGTCTTGAAGTGGCTGATGCCCGCTTTGGCGGCTTCTCCAAACTTCTGTTCAGGTGGAGGGGGAGCATCTACAGGCTGCTTTATAAAGAGCTGCTGGTTTTCTGTGGAGTTTATCTGTTTATCAGTGTAATGTACAGGTAATTTCACTCATCTCTACAGTAATCCTGCTTTTCTCCTGAAGTAGAGGACGGATCATCACGTCTGATTTCCCTCACAGGTTCTTCCTCACGCCAAAGCAGCAGGATCTATTTGAGCGTGTCGCCCTTTACTGCGATCAGTTCACCAACACCAGCTTCATCCCTGTCCTGTTTGTTCTGGGTGAGTCTGACTCGTCTGTTTCCCCTAAATATCAGAGGACAAATCTCTAAATCTCTAAATCTTTGTTTCTCTCTCAGGTTTCTACGTGACCCTGGCCTTTAATCGCTGGTGGGGTCAGTACACCAGCTTCCCTCTGCCCGATAACCTGATGATGGTGGTTTCTGGAAACGTCCACGGGACAGACAAGAGAGGTCGACTGCTGAGAAGAACTCTCATGAGATATGCCAACTTATCCTCAGTCCTCATCCTTCGCTCCATCAGCACAAGAGTTCTCAAGCGTTTCCCGACTCTGGAGCACATAGTGGAGGCTGGTAAGAGGTTCAGATCCAAACGGCCTCATTCATCAGCGTCGTCTTGAGACTTTTTCTTAACTTTGTGGATTGTAAGAGGAAGCCAAGACAAATTAACCGGCTCTTAAACCACAGAAGGATTTGCACTTATGCTCTTGAGTTGATGAATGTCCCGTCCTCCTCAGTTTGAAGCTGGTGCCACTTTTTCCTAATTAATGTAAGAAAATGACCCTTCAGTCCAGACAGCAGGGCCATGTGCACACACAGAGGTCAGACAGGATTAAGAAAAGACTTAGAGAGAGACAGTGAGTGTGTGAAGTACATTTTTGTGTTAATATGGGCTGGATAGTCGCACGTTATGGATAAGTCAGGACAGGTCAGGATAAGTGTCTCTGCAGCGATAAAAACCTTCTTAAAAATAACTATAACATCAATCTAAACCGGCTCCTTTCTCTGCAGGTTTTATGACGACACACGAGCTGAAAAAGTTCGAGTCTCATCACTCGGATTTCAACAAGTACTGGATGCCTCTGACCTGGTTCTCGAATCTGGCAGCCAAAGCGAGAGAGGAGGGTCGAGTGAGGGACGACATCGCCCTGAGACTGCTCATGGACGTGAGTGGATCATTTCTTATCACAACAGAAAGGACAGGAAATATAGACATTTGTAATTAGATACATTACTCCCTTTATTAATAAGTGTTGATTATATTCTCTAGGAGCTGAATAACTACAGAGCGAAGTGCAGCCTCCTCTTCCACTACGACTGGATCAGCATCCCTCTGGTCTACACTCAGGTGAGAGCAAGGACAGGTGAATCATGATCAACAAAAACAACCCAAATATGACGTCATGTTCTTGTTTTTCCCTGATCTTTGTATTTCAGGTGGTGACTTTAGCTGTTTATTCCTTCTTCGCCTTCTGTGTGGTCGGTCGTCAATTCCTGAACCCTGAAAAAGGATACAAAGGTCACGGACTGGACCTTTATGTCCCAGTTTTCACCCTGCTGCAGTTCTTCTTCTACACTGGCTGGCTTAAGGTCAGAGGTCACATTCATGTTTCACCCATACAGAGGAAATATTTGTTTTGATTTTTAAGGAGGAGTGATTTTATATTTCTGTTCTGTAGGTGGGGGAGCTGATCATCAACCCGTTTGGCGAGGACGACGATGACTTTGAAACCAACCAGCTGATCGACAGAAACTTTCAGGTGATCATTCAGAACTCTTAATTTTGATTTTCTAGTTTAACCTTCCTCCTGTGTTAGCGTTCACTACGCACCCACTATGTTAAGGGTCCGTTTTAAATCAGCTGTAAATTACACTAAAAACTATTCTCTATCATCCAATTTGGTTCTCATCTCTGGGTTATTGTTAGGCTTCATTATCTATGAAAATACTCCTTATAATATTTTTTGTTGTGGGTCTCTGAACATTTCTTTGTCAGTATACCCCTCATACAGACATCTATACTGAATTGATCTCACATGTCTGGACATGCCCGACGTTGTTTTGCAGGGAAAAACAGGCAAAATGAGAATTTCCTAAAATCTCACATGATTGGAAAAGAATCTGACTGTCAGTGTGGTGCCTGACAGTATACATATGATTTTAGTTTTTACTCTAATTATTAGATTATTAGATTCCCTAACACTGACGAGCGCCATAATTTAATAAGAACATTTTATAATTTAGTCAATTTATTTTTTCTTTTGTATTTTGTTGAAACAGACGTTCCTGACAAAGTGAAAAGGTTTTGATGCAAAAAAAGCTCATTTATGTGGTTCTTTTTAAGCATTTAAAAACAAAAACGCAGGAGGAGGGTTAATAGTAAAGAAGGCTGGCAGCCACCAGGGGCCCCCACAGACGGCCCTGAATCAAGGAGGCCTTTGGTCCTTGGGTGTGTAAATGTGAACTGTCATTACCTCGAGTCTTCTTCTCTCCTCTGTAGGTGTCCATGCTGGCTGTGGATGACATGTATCAGAACCTGGCTCCTCTCGTGAAGGACAAACACTGGGCGCAGAGACATTTCTCCATCCCTTATACTCTGTCCACAGCAGCCGAGACTCTCAGACCAGCTTTTAAAGGATCCACCTTTGACATGAGGTATGAGCCTGTTACATTAAAGTGCTTTTTTAAAGAACAATCACTGCCTTATCTCGACTTTAATTCATCTGTCTTATTTGCAGGATGAGTGCGGAGGATCTCGAGATTCACCAGCCTTCAGACGATCCTGCACAGAAACAGTTTTTATCAGTGAACGGCTCTCTGGGTGATGGTCTCAATAGTTTCCTGCAGAAGGGTAGAGGTCTCCTGCGAGGTGGAAGCCTCCCTTCTCTGTTGGATGTCTCATCGCACCCAAATGAGGAGGAGGAACATGATGCTACTCCTCCGAATGGAAACATCAACACCAGCGACCATAGAGAACAAGAAAAGCCTCTGATAAAAGTTGCAATTATACAAAACTAGTTAAAGTGTTCAAAATATATACATTGTGTTCATTTATCGTGCAATTCAAAGAGAGACTGGCTTAATGACATCTACATACAGAGACACCACAAACTGCTTCATTGTATGATGTGAGATAATGGAAACTGGTGTATCCACAAGTAATCTTACAAGTATAATAAAGTGATTTTACATTATGTGTAGTGGAGTATTTATATAATCTGCAATCATCGCCCCCCCTGGTACCCACTTATCTCTGAAGTGTCTTCATCGAGGTCCCATATGGCTGATACAACAACATAAAAAAGACTCATCAGAGCAAACATGTATAAATGCTTTTGGAGATAAGCTTCCAGTGTGGATGAAACACAAAAAAGTGACGTTTTGATTTATTCCAGTGTATTTAGTGTTATAAATAGTGCCTCTTAAATACCCTTTCAATGAATGAAACATGTTGTGATTCGCTGTTAGTAACTTTATATGGTTTTGTAAGTTTGGTTGTCATGCAAGGCTTGTGAGTTTAGTTAACTAATCAAGGCAGGTTTTTATTATTAATTCATGATCAGATTACTGTTAAAAATCCTTTATTTTAAAATTACTGCACAAAAATAACAGAATAACTCTTTCTAGAATGTGAGCTTCATGCAGAAAGTAGAGTTTATAAGATGGTTGTCAAAATAATGAAAAATAGCGGACATCTTTGTTAATCACGATTTTCTGTGTTGGCCGTTGTTCTCAACTGGTCTCACTCTGGGACCCACATTTTCCCATGGTCCTTAAGTCTGCTTTCTGTATGATCAAATATAAATTATTGTAAAAATAAAATAAAGTAAAAACATTTTAGTGCTGCTGTTGATGTAGGTCTATGATTCTTACTGCAGATATGTCAAAGCTCTGCTACTGTTATGTGCCTTCTGCTGTGCAATGTGCTCTGAGCATCTAAAGTGCAGGTGGTTGTGGGGCAAAACAATGTTGCAAAAAGGACATATCCATAAGGAGCAGAGAAAAGAAAGAGGAGGAAGAGAAAAAAACGCCAAGATAAAGGTATGTTTGCATGCCAAGGAATGTTAATCAAAGAGATTTGTAAAGGTGTGTAAATGATCAACAATCAATATTATTGGCAGGAAAAGAGGGCCCCAAAATCAAATTTTCCTTAGGGCCCCATTGAGGCTTGAACTGGCTCTGTAGGTGTCCTTTCTATTTTGTTGCCCCCTCCTGTCAAACAGCCTGAGTACGCCCCTGGTACAAACAGAACATTGAAATATTTTTATCACCTAAAGTTAAATTTAATAATTTAAAAGTAAAATGTGTGACAATTGGGCACGAAATGTATTTAAGTTTTTTTTTTTTTTTAAACGTCAATAATTAGCCGTACCGCTTGGACTTTTATTTTGAAACACACGCGACGGATGTTCTGGAGGGTCAAAAGTCATTTCCCACTTCCGCGTTGTCAGATATGGAAAGAAATACTCATCGATAAGCGATTTTTGAGTTTAAAGTTCTTGTCGACACCACCGGTATGTTGGCAGTGACTGTTTGTAGTCGGTGCTCTTCTTTTAGAATATAAAACTTGTCTGTTTTGACTTGTGAATATAGTTAAAGTGACCTGCAGACTTGTTAGGTTTATGACAGAGACGGTTACTAATTTACCTCACAGCTAGCCACAGCGCTAACGTTAGCTCACTCATTTGTAGTTCAGAGAAAGTGGATAGATGAGTCACTGAACCGGCTAACTTCATTCTGTGATAAGAGGATTAACTTTTTTATAGTGTGTACACTTCTGTGAAATAGCAGTGTTCTTCGTTTTATTCACGGTTTTGTTTTGCTGTGTTGTGTTGACTCAGGAATATTCGGTTTCGTTTGTGTTTGACAGGAGCCCCCCCCTCACGAGACCAGGCAGGAAAACAAAGGCCGGGTCGGAGCTGGGATGTCATCTGACGCCCCTCTATAGCTGATCTGCTGATAGTCAACCCCTCAATCACCTCCATCACCACTACAACCAGAATGTCTCTTGGTGACAACCCTCATCTGCTGCTCGGCAGGATCCGCTTCCTGAACAGGTGTATCGAGTGTTTCCGAAAGAGTGAGCCGGTCCCGGAGTGCCTGTGTTATGTACCGAAAGAGGTGTGCTACAAAATCTGCAAGGATTCATCGTCCTCGACCTCCGCCTCATCTGGAGCATCTGCAGGAGGCTCGACTGTGGGGAAAACACTGGTGTCCGTCTTTGAGAGTCCACACCAGACTCCACAGATCAAGAAGCTGTGCAAGTACAACATCGAGCCAAAGAAAGGGACCTGCATCCGGACCACAGGGGAGGAATACTGCAACAGCCAGGGCCTGTGGGTCAAAATCAACAAGGTAAGACTCTCGGTCTCACTCCCAGGTAGGGCTGTCCCCATACTATTTTTTCACTTCCGATTAGGGCCCGACCGATATGGATTTTTAGGGCCGATGCCGATGCCGATACCGATTATAAGGGGGCGAAAAAATCTGATTACCGATTAATCGGCCGATTTTTAAAAAAAATGAAGTTATAGAAATATACATACTGTAGATATCGACAGTAGGCTATAATCTGTGGATTCCAGAGCCTGGGACCAGCGACTGAAAAGACTCTGTCACCCCAGTGTTTGTGTTTTGACCGGAGCACCTCCAGCAGAAGTTGATTTGACGACCTCAGAGCTCTACCCGGCTCCCGAGCGGTTAAAAGCTCAGTGAAATAGATGGGGGCGAGGCCGTTAAGAGCTTTAAAAAGAAACATTAAAAGTTTAAAATCAATCCTAATAGAGACGGAAAGCCAATGAAGGGAGCTGAGGACAGGAGTGATGTGTTAGAATGTCTCTGGGCGGCAAACTCACATCGGCTCTAAACCCAAACCCAAATACAGTGAATTATATAATTTCTCATCTTTTTAAACACATCATGTTTCTAATCATTAAACCTTAATGACTTTATGATTTTGATCACTATGATGTACGACTGTGACCAGGATCAGCTGGAGGAACAGCGTCCAGGTCTAGAATTGGAGGAGGGCTGGATCTTGGTGTGTAAACACACAGAAGGAGGCGACAGGCTGGTGCCGGTAGAGTCTCCAGAGACGATCAGCAGACAACAGCAGCTCTTCGGCTACGACCACAAGCCTTGCAACAGGTGGGAGCAGGTGGTCAACGTGGAGAATGCGCTTTACATCGGCTCTAAACCCAAAGTGGCCGAGTGTGATGATGCCGCCGTCCAGAAGCTGAGGTAAGAATATTTACATCAAGAAAAACCAAGAGGCCAAGACAGATTGACTTTGGATTTCATTCACGCAGAAAGAGATTGTTGAATTAGCTTCTGTTCATCAAATCCTTCAGGTACGTTCCCCCTACCTGGACTTATGAATGTGATGAGGACCTGGTGCACTACCTCTATGACCACATAGGAAAAGAGGATGAAAACCTGGGGAGTGTGAAGCAGTGTGTGACCAGCATTGACGTCTCTTCATGCTCTGTAAGTCGTTGTTTTTGTCCTTTTTCCCTCTCTCCCGGAATTTAAAAGTCTTAATTTGTAATAAAAGGACATGATTTATCTGCTGACAGGAGGATCCCAGCGGAGGAGCGAGCTGTCTGACGGATGGCGACACTGAAACCTACTGGGAGAGTGACGGCATGCAGGGACAGCACTGGATCCGCCTGCACATGAAGAGAGGCACTGTGGTCAAGTAAGGACCGCGCTGAAATCAGAGCGTTTCCTGATTGACAGATTAGTGATATGCATTAATTTTACTAACATGTACATTGTCTTGTCTTTCCAGTAAGCTGATTTTGACGGTGGACTCCACAGACGACAACTACATGCCCAAGAGAGTTACAGTGTATGGAGGAGAGGAGCTCAATCTGAAGAAGCTCAGTGACGTCACCATTGATGAGTGAGACTTTATCTGCATGACTCACAAAAATACATTTAAAGAGGTCTGAAACTGTGAAACTTGTACCGCTTGTGTTGTACTAAAGTATCAATCAGATACACTTAGGAGTAAGTATCTAATATTTAGATCTGCGTTTTAACTCTGAATATAAGCAGATATGGACTCTACTTGAAGGGAGTTATCTTGTTTTATTCCTTTTTTTTTTTTAAACTTTCTTTACCCAGAAGGTCCTCTTGGTATTTTGACCATCCTGGATAAAAAGATCCAGAAAGATAAAACAAGATTTAGATTTGTCAATGAACCCTCTTACTGATACAGTAGACTAGACTTATTAGATACTTTGGGTAAAATGTGAATCTTTTGTCTCTTGTGTGCCATCAGCAACCTGATTGGAGAGGTGTGTGTGCTGGAGGATATGACCGCTCATCTGTCTGTGATCGAGGTTCGGATTGAGGAATGTAGAGGTGAAACTTTTCAGCATTTTTTCCTCATATTTCATTTAGTAACTATTATTTAAGAATCCTGCACTGTACACAGGGCTCTTCAGCAGCAAAAGCGTCAAAGTGAACCTGTAACTGTAACTGAGACATTTTTTTCTCTCTATTGGCTCTACAGATGAGGGGATAGATGTCCGGATCCGGGGCTTGAAGATCAAGTCTTCCTGTGAGAGAGACCTGGGTCTGAACGCTGATGTTTTCCAGTCCACTAACCTGGTGCGCTACCCTCGTCTGCAGGGCAACACGCCTGATGTCTTGTACCGCAGAGCACTGGTCATCCAGAGGTTAGTCACACCCTCTCATCTCATGACAAGAGGAAATATAAAGAAGTGAAATGTGTTTGTTATTTAGTTATTGCTGCTTTTTTTGACTATATTAGGAGATGTTTGTCCAGTACATAACAGGGTTAGCATTTTATGTTGGAAGCTCTCTTTTGCTCAACCATCAATGCCGTCACAGTGATTTTTCAACTGTTTCAATATCAAAATTTCACATCCATATCCTGTCTGGGGACCTGTTTATCTTTGTTGTATTAATGTGCGAATAACGTTCAAATTTCTGCTAAAAAAAAACAAACAAAAATCAAATCAAAGTCATTTTGTGTCTGTAGGTTCATCGCCCTCCTGGACTGCGTGCTCCCACACTTGGTACCAGCCTGGGACTACAGTTTGGGGACCTTCAACCAGATCAAAGTAGGTCAGATAAATAATGGTGGTATGAGATAGAGTCCGGTTCAAAGATAGGATTGTATTCTTGTGTCAGAGCTGCTCTGTCATTGTTTAAAACAGCACTGGAAGAGCAAAAATAGCAGATGTCTAAGTTTAGGTTGAATTAACTTCCATAAACGGTGGCGAGTGTTTCCTCAGTGCTCTCTAGTATCTGACTCGTGCTCTCTGGCGCCCTCTAGAGCATAAAGCAGTTCCTCCTGCTGTCCAAACGGCGCTCGGCCCTCATCACTCAGTGTCTGAAGGACTCTGAGACCAGCAAGCCAAACTTCATGCCTCGACTCTACATCAACCGCCGTCTGGCCATGGAGCACAGAGACAACCCGTCTCTGGACCTCAGCTGCAAGAACGCCGTCTTCAACCAGGTACTGGACATCTCTGAGCAGTGACATCACTTCCTCTCAGTCAAAATGAATCACAATTTTTTTTTTTGTTACCACTGCTTTTAAACTTCCCGTGAGAAGCTTTTACTGATCATACGTTTGTCCTCTGCAGGTCTATGAGGGTCTGAAGCCATCAGACAAATTTGAGAAGACTTTGGACTACAGGTCTGTATCTCTGGCTTGTATGTTGGAAAATTCATCCTGGTTATGACTCAAGTCTAAATCTCCCATCTTCCTCTCTGTTTTTTGTTTAGGTGGCCGGCTCGATATGACCAGTGGTGGGAGTGTAAGTTCATCGCAGAGGGCATCATCGATCAGGGAGGTGGATTTCGGGACAGCCTGGCAGACATGTCTGAGGAGCTCTGCCCAAGCTCAGCTGAATGTCCCATGCCTCTGCCGTTCTTCAGCCGCACGTCCAACCAGGTAAAGAGCCGGTGAAATTTCCCACAAACAAGTAGTCTGCACCTTTTGTCTTTGTTTTTCATTAACCTTTGACCCCTCCTTGTCTCTCAGGGCTCGTTAGAAGCCAGAGATTACTACGTCCCAAACCCGTCCTGCAAGGAGTTCCACAAGTACGAGTGGATCGGTCAGCTCATGGGAGCTGCTCTCAGAGGAAAAGACTTCCTGGTGAGTGATTCAGACTCTCTGCTTGCTGTAGGTTCACCTTGACACCACAGAGAGTACGAATAGGTTCGAGGGGAGACCTGGTGTGTGATTTTCTGTGTCTGATCCTGCAGGTCCTGGCTTTACCCGGGCTGGTGTGGAAGCAGCTGAGCGGAGAGGCTGTCAGCTGGAATAAAGATTTCCCGGCTGTAGATTCTGTGCTGGTGAGGAGATTCAGTTTATTACACCAACAATCAAATTTATGTACATTTGAGTCCTGAAACTGGAGATGAAGCTCTGCAGAATGAGTTTTAAACATATTCAATCAGAAACATGATTTCACAGATGAGCTGACATTTTTTATGTTTTGTGTTTGGTACATTGTTGATGTTTCACCAGCATCTCAGCTGTTTGTATTAATTAGAATTTACTTTAAAAAACGAACAAATTCTAGTATTTGCACTTTGGATTTATCACTTGGCTGTGATCGTGTTCACTAGCTCCTTTCTCGTTTCTTTAATTAAACCCTTCTTTTCTAAGTCCTCGTCTAAAGTGTAATTTCTCTGTGTCCTCAGGTGAACTTGCTGGAGGCCATCGAGAACATGGACCAGGAAACGTTTGAGTTCCGGTTTGGCGAGGAGCTGGTCTACACCACCCTGCTGAGCGATGGCCAAATGGTGGAGCTCATCCCTGGTGGCAGTAATGTTGCTGTTCGCTATGAGGACCGCAGCGAGTTTGTCCGTCTGGTGCAGAAGGCTCGACTAGAAGAGAGCAAGCAGCAGGTGAGACGATGTGTTTCTACCTCCGGAGTGGTCAGATTTACTTTGACGTCTTTAATCTTTACTATGACCTCTTTGTGATGATGATGTGTAGAGAGGTACTGATTCACATGTGAACCTGCAGGTGTCTGATTTTGTATTTGTGTGTTCCAGATTGCAGCCATGCAGGCGGGGCTGCTGAAGGTGGTCCCTCAGGCTGTGATGGATCTGCTCACCTGGCAGGAGGTGGAGAAAAAAGTGTGTGGGGATCCTGAGATTACTGTGGAAGCCCTGAAACGTCTCAGTGAGTGTTCATACTACAGTTTTTGACTCTTAGAGAAAAATATGTTTTATTTTATTGAAGGCTTTAGGCTTGTTTTTGGTTGCAAAATGATACGTTTTGGTATAGTTTTGGGGTTGTCAAGTCAGGTTATTGTTTAATCCACCTGTAGGTCAAACTCAGCATAGAGTAACAAAACCTCATAGCACCATCTCTTAAGAAGCTGCAGACTTCTTTACCTGAGGGAGTTTTTTAAATGCTTGGCTGTGAACTTTTTTTTTTGTTGAACACTAAAGTGCTGACTCTTCATCTTAACACTGAATCTCTTTGTTGCTTCTGCCTCTCCTTCAGCTCGGTATGAGGATCTGGAACAAAGTGACGTCAGAGTGCAGTACTTATGGGAGGCACTGACTAACTTCACCAATGGTCAGTTCACTCTTTATACAACATTTCATATTATTTATAGTATTCTCTGAAACTTAATAATGACTTCAATCGAGAGCACTACAATACTGACTGATATTAAATCCTGTTTTCAGAGGACCGCAGCAGGTTTCTGAGGTTCGTAACTGGTCGAAGTCGTCTTCCTGCACCTATTTATGTCCTCCCTGACAAACAAGGGTGAGTGCAACAACCCTCAAAATTCAGATTATTTAAGATTACAGATTAATTAGTCTTTGCTTTTGGATTTTGCACTTCATTTTCCTCGTTTTGATATGTCTGCTTTCTTATTTAGCTCTGAAACAACAGATGCACTTCCACAGTCCTCCACGTGTTCCAGCACTCTCTACTTACCCAACTACCCAAGGTAAAGACTAATGATCTGTTTTATAATATGTTACTGAATATTCAAAGGCACATTTAAAATACTGTTTTGTGCACATGTACTGTATGCATTACTATACAAATATGATTTGTTTTATTGTTTCTACTCCTAAACAAGGCAATTACAATGTTCTTATATCTTCAAGTTTGATGATTCTACAGGAAATCAACTCACACAAGCGCTTCTGTACATCTTTAGTTTTATAGAACTAATTTTCATTGGGACCGTAATGTTGCATTTGTCATCTCAAATCTCTATTTCTTTTTTTCCTGCAGTGCAAAAGTTTGTGAGGAGAAACTACGCTATGCTGCGTACAACTGCGTGGCCATCGACACAGACATGAGCCCATGGGAAGAGTGATCTTTGCTGCATCATTACACAAACCGCTCATTTCACCAATCACTGATAAATGGAGAAAGCTTGCCAAGTCTGTCACCATATCTACACAACTGCCAATTAATCCTAGCTGTATATAATAAAGAACTATATGGAAACATGGAGATGATGTCTGAGTTTTTATTAAGAACTGGATGTTTTTCTAAAATACTGAATTCTAAAATGAGTAAATGTGCTTAACATATTTGTCAGCTAATTTAAAATAAATGTAAACGCTATGAAAAGAACAACAAATTACAAACTCATTCTGTGTTAATGGTTGGGCTTTAGGTTGTATATCAGTTTACTCAGTGAGATGGAGTAATGGTAAAACAGATTTTAAATAACAATGGCAAGAATAAGAAACTAATAAAATGTTTAAAAGCATGATATCAACATGAAGTGGCTGTTAAACTACTTTATCAGGAGTCCATGTAGATTCTCATTCATCCAGGTCATGGTTATCTTGAAGACTTAAAAACAGGCAACTGGACTGTGTAGACTGTTTTTAAGTCTTCAAGATACTTTATCAGGACCATTATAATCAGAAGTGCTTTTTCAGGGAGGAAATTCAGAGGTTACAGTTGCTCTATTGCTCAGTATGTAAGATATACAGGAAAATGGTAAAATGTTATAAGAATTAAGTATTATTTTAAGAAATGGAACTATGTATGAAGTGTTTAAAACTAAGCTGAAAACTACAAAGGTGTAGGAATGTCAAGTTTAAAATAATATTGTTATTCTCTTTGGCTTCGGTACTAGACACCTACATTTTAATACAGCCAATTAAAACCAGATTGGTTATTTTAACAAACTAAATTACATTTGAGGATTTTAAACAGCGTTTTAGGGACTGGATAATACCAGGACCCTACAGTTGAAACCAGAAGTTTACATACACTATATAAAAAGGCACAAAGCCTTTTTTCCCTAACCGTCTAACACTAAATCAGATTAAATTGTTCCTGTTTTTGGTCAATTAGGATTTCCTAAATTATTTTTATTTGCTAAATGCCAAAATAATGAGAGAGAAAAAATTTAAGACATTTTTTTATTTTCTCGAGAGTCAAAAGTTTACATACATTTAAATTTATAATTAAGAAGCTAATTAAAATGTTCAAAATCTTAAACAAAACGGCATACAAACCGGTAACAGAAAATCATGAAATAAGGGATTATTGCTTGTCTAATTTATTTTTTTTATCTCATTAAAAGTAGGTAACTTCTAAAGGAAATAGCTCAATATCATAAACCTGGCGAGAGGAAAATAAGACCGCCGTTGTGTGAGTTCTCGCGAGAACACCTCCCTTCAAACCTCCCCAAGATCCTTTGCGGTTCCTCTTTCTAGCCGGCGCCTGAGAATGGGTACGTGTTTTCATGCTCGGGTTGGAGGGAGAATCCTTGTTCATCTGGAGTTTTAAAGCGGAAATATTTCAATAATGGTTTGCAACATTGAAGCTTAATATCTTTTGAACCTATGTAGCTTTAACTTTGTTGTTTATCATCAGTTTGTTTGGATAAAATTGAATGATTTTGAAAGGATGTCAGATGTGCTCCAAGATGGCTGCTCTGATGGGCCGTGGAGTTAGCTGCTGATGCTGAAGTGAACTCTAAAACGGCGTAATTTACCATTTTTTAAATATCTATTGTTTTTCCTATCGTTTGTCTTCCGTGACTGTTCACTGTGAGGAATATAGTCACAGTTTGAGAGCGTTATGTTGCTAAAGGAAGGAAAGTTAGCATTAGCTTTAGCAGTCAGGACGGTGGTGGTGTCATGCTGCTGCGTTGTCTCATTTAGGGCAAAACTGTGAATAATGCAGGTAGTGTTGACACATTAGGAAGTATGTACAGTAACAAATGTACATATTATCTCAAGGGACGGTTAGATTTGTATCATTGCTGAAGTGCATGCTGTGCTACAGTCGACCTAAAGCTCACACTAATGCCATGCTTGCTGATATGTAAGGATAATAAGACTTGTTGGCTTCAAATGGGAACTATCTACTGCTCAGGCTTTATTCCTTTTAATGTGACAAATCTCTGCTGAGATTTTTGGATAAGTAAATCATGATTTCAGTAGCTGAATGTATTTGTATTGTAGTGAATTAATGTTGTGAATAAGTCCTGACACATGCTTGAGTGAAATGATGAGCCTCTTTATGCGGAATCCGAATTAAAATTGCGGACAACCTCTACCTTGGAGAACTGATTGCTCAAGCATTAACAATAACTCAGTAGTAAATCTGTAAAATGCACATGGCTCTAACTCGTGGTCCTGTTTTTTGTTTATTCAGGTATCTCAAGGGATAACTGGCATAAACGCCGCAAGACCGGCGGTAAACGCAAGCCCTACCACAAGAAAAGGAAGTATGAGCTCGGACGTCCTCCTGCAAACACAAAGGTATGACGAAAAGTGAAAGCCAGTGGTCTCTTCATTTAACTTTCTGTGATGATGCGTGGGTGATGAAAACGTGACCTTAGGTAGGTCTTTTTTTGGACCGTTTTGGTTCAAAAGTTTGGGCTTACCAATGCTAGGATTGTCATAGTTACACTGACACGCTGTAAGAAATAATATTTATATTTTTAATTTGTCATGGACAACCAGAAGTCTATTTTATCATCTATTTCATGTGGTTCTTGCGTACCTTTGCACTAAACTTCATTGTGTTTCTTCAGATCGGAGCTCGCCGTATCCACACAGTGAGGGTCCGTGGTGGGAACAAGAAGTACCGTGCTCTGAGGTTGGATGTTGGAAACTTCTCATGGGGCTCTGAGTGTAAGTTTAAGTTCCTAAATACACTGATTAACCTTTTTTAAATGCTGCTTACCTTTCTATGAGGATAACTTTGTCCAGTTCTGCTACTGAATGGAAGTGGTGATATTGAAGACTCTGAGAAAGACCTGTCGTTGACTTATATATGCCTTGTTTTAATTAATCTCATGGAATGAGAGGTTGTATTTTTAACCAATGGCACTTATATTTTTCTACACAGGCTGCACACGCAAGACCAGGATCATCGATGTGGTCTACAACGCCTCAAACAACGAGCTGGTCAGAACCAAGACCCTGGTGAAGAACTGCATCGTCCTTGTCGACAGCCTTCCTTACAGGCAGTGGTATGAGGCTCACTACGCCACTCCTCTGGGACGCAAGAAGGGAGCTAAGCTGGTATGTGGAAAAGAAATCCCTTATTGTCTTGTTTCTAGGATGGAGCACAAGTACTCCTGCAAGTTCTTAGGTTTTATAGTCGAGTATGATGCTTAGTGTGGCTGAAGTTATTTGTGTAATACAGACTTTGTTGAAGATGTTGCTCGATTTAAGTTTATTTAAAAGAGTTATCACCTGGGTCACTCTAAAGAAACTCATTATTCCGTAACTTCTGCACTGTTGAGTGATGTTTGGTGTGTGTGCACGTCTTTCCATGAAGATAACTTTGTCCAGTTCTGCTACTGAATGAAAGTGGTGATAACGACGACTCTGAGAAAGACCTGCACCCACATCCTCCAGTCTTGCTTTCAGATTGTGATCACCCGCTGTTGGTCAGCAGGTTAAAGTTTGTCGTGTATTTCTGAACATTAACATCCTCTCGTCTTCTGCAGACTCCTGAGGAGGAAGAGGTCCTGAACAAGAAGAGGTCAAAGAAGACCCAGAAGAAGTACGACGAGCGTAAAAAGACTGCAAAGATCAGCACCCTCTTAGAGGAGCAGTTCCAGCAGGGAAAACTGCTCGGTGAGTCCCAGCTTTGTGTACAGTTGGAGCGCAGTAGCTGTCTAGAGTCATCGTTTAGTTATTTGCCAATCAGTGTCCCTTTTTGCAGGACTATTTCTCGTGTGCTGCTTTCTGAAATCCAGTCTTATAGACAACAGAAAGAAAAGCCATCAGATACAATTATGGATGTTTATTTTCAAAACTGACTTCTGCAGCCTGTAACACCTGTTTTTAAGACAGAGTTGCCAGGTTATCAAGTAAAGAAGTTTATCAAAATGATGGAAAATAGGGAGATGAGTCAATAAGCTGAATCTGTTTGTAGCCCTGCATTTTACAATGTCCTTCCAGCACAATGAAGTAAGCTTCAAAGTCAGAAATCTAATGTGTGTTTAACATGAGATTTTTATCAATTGATCAACAGCTGGTCAGTGACACAGCATTTTACTTTTAAGTCTGTTGCTTGTTTTGCCTAAAATGGTAAATTGTACCTATGTTTCAGTTATCTGAAAAGATAATTAGTTGTAAATTTAAAGCGTGAACACAATATTATTGATGCCTTTTATGTCTGTCTTAAATGTTTATTCTTTTATCATAAACATTAATCTGCAGATTACTTTAAATAGTTTATGGGGTCACAAGTTTTGAGGAACCAAGAAAATTCTTCAATAACAAAAAGCAAAACCCTTTTGAATTCGGGCAAAAAAACTGTTTTCACAAATATCAGCTTTTGTTGCCCTTAGGTTTCCTCTCAGATTGAAGGGTCAAAGGCTTTTTTTTTTTGTGGCACCCGTAATCTAAGGCGCTGCCTGGTGTAGTTAAAGTCTTCCTATGAAGAAAACTTTGTCCAGTTCTGCTACTGAATGAAAGTGGTGATAACGACGACTCTGAGGAAGACATGTTACTCTCACTGACATCTACTGCAGTGAACATTCAATCAAAATGCTCTTCAAAAGGCTGGCAACATCTCCTGTTTTAGCTGTGAGAGGGAACACCTTAAAGATCCTCTACTCCTTGGAAGTCTCAGACTCCCTCTTAAAAAAAGGACTTCTCTGAGATAATTGGACTTTTGTACTTCACTGTGTATTTTGAGTGTTCATTTTGGACTGATCAAGTCTCTCTTCTTCCGTCCTGCAGCTTGCATCGCCTCCAGACCCGGCCAGTGCGGCAGGGCAGACGGCTACATCCTGGAGGGCAAAGAGCTCGAGTTCTACCTGAGGAAGATCAAGGCCAAGAAAGGCAAATAGATGTACAGCTGTTTGATACGTCAATAAAAACCAGAACGTCCCAAAACTTTGTGATTTTCATGGCTTGTCTTTGTCAGTATAATTTGGCACTCTGAATTCACAACCTTTTAATATGACACAGTCGGCAAAAGCATCACCTTTAGTGCCACTATCAGTACTTAAGAATAGGACTTTAAAGGCACATGACCTCATGACAATCAGTTGTAGACCTTTGAAATCATCAGTATTAAGCACTGAGGACAACACAGAATATAAAATGTTTTCTTAACTTTAGTCTTCCCATGCACCTTGTTTTAGACTTGTGATTGAGACAATATGGGTGAAGAAAGTAAAACTCCAGTTGAGGCCAAACTATGATTAATAGTGATAGACTCATAAATCTGTGGGAAATCAATTGGAACAGCATCATAAATTTCATACCCACTTATCCACTCCCATAGAGCAGCATTTTCACTGTCTGGCCTCTCCCATAAGATTGTGTCTGACTCCATCTGCTGGTGAACCCAGAGCACTGCAGGTAAAATAGAATAGTGCATTCAAACCTCCCTTTAAATAGGTTTTATTACAATATAAAAAAAAGTTTGATTTGTAATAATCATGAAATAAAAGTGTCCCTTAAATTTCTTTTAAAACTAATTTTTGTTTTTATTTGAGAAAAGTCCCACTGCTTCATCTGTACGCAAGTCCTTATTTGCTGTTTTTCTGGAGAAGTTATGGACTTTTCTCAGGAATGCTTAATTTTTTGAATATATTTTAGAAACCTTTACATCAAAATATCTCTGACTCTTAAAGACACGGCTGTAGACGATGAAATCCCAAAGTATCTTAACAGTTTTATGCCTTTATGAAACGATATTTGAAAAATTGCCTCTGCAGTCTCTCACTGAGTGGTGTGGTGAACCCGCTCCTATCTTTACTTTTAAGAGACTCAGTTTCTCTGAGGCTGTCCTTTTGATACCAAGTCTGATTTCTGTCCTGATACAAATTTGTGCAGTTTGGTGGAAGATTAAAACATGTTGTTGCTGGCATCACATTTGGAATTAACATATAATTTTCACACAGGCAAGGAAGGTTTTCAGTACTGCTAATGCAAGCACTTTTCAAAAGCCAAAACCATTTAATGTCTTTCAGCTCAAGACAAAATTTTGTGTTAATATGATTTTTCTGTCATAAAAAAGTAAAATGATCAACAACAAACAGGGCTTCTCTTGTAGCCTAGTGTGCGTTCTCATATTGATATATGGTTTATTCATATTTTTTAATGTTAATTTATAATTTTATACACAAAATCGCTTGAAGATTATATTTTAAAACCTCCATGGCAATTTTATCAGACTAAATTAATGAATAAAACAAAAAGATATACTGCTAGATGAATTCCTGAGCATAATAGCAGGTTGGCATAGCAAACAATTGCATTGAAATTACGCTAAAAAGGACGTTATTGAAAAGACAGGCCTTAAGTATGCAGGAAAAAGAGGTAATGATTGTTGGCAGGTCTTAGCAGCGATTTAAATTTGAGATTTTAGAATTTTTGGACTGAATTATATGCAAAATATTATAAATATACTGAGTCTGAGCATAAAGAGCACCATCACTGGTGAATACAGTACATGAGTATGAGAGATAACAGTGGTTTTCGACTATCTAAGGTAGTTTTAATATAATCGTCTGTAGATTTAAATGTAAATTGTTAATTATGAAACTCAGAGGTTATGTTAGGTAACAAACTGGGGGAAAAGTCATCTACCGGAGCCCGAGACGTCACACGTGACCCAAACCCGCTGCTGTGATTGGCTGAGAGGGCGGATATTAATATCTGGGACAAAGGTTGTTGTGTAGAGTGTGTTTATGCGGCTTGGCTGTTCTCTGCTGCTATAACAATGCTGTTTAACAAGGTAGGCCTACTCAAACCGTATGCTAAGTACAGGTACATTTTGACGTTTAAAATAGATAGTAAGAAATAAGAGAATAAAAACTTGTCGTTTCGGTTTTTTGTTCTCTTGACCTACATTTATTTCCTCGAGTGAAAGCTCTGCTAGCTCCGTCACAGGCTAACGTTAGAAGACGGTTTCAACGGTCGGAGGACTTTTAAGACTTTAACTGTTAAAACGTACATATGCAATAATAACGCTATATTTGTGACTTTAGTGTTAGTATGATGCCTCTCTTAATGAATTTTGGTTGACTTATGTATATTAGGGGGAAAAAAAACCTTAAAGTCGTCAACGAAACTTGGCACTCAGCGATTTCCCCCTTCATGACCCCTCCCGGTATCCGTTTATAATATATACTGTTTATTTTGGCTCTTACTACAAAATGACATCTCCTCTTTGTCAGGTATATTATAATATTTTTACACATGATAATGATGGCAACAACTTGTTTAGAACTGCACGAGACATCTTCCTCTCCTGCAGTAACCTAGAAATTTCTATTATTCTATTATTCCTGGAGGATTACTGCTAAAATCCTACTATTATATAAATTCTGTACATATCTTGTACATATCTTGTTTTAACTCAAAGTTTCTTTTAATTTTTATCTTGTTGTATCTATATATAATGCTGCTGTAAATGTGGAATTTTCTCCCGTGGGACTATTAAAGGAACATCTTCTCTTATTCTAGAAATCTATCTGATTTTTGCTGATATCAGCCCTGTACATGGATATACTTCTAATAGCATTTGACATTAAATTGTCACAGATTACATGATTAAAAGGCAGACTTTCACAATCATGAAAACTAAACTCAACAGGCAAACTAAATTCACTGCGATGGGCTCAGCAAAGAGAGTCGTGTTGGTGTGAATACTGTATCCACCTGCATCAGAGTGTTTTATGCTGATAGTAAAGAGAGTGCTAAGCCTTTGCCTACTTTGATGAAACCTTTAAGCAAGTACGTCATTTGGCACAAATGTTTACTATTTTGTTTCAGACTATTGTACTCAATTACATTCATGTCTTAGGGTGTGTCTGTTGTAAAGGTAAAGCAAGGACAAGTATATGTGATTTACTGTTTTTAAAGGAGTGTACCTGTGGCATCTGAACTGGGTTTACCTTCTCTAACTTGACAGAGACAGAGTCTTCCCACAGAGTCCAGTAAATGTATATTGAGTCTAGCTAATGTTTTACCATTTTGTGACCAAAAACATCACATTTTTTAGCTTAAGTTTCTGTATGTTTGTGTTATGGTGAGATGATCGTGTCCAGTTTGACCCATTTTCATGCCTGTTTCTCTTTTTTTTTTCGCTTCACCTACAGGTGCTCAGAGCCGGTGTGCGGTCTGGAATCAGGCTGCAGAGTTCCAGTGCAGCTGCAGCCAGCGTCCCATCATCCCTTCATGCACAAACATCGAGCAGCGGCTTCTCATTTGGTGAGAGAAAGGATGTAAAGCCTCACATGTCAGTTTACACATCAGAATAGGTTTTGGTGACCATATTTTCCTCCTGTTTGAAGTGTCTCTCTCTGATGTTTTTGACGGGGTACAAAAAGTCTTGTCCTTCTTCTGTTTTTATGGTGATTATTGTAATTCTGCAAGGTTCATGTGAAGATGGTGTAAGGCAGCGAATCTGACCAATCAAGCAGGTTTCCTCTTGTATTTATGTAATAGTCTCTCTTTTCTTTGAGGTTATTTGAGCTAAGTGAGGTACGCTTCAGAAAATACAAACAGGATTTGACTAAATAAAGATTGCTGGAGCCTCAAACTGTCTCTAGGTAAACACCGAAGTAGGACAGTGGATTTTGTCCTTCATTTCTATCTAGATTTGGCGCAAAGACAACTTTTTGACAGACTTTCTCAGAATTGTAACTCCCTTTTTAAATTATGTTGAAACTGTTGATGATTAGTCATGTTGGTTTTAATCCACAGAGCTGACAGAGCAGCAGAAAGAGTTCCAGCAGCTGGCCAGGAAGTTCGCACGGGAAGAGGTCATTCCTGCCGCACCTGCTTATGACAGGACTGGGGAGGTGAGCGTTGACTAATGATTCGGCTGCAGTGAGTCTGCTTAAAGGTTAATGTGGTTACAAATGTTAAAGTACCACAGTACTTGAACACAGAGTCTCCAGGAAAAATCGCATCCTGGACATTCAGTGTCCAGCAGCCCTCCCTTTGGGTAGACTCAACAATCAGCACCAACACAAACATAAACATACTGCAAACGAGATTTTCCTTAAAGCTGTGGACAAACTGTTGAACCCATGACCCCCCTCTCGAACTGGCATTCACTGGCACACTAAGGCCTGAAGTATGATATTTAATATAAAATATATGATCTAAAAGTATAAAAACTGATAAAGCTTCATTGGAGGTTTTAGTGAATTTTTGACCTTTTACTATAAATTTTCTGAAACTGGAGCTGCAGCACCATTAGTACAGAAATGCAAAACTAGTGTAGAGTCAAATAAGAACCAAACAAATAAATAGAGGGACTGACGGTCTGAATAAAGTCGGTGAAATTGAATCATTCATTAATTCAGGTGGTTTTAAACCTTATTCTGACTGTGAGCAAACTCTCGTGCTGTAGGCATGTTTGTGTTGTCTTCAGAGTTGTCTAAACATGGCTGCCAGCATTTCACCTCTGGATACAGTTTGCATAAATATTTGCACTCTTGACTTTTCTAACAGCGACGTAATGATGCATTTACATGTGTAGTTTTTAAAATATTTGATTCTTAAAGTCTGCTTTTATTGCTCTCATCCTAAGAGGTTTTTTGTTGTATTGTTTTTTTCTTTACCTCCTAAACGAACCCTCATGGCTGATTATCATCCTGTTTCATGTTTGAGCTCCTCTGTTTTGACAGTAAGTTTAAAGAAATACAACATTTTTCCTGTCATTTCGCAGTATCCTGTCCCCCTCATCAAGAAAGCATGGGAGCTTGGTCTGATGAACGGTCACATCCCACAAGAATATGGTGAGTTACCTCCTCTTTCTCTCTCCTCCTCTCTTTTTAAAACTGTTTTGATTTTCTTTTTGTGAGATAATTTTGTGGCCACGGTGTGTCAGCTTGTTTAAAAAAATAAGTAGTAAAGATATCTTCTTCATGTTTCCATCCATTCTCTCGTGTGTTAAGGTGGAATGGGCCTGTCAGCCTTTGACAACTGCCTCATCACAGAAGAAATGGCCTACGCCTGCACAGGAGTACAGACAGCTATCGAAGCAAACTCTCTGGGGGTAAGAAGTTGAAAGATTTGCTGGGAAATCACCTCTCCATTTTTCCAAGAGTCTTAAAACAGTCTTTTAAAATGTCCAAATGTTGAGGTTTATACTGTATATCATGTTGTGAAGTATTTTGGTTTCAGCACCGTATCAGATCTAGTCATGATTTAAGGCTGTGGCGTCAGTCCAGGTAGAAATAAGTCTGATCTGTTTCTCTTACAGGCGATGCCAGTTATTCTAGCCGGAACTGAAGCACAGAAGACTAAATACCTGGGGAGGTTGGTGGAAGAGCCGCTTATGTGTGTAAGTATTTAATGTTTGTTGGATAGTCAATATACAAGCTCTTTAAATTCTCCGTATGGAAATTCTGCCAGTGAACTTAATTTGTTTGGATTTGTTTATGAAGCTGCAGTTTCACTCAATTAAAAGTTTACCTGCATTTACTCTAATTTCTGCTGTAATGAGATTAAATCTTGTTTGACAATGAGGCACTTTTGGCAGGAGGATTGCAGAGCATTAGACCTGGTGTTTCAAACACTAGTTCACAACTCTACGATTTGAACTGCTCTCATTTAAATCAGATCAGACCTCATGAACATGGTGTGTGTGCTGTGTTTCCTGCAGGCTTACTGCGTCACAGAGCCCGGTGCAGGCTCTGACGTCGCTGGACTTAAGACCAAAGCTGTGAAGATGGGCGATGAGTATGTTGTTAACGGTCAGAAGATGTGGATCACCAACGGAGGGAAAGCTAACTGGTGTGTACTCACTGCCACCTCAGATTAACATGACCCACTGTGGTTTCAGCTCATGTTGTTTCTTCTTTAGGATCCTTAAACTTGAAGAAAAAAGAAATGAATGCCAGTCCTTAATATCTGAGTGCCAGGCCTGTATTTGAAACAGGCTTTAATAAAAGGCAGGCCCTGGTTACTTTTCCATTTGTTTGATTTGTGTCTTATTTTTACACAAAGCTGCCATGTTTGAGACAATTACAAAAGTAAAATGATGTTTTTTGTAGTCACTTCCATCTTGTGGCTCTTCTACATTACTAAATAAAATCAGTCTGGCTGAGACATGAACATACATTCTCATTCACACATTATCATATCAAGATCATAATGTGTGTAAATAACAAGCAAAAAGAACAAATATAAAGATAAGTTTGTTTTTCTTTAATTCATTCAAACATTTATACTCTCCTCATGACCTCAGGTACTTCCTCTTGGCTCGCACTAACCTCGACCCGAAATGTCCAGCTGGCAAAGCTTTCACCGGCTTCATTTTGGATGCTGACACCCCAGGGATAACTATCGGCAGGAAGGTAAGCTGTCACTTATTCTTCAAAACATATTTCCCCAGTCTGTGGAGAGCGAAATAGAAAAGTTTTGTTTTTAGAGCCACTCTTGGAGAGAAAACTGGGAAAACACAGTGATTCACTCAGGGCCATGACGAGGATCTCAGTGTGAAACCAGCTTATGTTGTTGTCGGCTGTATATTTGAATATATGAGAGACCAGAAAAGCACCAAACTCTGTTACCAAACTGAATTTAAGTCACTTAAAGGAAAGTTGTGCAGTGACTCGATCTAAACTTTGTAACAGAAATGGTTTTCATCGTTTTTCTTCAGCTGTAGTTTAACTCTGCTCTATACAGAAACAGAGATTAGAAGTGCATGACTCATGTCAAGCTCCTCTGTGTACTTGACTATATACCTGTTTATTTTGAAGCAGTGACACGTGCACCACAAGATAACACACCCTTGTGTTTGCTCTGCGCTTACAGGAGCTGAACATGGGCCAGAGGTGCTCTGATACCAGAGGCATCACCTTTGAGGATGTGAGAATACCAAAGGAGAACGTCCTGATCACAGAGGGAGCTGGATTCAAGATTGCAATGGGCGCCTTCGACAGCACCAGACCACCAGTAAGTCCTTCAGCTGCAGTTATCCATAGACAATACCACAGAGATGAAGTCCAGATACAAGGAGGATCTGACTGTTTTTTATGCAGAAAAAAAATAACAAATCATTATGAATGAAATATTCCTGTTCAGTTGTTTAAAGTCACAGGAGACTTGAGAGTTTGATAGTTAGTCAAGCTGTTGATGCTTCACAGGTGGCAGCAGGAGCTACAGGTCTGGCTCAGAGGGCACTTGATGAAGCCACCAACTACGCTCTGGAGAGGAAAACCTTTGGGAAAGTTATCGCCGAGGTCAGTTTGCAGTGGATGTTTGGAGAGAAGAACACACACAATTCAAAGTCTTTTCCTCAGTTTTAGCGATTCTTCAGTTGAAGTTGTCAAACAAACTGGAGACTGAAAAAAAAACTGAATGAGGCAGAAAAACTGAACTTTCTGGTCGTGTTGCTGCAGTTTGGACCTGAAGCATAAATAAACATGCTCTCAAACTCACCTCGAGGGGAGATGGAGGATTTTGCATACAAAGTGTCACTAAATCTTATTTACAAAGCACATTTTTAAACACAGCGTGCTACAGCAGACAAATGAACAAGGATAAACACATAATCTCACACGTGAGTGGAGTAAGAGAAATGCAAATAAAAACATCCTTTTCACTGTTACGAATCGTCCAAAGTCAACTGAAGAGCTACACTTCTGTCTCCCTCAGTCACTCTCATCTGTATGTGTGGTTCAGACACACAGACCTGCAGCTCTGTGCTCCAGGCTATAACATTAAAGAGGGGACTTTAGCTGGTGATGAAACAGACTGAATAAGTTAGTATTGATGCCTCCTAATGATGAAAAACCCATTAGTATACATTCAGCAGTGATCAGTCAATCACTCCAGAGAACTTCTCAGGCATGAAATCTAAAATATGGAAAAATGTTTTTTAAATTTCTTGTCAAAGTAAAGGCTCTTCTGTCTGCTCTTCTTCCACAGCATCAGGCCGTGTCCTTCCTCCTGGCTGAGATGGCCATGAAGGTGGAGCTGGCCAGGATGGCGTACCAGAGAGCCGCATGGGAGGTGGATCAGGGCCGCAGGAACACCTACTACGCCTCCATCGCCAAGGCCTTCGCTGGAGACATCGCCAACCAGGTGGCCTCTGACGCCGTTCAGGTGTTTGGAGGAAACGGCTTCAACAGCGACTATCCTGTAGAGAAACTGATGAGAGACGCCAAGATCTACCAGGTGGGTGGTGATACTGAGCACCATGTCGAATCATCTTAAGCAGAACTTCTTTTTTCCTAAATCTGTTCTTGTTTCTTGTCGTAGATCTACGAGGGCACAGCTCAGATCCAAAGACTCATCATTGCCCGAGAACACCTGGGAAGAGCCAAGAAATGAACTCTGCACAGCTGACTTCCTCTCATTCAAATGTACTTCGTTGTAATTTTTTTACACTTGCGCTTATCCCTGGGATTAGATCTGGTCTCTAAAAGGACCTGTTTGTGGGATTTAGAGGGATCTTCAACACAGAATGAAGATGTAATATAACTTTGTGTTTTTTTTTCTAGAGCATTAACACCAAAAAATGAGAAGGTTTTTTGGTATCTCAGAATGAGCTCTTTCTAAATCCTACACACTCATCCTTTTTAAACTCCGATTTAGTTGTAAAATGCTGCTCGCCTTAACATCACTCCATCCTGCCTTTTGTTTTAAGAAGGACTTTGACTTGGTAGACAGCAGTCCACCTTTCAGCTCAGCCAGCCAACATGATCACCGTGTTTTATAGGAAGGTTTTTCAACTTAAGCTCAAATCTGTGGCCTTAAATGTGACTTCATGAGCGTTGACTGTAACTCCTGCTGGCAAGTAGTAGCCAGGCATGTCCGAGAGAAGTATGATAGCTGCTTGGATATGGAGTTTAATATGTCACGACGGGATATTCTGTATTTATTTATGATCAACCTGATATCCTGTCTGTTAGCCGACCCTGCAGAATGAAACTGTATCTGACAGAAATGTTTGTGAAGGAGGAAAGTTGATGAGAAATGTGGTCAAGTACATGGGAGTTGACTCTGAAGCCACAAATATGACAGTTATTTTGTTGATCATGAGCTCGATTGCAGGACATTTTCTGCACATGTTGTTTTTGTTAACTGTGTTATATCCCACTTCTGAAAAACCATGACTCAAACACAAGATTATTTTTCATCACCTGCTAAAATATATTAAACTTAAAATCTGAGTTTGGAAAAAACAGTTACATCTTTCAGATCTCTCTCACCTCAGAACAGTTCATCTCAGTTTGTGTTGACACATTTCTTTCATGAACTTGTTTGAAAACTACGAGTGTTGAATGATTTGTCTAATAGCTGTAAAACTGCATGTCGTCTGAGGATCTATTTCTGCCTGATTTAGAGATTTGTTCTCAACAGTAACTTTCTGTTGTGCAGTTTAAGCCCCACATAGAAGCTCCGGTGTTACACACACATGGAAACCTTGTACAGATTATTGTCGAGATTGTTAAGATGACGCTACACAGACCTGTGCTTAATAACGCTCTTGAAATAATGGTGATTCATGTGGCACTTTTACGTATGTTTGTCATCCATCTGAATTAAATAAATTATACCAACTTATCAAGAACTGATCACGGTGTAGTTGTGTTTTGTGTTTATGGTGGACACCTAAAATTCTGTCCACTGGCTGATTTTATTGTCCAGACCTGGCACATAAAACGAATTCAGGAGGAAGGAAACTGTATTTTAGGAGGAATTCAAATGTATCCTGCCAAGTCCCAAGTGAAAGCCCATTCAAAGAGTCCCAAATATGTTTTCATTGCCTCATATTTGATATAATGAACACTCAGCTATCTCAAAGTTCTGATCCAGGAGGAAGAGGGAAAGATAGAGGGGTCTGAAGTCTCCAGATCAATTTTCTGCTGGAGTTGGTCTGCTGTATTTAAGCTGTGGTTTAACCTCCGAAGCGAAAGGTGGCGATAAAAAAAGTCCTCTTTCAAAAACTCACGAAGAAGAAGACGGAGAAACGGGGGAAAACAGTAGAAGAAGAATTCTGGTCATGCGATAATATTCATAATGGTAAATGACTTCTTTTTGTAAATATAACAGCATGTATTTTAAGATATTATTGTAGTGAAAGGGGGTTAAAATGTCCTCTAGGTTTCATTCTTTCTTAAAGAAGCTCAGTGTTGATCGGTAAACGGTGTAAACAGAGTTAAAGGGGCTTAAATGAAGTGTTAGCATGTAGCTGTCTCATCCTGTCAACAGTCAGTCAGTTTACCGACAGTTTGCTTCAGAGTTTGGGTTAAATCTGGTGTGAAGTTTCATATATTTATAGTTTAAGGATGTCCGGAGTTGAATTTGCCCTGCTAAAGATCCAAGTCCTGCCTTAATTAGTCATATTAAATCATGATGATGATGTGTTGACTGTCAGGGTACCCAGGTGAAGGATGTCATTATAAAGCCTGAAGCTCCAAACGCTCTGCTGCTGGACAAACATGCAGACTACATCTCTGCCTACGGCTCCAAAAAGGACGATTATGTAAGTAAAGACCAACTGGAAGGATAAAACTATGACCCTTTTTATCTACTTTTATCTACTTACTTGTTACATGCTGTATGAAAGTTGTTGTGGTGGCAATTTAGCAGTACGAAAAAGGTAGTTCTGTACATCAAAAATGATTCCAGAGAGTGTAGTTCAATGTGTGATTCGTTCACCAAGTGATTCAGTCGTCAGAACATGTGGTCCCTCATTCGCCGGCTGCTGGCCTGGCAGTGCTGTCTCTCACTTCAGCTCAACTGAACGAATCACTTGAGGAAGTGACTCGGTTCAGTACATTCACTTAAAAGATTCGGTTCTTTCGAACAAATCGTTCGCGAACGACACAACACTAATGTGAATTGTTAAATCATAGTATAAATCTACATGTCCAGGAGTACACTCTGTCTGAATACCTGAGGATGAGCGGCATCTACTGGGGGCTGACCGTGATGGACCTGATGGCGCAGCTGCCAAGGATGAACCGTCAGGAGATCATAGACTTCATCAAAGCGTGTCAACACGAGTGTGGAGGCGTCAGCGCCAGCATCGGACACGACCCTCATCTCCTCTACACACTCAGCGCTGTCCAGGTGACTCATTTATAGACTGCAAGACACCTGACAGTCCGACAAACTAGATTTTGTTTCCCGCTGTATAGAATATTTGCATACTTCTCCATCACGGAGCAGAGACATCGTTAGACATGAATTCTCAAGTAAAGTTACAGCAGAATAACTGTGAAGTAAAACGAAACACTTTTCACTTATGTCCTTTTTCTTACCTCTCTTGCATTGTCTCTTTTCTCCTGTTGAAGGGTAAACATAATAAACATATGAATAATAAACAAGTTTGTAGCTTGAACCAAGGGGATCAATACTCTACAATACACAATGCCTTTACTGCACAAAGTCTGCTCTAAACTGAGACACAAAATCAACCCAGTTTTTTCAGTAGTATTTAAAAGTATCTGATTTTAGTCTAGATGAGAAAGTCAGCTTCTCCATTCTATATCGATCATTACCTCTACCCAATCCTCTATTTTTGGTGCATCTGTTTTCAGCCAATTTCCACCAACATTATTCGAAATATGTATTTTTCTCCTGACCTTGTTATCTCCTGGTTTTCTTTCCCCAACTATAAAACTTCAAATGTAAGTGGAAGTTGCACTTTTAAAATTGTTTCCATCCTCTTCTTTATCTCCTGCTAGTCAGGTATAATACCAGAGCATCCCCCAAAAATATAAAAATGATTGGCCTTATCTCCCCTCATAGTCTCCAACATCGTGTGTCTTGAGATTTCTGCTGTATTGGTGCAATAAAGTAACTTACAATATTCTTCCAACCATATTCTCTCCATGTGAGGGAACATGTTGTTTTCCACTGTCCGTCATTTACACCCTCCCATTCCTCCTGGATTTTATTATTTTAAGTAAGTTTAATAGGTATCTTAATTTAACTTTATACGAGCAGAATCTCTAAATTTGTTTGTCTTTCCAGTTACGTTGATGACTCCAGCTCATACGCAGCCTTATCTGGACTCTTTGCCTTTTTATTTTTAGTTTAACATCTTCATTCTTTTAAAATCTCCTCCTCAGATCTTGTGCTTGTATGACAGCGTGGATGCGATCGATGTGGACAAAGTGGTGGAGTACATCAAAGGGCTGCAGCAGGAAGACGGCTCCTTTGCGGGGGACAAATGGGGTGAGCAGAAGCTTGTCTTATTTTTGTTGTTCGCTTCATTTATTTACAAAAGAAACCCTCTGAGTTTTTGGAGCTTTGGAGATCTGAAGATTCAAACGCAGGAACACAGTGACACCTGGTGACACGCTAACCTAAGAGCAACTTTTAAAGAGGTGGAAAAAAAAGATTAATTTAAGTATGGGAATATTGTATTTTCTGCTGCTGATGGTAAAAAGAGTGTTATTGTTTTTTAAAGTTATTTTCATGCTTTTTTTCTTCTTAGTTAAATGGGACAACTGATGAGACAGTAAACGTAGTCAGTAAAGAAAATGGGAGGAATTGCAGCAAAGACTCACAGCCTTAGATTCTAAAGTTCGATGTTTTTTTCTTACACAGTGACAAATCACCTTCCTAAATTAAAGGAATACTACGTCTAAAAATAGTGATATTTGTGTTTTATGGATGTTTTTAAGAAATAAGCAACGTTCTTGTGCTTTTATGACAAAGATGAGTGAGGGAATCCATCCGATTACACCCTCTACTGATGCTCACATGGTTCCTTAAGCCTCCCAACCCCTGAGATAGGTGGGACAGAGGTAGCACATCAGTAGGGTAACAGGTGGGCACCTCCCTTCACCAGTGTTAAATTTAGTCTGGTCCACAACACCTTAGAGAGGCATAACAGTTAGCTATGGCTTCCCAGAATTACCTTTCACACGCCAGCATTCACCATCCATCATATCTAGCAGGACCTCCCCATACAGCATGGCCCCCCTTATTGGACTCAAGCTCCAGGTAGTGATAACACCTCTGCTGCATTGTCCTACAACATGAACCCTTCACCCACAACCCTTTAGAGAGGTGAAGTGTCTAAGGCCTGATGTTAAGAGAGGGGAGACAGGGGAGGTAGAGCGTGGATGAGAAGCCTGTTCACAGCTGGGTTAGGCTGTACACTCGACCTTCCCCTTCTCCTTTATTTTCATGAGGGCAGTAAGGAGAGAAAAGAGACATGAACAAACCAAAAAGGAGATCAAGATTTTCATGATGTCATTCAAACAAAAGCTGTTTGTCTTTCCAGGCGAGATCGATACCAGATTTTCCTTCTGTGCTGTTGCTACACTTGCATTACTTGTAAGTATGTCATTATTTTTGTGTGTGTGTGTGTGTGTGTGCACTGAGACAGTCTGTGATTTGAAGATGACTCTCTGTCCTCTTTTCCCTCAAAGGGCAAGATGGACACGATAAATGTGGACAAAGCTGTAGAGTTCGTCCTCTCCTGTATGAACTTTGATGGAGGTTTTGGCTGCAGACCTGGATCAGAGTCTCATGCTGGTCAGGTGAGTCCACTGTTATACACACACATACACGGCTCTGTTCTACTCCATCAGCACACAGTCATTGTGTCTCTCCTCTGTTATCACCTCTGATGACCTCACAGCAGGCGATCTGCTGGTCCCACCATCACTCCTCTGAGGCACTCATATTAAAGGGATATTTCGGCGTAAAATTAATTTAGGGTCAAACACACCATAACACCGAGTTAGACACACCCTGGAGAGATTAACATTGTTGACCGCTTGCTTCTCTAGTTATACCAACTTTAGTAACGACCGCCTGATAGCAATACACAGCTGTCTGAGGAGCCATAAACAAACCTCAACCAAAACACCACTCTATAGCCACAAATAATGCTCAGAACAGCACCTAACTTCGGTGTGTTACGGTGTGTTTGACCCTAAATTAATTTTACGCCGGAATATCCCTTTAAGGGCGAGAAGTTAGAGGGGCATGAATATTACATCTTTCAGTGACGTGGAATTTCAAACTGACAAAAGACTGAAGGTTTTCAGTTTGTAAAGTTTCTGGTTGTGCATCAAAGCTGTCTAGCAGTTCAAATTCAGCCTACACAAACATGAGGCTGCAGTCTGGTCTTGTGGGTGGGAGTTCTGATTCATAACTGAGAGGCTGTTGATCCCCGACAGTAACAGGAGACGTGGTTTTCACTCTGGGAGGTGCCAGTTATTACATATACACTCCTCCGCAGAAGCAACATGTGTTATAAATCATCCTCAAATCACGTTTTTACCCTCTTCTCTCGTCTTCTTGGTCAGATTTACTGCTGCACAGGTTTCCTGTCGCTCACCGGTCAGCTGCACCAGGTGAACGCCGACCTGCTGGGCTGGTGGCTTTGTGAAAGGCAGCTGCCGTCTGGAGGCCTCAACGGACGACCAGAGAAGGTTCGTACTGACACCAAAATGACAATGAAATGGTTTCACTTTCAACAGCTCAGGGACAAATTCATCCCTGCTTTCAGCTGCTTGAGGTTTGAACTGCAGGAAAACCATTTTCAGAGTAATACAGACCTCTGTGCTGAGTGTTCGCCAAAGGGTTGCTGTCAATCTGTTGTCTGCTGCTGAGCAAGTAATGTAACACGAAATGGTTTTCGAGCTGTTGTGCGGCAACACTGGCCCACTGTGGTTGAAAATGACTCACAGGGTGCTGTGAGAGAGAATATAAACAAGTTTGGGGCCAGACGGATAACAAGTGACTCTAAAGCTTTCTGGAGCCTCATGAAAGAGAGAGCACCAGGTGACGGCTCACCACCAACACAACCACCTCCCTCATGTTTTCAGTCTGTCAATCAACATATTGTAAAATATCCACCATGTCTGCGCAGTGATTAAATAAACGGATATGTTTAACCTATGACTCACTTAGACGCAGTATCATGCAGAACAGGTGAAAAATAAAACTTAATACAAGAATAACTCACTGAAATATCAGATTAATCCACATTTAGCAATATTTGACCTTGATTGTCTTTGTCTCTTTCAGCTTCCTGATGTTTGCTACTCATGGTGGGTTTTGGCGTCGCTGAAAATCATCGGTAGGATCCACTGGATCGACAAAGCCAAGCTGAGGACGTTTATTCTGGCCTGTCAGGACGAGGAGACGGGAGGATTCGCAGACAGACCGGGAGACATGGTGAGCAGACGGACACATCAGACTACGAACTACGTTATATTTCACTGAGATTATGTTTGTCTCTGTCACGAATCAGTCACTCCCAACTCTCTAAATGATTCATGAATAAAACAAAATAAAGATAAGAGGTTTTAAAAGTCAAATACTGTCATGTTATTTGACAGATTTAAAATATTAGTTCAGTTCTCACAGTAATGTTGTGGTTGGCAGCAAAAAACAGGAAAATAATCATAATTTCTGACGGTGTTCAGAGTTTAGTTTGATCTGTGTCGCAGTGAGAGAGAAACAGCCTCCCCTCAGAAGTTCTTTAGATGGGGAAAAGCTGTTTTTGTTTCAAAACGAACACATGGTCTGAAAGTAAAACCAGAATCAAATTAAACTCTTAGATTTCTTCCTTCCTGGCTAGAGTTAAGTCCAAGCCTCTTCAGTTTCTGGTCAGTTTCTCTATGAGTCTTTAAACCTGTCATCAGTACTTCTGTTATGTCCGAGTTGAGCTGTAAAAAGTTTTGTGTAGAGTCTGAAGTAAAAGCAACCCGACTGGCCCAGAGTCTTCAGGAGTCACAGACACGTAAAGCTGAGTGTCATTGGCGTAACTGTGGACAGAGATGCTGTCTCCTGATGAATGAAAAAGAAAAGGTCCTAGAATTGATCCTTGCGGTGCCCCTTAGGTTTATTTTTCATTCATTCCAGCCTGAATGAATTTGGTGGCACCAGAACTCATTTGACCTCAAACCTGACTCAAACATTTCTAATTTAGTGTTCGAGTTTGTTAAACTGACTAAAAGAAAACTCAAAGTATGCGTTCCACTCGTAAATTCACTCTGCTGCTCTTTCTCAAACTCACCCGTTTATTAGGACTAATATGAAAGAAGGCTGAGAGTAAGTCGGTCCCTTTGGGGGTTCATGAAGCCTAATTTAATAAGTGGAGCCTTGATACAGTGTTTTTAAACTCTGAGGTGTCTCTTAAATACTTAAATGAGAATATGTGTTTGTAGAAAGCTCAGGGGCCTTGAAATGATGGAGAGGAAACGCTTTCTTTTACCTCACTTCATTTGTAGTCGTCTTTCTGATCGTGTTTCCCCTCTCTCCTTTTTCACGCTCTCTGCAGGTGGATCCTTTCCACACTCTGTTCGGTATAGCGGGTCTCTCTCTCCTCGGAGACGAACAGATAAAGCCGGTGAATCCCGTTCTGTGTATGCCTGAAGACGTCCTGCAGAGAATCAACCTGCAGCCGGACCTCCTCAGCTAACCCTGTTACACCCGCGGTTCACTATTGAGACACTCGCACACACACACACACACACACACTGCTGCCCCTCACACCCACACCTGCAGGGCTGGATGTCGGGAGCAGAGAGAGAGAGGACCACCACAGATGTGAAAGTGTTGGCTGACAGACACTTCCTGTCCTAACTACTGACATATAGAGACCCTATGATGTTGACTCTGCTTCCTCTGAGCCTTCCTGTCTTTAATTTGTCAACCTCTTTTTAGGACATCAAGTTACAGAGGATAGATGCTCTGAGGTGTAAACATCCGCATTAACCTTTGGAGGTGAAACAGGTAATGTAACTGCCAGGGAGATCAGTTTACGATGTTTTCCTCGCTCTCAAAGGTCAAAATATTTGTCCTGCTCCCCGCTAAAGAAGTTATTGCTGTGATTATCTATTAACCTGAGACAGAGGCAGTCGATGGCGATGCTTCTTCATTTGGACCACCTGGAAAAAAGCAAGAATTTAATCCGAATGGCGCTTCATTCTCATTGGATTCAAAGACAAGCAGCCTTTGTTGTTTTTTTTATTTTTATCATATGCATGCTGCTCTGAAGGCCTCACTTGTTGTAAAAAAAAAACTACTTTTTATGCATACTACTGCACAAAAACAGACATTGTTTGGCATAAAATAGGAGGAGGAACACGTAATTATATTGTCATGTAGTGTCTTATCCATAACCATGTCCAGTTTATGGTGCAGCCGTGGGCAGAGGGGTCTGATCAGCTCCTGTACTGTGTGTCAAATAATTAATACTTCCAGTCTTACTTGTTTATGACTCTCATGTCTCATTTCATCAAAGCTCTCTTCTGTCTGAATATCTCTGGTCTTACTGAATACAGTTTTTATCCGTCATCTCATGACTGTTCACGTTGTGCCACAGATGAATAACTTACATATTTAATGTAAAATAAAAAGAATGACTAAAGATGGTGAAACTCAAACTACAATGATCTTCTTGTTCATCCGTGGATGTAGCTCTCTGTCGCACATCTGTCTGTGTGTATCTTAACTTATTTGTTCTTTATGTTAGCAATAAAAGTTTCCCTCTAACAGTGATTCAGTTGTTTTTGTTGTAAGGGAGCTGTGGGAGTATTTTACTGAAACACCAGGTCCAATTCCTGCATAATGGATCGAACTGTTCTGTTCACTGCTTATATCAGCTCTTAGTTGTATTAATTTACTATGTTGTGGTTGGTTATGAGTGTGTAAGTAGGGAAACAAATTAGAGAATTTTTTAAACAGGTCAAGAAGGTAATTGGTCTCAAAACCAGAAGTAAAACGTTAACAAAAATAGAATTGGATAGTTTAAACTCAGTGCAAATACATCATAAATGTTGAAACTCAAATTCTGCTAATGTTTTTATTGTTTTTAAAGATATGCTCGGTTTAAAAAAAGTTGGGATGAAGACAACAAACAATATAAAAGTTGTCTAAAAAGCATCTGAAGAAGCGTCTCACACTTAATTAGGTTAATATGCAACAGGTCAGTAACATAGCGAGGTCTAGCAAAAGAGGGATTTATCATCCATGGTGCATACGGTTATAAAAAGACTGAGAATCTGGAGAAATCTGTACTAAAGTCTGGTAAGGAAGGACTGAGGCAAAGTGGAAAACTGTCTTTTCGATGGACGACTCAGCGGAGAACAGCAGAAAATTTATGGTTATTACTTAAAGGAAATGTAATCAGACCGAGACTCTAACGCAGAAGAACTACCACGTCTTCAGTGCACATGAAGTAGTGATCATAAATGCTCTTCCTTGAGCTGAGAAACTCCGCTGCACTCGGTGATCGACTCGTCAGGGCTCCCCCTACACTGCTGGCGGGGACTGGGTGAGTTGTGTTAAGTCTCTTTGCTAAACAAACCAGGCAAAGCTAAAAAGATGTTTAATGGCTAGCACCATGGTTGGGACCCTACATGTACTGTTGATGAAGTTAGGTGCTGTTCTGAGCATTATTTGTGGCAATAGAGTGGCGTTTTGTTTGAGGTTTGCGTGTGGAGACGTAGACCGCTGTGTATCTGTGTGGTCGTTGCTAAAGTCGGTATAACTCGAGAAGCAAGCGGTCTGTAACATTCATCTCTCGGTGTTACGTTGTGTTTGGCTGAACTAACTAAATTTTACGCCTGAATATCCTTTCAAGAGGAGAGGGATCACCTGGCTTGTTGTCAGCTCCCAATTGACAGGCAGAGATACACAAATATCTGCAACGTGGCTAATGCTCAACATTTTGAACGGGGTTTGGTGCGTTCACAGACTCCATGAATTGATGCCCATCTCCTAAATATTTGGTCACATGATCAATTTCTTTGACCATTTCCAAGCAACAGGGGGGTGGCTCAACTTACCCCACTCTCCCCTATACCTAATTTGCTGACAGAAAATTTGTAGATGCAGTGGATATAAAACTAAGGCAGAAAAAAAGTCTTTCCCTGAAATAACTTTTCCTACAGATTCTAGTTCAATTTGTATCCATGCCTGGTTTTAGCAGATACCACTAGAGGGCAGCCTTACCATCCAAATACCAATATTATGAGGCAAATGTTGGTCCAGGCAAGAAGCTGCTCACATTCAGAGCTGATAGTAGTTAGACTGATCTGAAATCAGTGTCTTCAATGTGAAATCAATCCAGTTTTATTGAAATCACTCAGTCAGCTCTCTAAAACCGCTGTTACACCCCGTGATCAATCCACTCTGATTCATGCAAAGGAGGCTGAAGTAATAATGCTGGCACTTCAGAAATGTCTCCGCTGATCATGAATGAAATATTGTGTTTCATGGCTGTGGCAGATTGTAATAATGGAGCAGTGTAAAGATTGATGCACTCTGTCTGAGTAATTAGAGGCAGGTAATTCTCTCCACCGGTTTCCCTCCCTGTAATAAAGAGGAGGACGTTCACGGCGGTGCATGGTCTGATAAGAAAATAACACTTTACAAGGATTTCTAACAATAGCTTTCATTAAATATCAGGCTGATGATTAAGTGATAGCAACAACGCTGCCTGGGACATGATTATCTTGTTCTAATTAAAGAAAGTGTGGGTGTTTATTTTAATATTTGGAGCGGATTCAGAAACATGAATCAGGAACAAACCAGAGTCATTATTTTTGGTCTTTATCTCAAAGAATTAAGAGGAAAATTAAAGATATAGCTGATAACACAATGCAAATATGCAGATGCAATGTTTGGAGTGAGCTGTACAGGTGTGCAAGAACATGCAAGATGACTTTGCATGAGTTGAGTCTGCAGGGTTTCAAACAACCCGTGTTCAGGCTCGGTCAGGACTCTTTCCAGCATACCTCAGGGTCCCGGGGGATTGTTTTCATGTGGGGTGCTTTCCGTGATGATTTCGTCTTCATCACCATCCTCCTTATGCATCTCTGTTGTCAGGTTTCCCAGTAGCACAAGTCCTATAAAACCTGGACCAGAGTTAATCTACTTTCCACTCATGGAAAACACGTGGAAAGTAAGAGAAAAGGCCAAATATCCTGGAAAATCTGGTCCTGTCCAAGAAAATTTCTCTTTACTTTTTCATAGTTGAGTTTCCAAAACAGATGATAGTATCCTCTGAGAGGACTGAAGTGGATTGTAGACCTACCAAACCAACGGAATAATAACTTTATTTGTATAGTGCCCTAACAGGTGTTTGTTTGTCCCCTCAAATGTGGCGCTGCACTGCTGTGATTAAATCATTTTACTGCTTAAATTGATCTATGGAAAACAGAGGGAACTTGATTGTGTTTTGCTCCACTTGAGTAGTTTTACAGTACTCTCCTCATCCTGTAGTTGTTGTTGTGCCTCTTTTTTGCTCGTCTCTGTGGTCACGCCGCCTTCACGGCTGTTTTGCATCTCTTTGTTTATCCTCTGCATCTTATTGCGGTTCGTTTGCATCTCTCGGCGGTGGTTCGCTGTCAGCTTGTAGTCGTAAAACTGACTCTCTCCGATGAGAAATGTTAACATGCACTTCATAGAGCGGCTCCAGATGATGGGTCCCTAACCGTCACCCTCAGGCCCCTACAGTAATCCATTCATGATAGAAATAAGCCATCTTCCCATAAACAGACTGGTTAGCACAGGCAACAGGGACCCAATCAGAGTCCAGGGAGGGAGCCTTCGGCATCCGTCTGCCTGTGCCCCTCGTCCTCCAATGTGCAATTTTCATCATGTGGTATCCTCGGCACAGTGTGGACCTGTAAAATAAATTTACTCCCCACACTGTGAGTTTACTACTTATTTGTGTATTTATTTAGTCGATGTGGGAGCGCTAAGCTGCAGGCCCCTGGTGTCCGAGCAGAGACAAACATACTGTATTTTCAGCTGCTGAGAAACCCCACCGGCTCTCATTAGCGAGGGAAAGATAGAGGAGAAAGACAGAAGGTTTGGGAGAGGAATAAAGAAGTTTGAGAGAGAAAGAGGCAGAGAGTGATGAAACCAGAGAGAGTAAGAAGCAAAGAGACAGATGGATGGATCACAGCTTTCAGCTCTCAGTCTTGTTTGTTTGCAGAGAAAGCTGCGGCTCATTTTTCCTCCCTCTCCTCCTTTCGGTCCCGTCACCCTCTTGTTATCTCTCGGCACAAAATACTGAGGATTAGTGCGGGCCGCAGGGGCTTCAGCCAACGCCGCTGAACCTCGGGCACAGCAGACAATCACTTTATAAATGTTTAATTAAACTGCTGCAGTCTTGTGAGCGAATGTCGAAATGACTCAGAGGTTTGGTGGAAAATGTCTACACATGGGATTTGTGTTCAACTCTTCACCCAGTTTGTGGTTATTCATAGACACACTGGGTGACATGTTCCTATTATTTGCCCCAAAAGCATCGAAGAGTGTGCTAGTTTGTCAAACTTTCGAGTGGAGTTGTTTGTTTCCACTAAATGCATAATTTATCTCCTGTTACGCTGGAGTTTTTTCACCCATCAGCTCACTGCAGTTCGAGTCTAAACCCAGTTGAGCGGGTTGGTCCAGGTTCCGGTGTCCTCTGACACACCTGTCATTCATTCAAGACGATTGAGAAAATCCCCGGACTAAACAAACCCCGACTCAGCAAAGGAGAAGAAAAATCTATACTGCCCATGAGATAAATTGATCGAGGAGACACAGTTTCTGTCTGTTGGAGAAGAAAATGATGTTTCAAGAAACTTCAGGATCACAGCCTGCCGCATGATCTTGTGAAACCAAATGCACAAAAGCCAAAAAACCTCTTTCTTTCACAACATATACTGTGAACAACAACCTCTTTATTGTAACTAGAGCTGGGCGATAAAACGATAACAATATATATCAAAAATTAATTTCCTGCAATATCAATTTAAAACACGGTCAATATGCTTTTCAATAGTTCGCACTCTGCCATGTTTCGGTAGACTATACAAATAGCCAATGAATAGAGGAGTTGCTCCAAGTTGACTTCAGCTGAACCAATTGTGCTGAATTAGAACCAAGTAGCAAACAACTGCGTAGTAGCAGGCTGCAGCTACACGCAACCATAGAACTTTAACATGTGAAACCGACAGCACTGTTGAAAATGAGTGTTACCCCCCGGCAGAAATGCAGATAGAGGCTCAACAGATGACGATATCATCGACAACACTACCATGAAAACGTCGGTGGTGTGGAGGTATTTTGTTTTTTTGAGGTCGGACATGAAGCAGAGTAATGTGCACTGCAAATTATGTCGAGTACATGTTCTCGTAAAGACGGGGAATACCTCAGATCTTTTTCACCATCTGAAGCAGCGCCATGCAACAGAGCACGCGCAATGCAAGAGATTACAAACCAAGAGCGGAGCGAGGAGCCCAAGGCGCCTGTGCAGCCGAAACAGCCGACCATTCAGTCTGCTTTCTCTAGTGCAACGCCCTACGTCAAGGAAACACAAAGACCTCACAGATTCAGTAGCTTATTGTATTGCAAAAGACATGCCACCAATAAGAACTGTTAAATTTCATTCTTTATATCGTGATATATATCGATATCGACTGATCTGAATAAAATATATTGTGATAAACTTTTTCCTGTATCGCTCAGCCCTAACTGTAACTTTATTAACATACTGTCAG